GTGCCATATAAATCAAGCCGTTTCCTTGACTTTTCCTGCGGCTGTTTGCCACCGAAAACATCTCTCATTAATCAAGGCGACCGCAGTCAATGGGAAATGTTATTTGATGGCAGCTTGTTGCAGCTCCAATATATCAGAGTACATTTATTTTCGTTGATGATGCAAAGATACCACTCTGTGTTTTTCTAGGACAAATTAATATCTGTCAGGTAACATGTATAAAATATTCTTCACCAGTTACTTTAATTTGTTAGAAAACTTAGCCTGCGTAAAAGAGGCTTTGCATAATTTAACTATTCATAGCAATTACAGCTTTCTATTTATTTCTCTACAAAATAAATCAAACTGCAGTTTTGCAAAATAACAATAGAATCATCAAATTACTTCTCGCCACTGGCAAGTTTTCCGATTTCAAACTAAAAAGAAACTTTAGAAAACTCAACCCAACAGCTGTGTCTGAATCAATAATCATTATCGAAAAGTTTACTTTGAAGCTTTCATCGGACCGTGTCTTTTTCAATTCAGTTGCCTAATTAGATCAATTCAATGCAACAGTGAAGTTGAAGGGCAAACGAAGTTCCTGATTCTTTTGCGAAAAAGTGAGGCACTCGACTGTAATTCAAGCAGTTTTTCCGGACATAAAAATTACGAGGTCCCGCGCTTTTTACGAGCAGCATCAGCGGGTAAATGCTGACATAGATTCCGCGCAAATATTTCGCACTACTTTTCATTTTACGATGGCACGCAATGAAAAGTGAAAAGCTGAAAGGCTTTTCTTCCCGCCCTCTTTAGCGTTTGCCTTTTGTTTGCTTAATATTTGTGTGCCTTCTTGTTCCTTTTTTTATTGTCAAATTTTTCTTCTTTTTTTGAGCTTTTTCGCTGATTCTGTTGTTGCAGCGAAAATAAAAGCGGAGCAGTGCAAACAATGCTCCGGAGTGATTGCCGTGAAACATGCTGCGATTTTCTGTCTGACACGCCCACCAGCCGCCAACCCACCAACTCGCCCATCCATCACTCTATCCAACCATCCATTCATCCATCCGTGTGTACTTGCAGCAATTTTCAACACTTTTGTTTGCATGCTTAAATAAATTCAGGCTTGTATATTTTGTGGGAAAAACTGAGAGCGGGTCACTCTGCAAACGGTGTTCATCGCTCGCATGAATAAACTATGAAAATCAAAGAAATGCCAATTTATTTCAGGCTTAAGTTACCGCAGATAAGCAATCAAAAGTTGTTTCATAACAGCCCTTGAAATGTTAAATCAAATGTTTTAAGGACTCACTTTGCAGTTAAGCGAGGCATTCGAAAAATTCAATGAGTATAAGTGTCCAGTTCGGGAGTGGCAACAACAAATTATCTAATCGACCTTTTTGCCATATTTTGTGCCCCTCAACTTGTCTCCTTTGCCATTTATTCCCGGTCAGCAAAGTGAATTGCAGTCACTTGATCCTCCGTCTCTATTGCAACTGACAGCTGGCTCAGCGGCATTAAGTCCTGAAACTATAAAGACTTGGGGAAGTTCCCACTAGCAAAGAAACCAACATTGACTGGTGACACAATTCTTTTTTGGTGGAAATAAATTTTTGCCTCTGGCACGGCACAGATAACATGAAACTTTGAAATGTCAAAAGGGGACTGACATGTTCGCATATTGAATCGGGGCACTCATATAACAATCTGGATTTTATAGGAGAAAAAATAATTGACGGAAAAAAAATCATTTCTGATAAATATAGAGGTAGAAAAGCTTTTACTTGCTTCCGTATTTGTAGGTGTAACTATTATTTATTTTAAAGATGTTGCTTGTTAATGTTTCTGCTGAAAAGTTTTGTAGTTGGTTATTGTTAAAAATATTACTCTTGCAATGTTATATATTTTTGTTGAGTGCCTAGAAGAGTAGCAATGCTGGTGCTGCGTCATAGTTTAATGGCCATACAATTGACACAGAGTCGACACATTCTCGCAACTGAGCTGCTTTGAGCCGCCCTGAGCTGCGTCGAGTTGTGAGTTTGTAGTTGGCTGGTTGGCTGGTTGGGAATGCCGGGGCATTAGTGGCCATATCCCGTCCCGGGGGAACTCGGCTGAGCTGCATTTTCGCATCAAGTGCCGGGCACAAGTGCAGTTTTATGACAGGCCCGTCGGGTGTGGAGTGCGGAAAATGTCCTCGGAAAAGCTGAAACCGCGGAGCAACCTCGATTACGCCGGGGGAACCACAGTTTAACGTCTCTCGAACATATCAGAAAAGTTCTGAATTATTAATTACGGAACGTCGGGGGCTATTTGCTCCAAAAACACCAGTCACATATCACGCACACTCACCACACACACAACCCCACCCTCACACACACACACTCAGTCATGGGAATTCCGTACCTTTAGTTGACTCTTTTGTACCTTCAGGTGATTGCGTTGTGTAAACTGTACCCAAAATCTAGTGAGTAAGGTCGAGTAATCTCGCAATCAAATTATGTAAATAAATAGCTGAATTAAGGGGGTGAAGTCGAGCACCCCGGGAATATCTGCATTACACTACCACATAAGCAACATGAAATGAACATTAGGCGGAAACGGAAACAGAAACTACCAAGTTTTTAGTCGTAAGCCAAATAACAAATGGCAAAGTCATGTATCGACGACACAAAGACACTGTATGTAAGGCTCTTTTGTACCTCTTGCTCTCCCACTTTCGAATTTACTATGGAACCCCTGAAAGCGCTAAGTGAAACTTAAACGTTTGTCTAGCTCTAAGTAAGTTAAATTAAACTAAAAGAAATGAAGTGAAAATTAAACTAAAGTATATGCGCAAACATATGAATGAGGAGCGAATCGAAGTGGTCAGTGGATCATTAGCCACATTTCAACAATTATGCTGAAAGCATTTAATAGTCTACATAATCCGCATAGAGGCAAGTTAACTTGTAAAATATTGAATCTCAACTCAAACAGCATAGGTCAAGCGAATCCGTAGTGGAAAATTATAGTTCATTGTTGCTGTCTAATACGCCTAGAATGGATAAATACCCACTATGCATTAGAACAATATCAGTAACTAGTTAAATGTGTGTGCGTTTCTCATTGCATAAGTATGTAGCCGAATGTCCCCAGATTCAGATAAAATCGTTAGCTGTAAATGTTTTTGTGTATATCTGTATATGTCTCTGTATATGCTTAGATCAATAATCCCCGATGTACTGTACTCACCTCTAACCTTAAGTTGACACCTCCTAAATCCCACTTTGCCCCAGCATAGTTTCCCTGCTCTCTGTTCTGTATAAATTGAAAATCTCTCAACTAAGTTTACTCAAAAAGAAAACTACTAAAGCAAAGTGAGAAATACTTAAATAAATACTGAAGCATATTGATAAGCAGCGGCGTGTGTTTGGCTTTTACTTAATTGCATTTTCAGCAGAACTCGGCTCGGATTTCGATTGCAAAAAGGCTTTATTGTTGGCAGACTGCAGAAACGTATTACGTTCGGCAATTTGATTCAATTATTGCAATGGCAGGAGCTGCGAAAAGTGTGCAGGTAAGTGTTTTTTTTTTGCAAAATTAAATTTCCTCCGAAAAATATCCACCTGTCATCGCCGATTGTCTTATTTTTGTTAGTTTGCGGGTGAATGGATGGACTGTTCGAGAAATAAAGATGACTTCGCTGGCTCACATGTGCCTGGAATTTTGAGTTCATTAAAAAGTGCGACGGAATTCAATTCAGTGCACAGAACCGCAAACGAATATTTGTCTGGTGTTTTGTCCGTCTGAAATTCTCTAAGGATGCACGGAATGGCAAACTGAAAGGAGTCGAACTCACACACAAAAGTCAACACTTTTACTTGTATATTAGAGTGGAACTTGTTAAATTCAAGTGTTTTAAAGCTTGTTCCCATAAAAAGTAAACAATATGACGCCTTAATAATTTCGATACCGCATTCGCGTTGATGAATAACTTTTTTCCAACATTCGATACTAACAAAAAATTCTTTTTGAAAAAATTCTGCGGGCAATCATCACGCTTGATTGATTTAATAAAAACAATTTGTTTATCAATTTATTTACATTTTTTTTGGTATACATTTGGGGACACACCTGTATTTAAAAAACGGTTTTTTCTTATCCTTAACCTTTTGCTTATTTGTAATTCTTTTGTATTGCATTTATTGCCAGTTGAATTTATATTTTTTCAACTTCATAGGTCCACCTAAATAAACACCAAAACACACACACAGTTGCTCCTTTGAGTGAAGTTTTAATTTCCGCCTTGCGGTTGCGAGCTGAAAGTCCGAAACGAACTCCAAGGACTTCTCTCCTCCGATTCTCGCCTTTCTGATGTTATTATCGCACATTGTTGTTGTAATATGCAATATTATGTCAGACAGCGGATGTAATTTAACTTGATGCTGTAAAAAGTGTTTCTCCGACAATGGAATCCCGGTTGAAAGCCCGGCAGCTGCAAAATTAAGTTCGAAAATCGAATAAATATTCAATTATTTACTTGACTGGGAGTTTCTTTGGGCTCAAGACTTTCTCACAATGGAAGGGGACACGAGCACGCGAAGAAGTCAATATTGAAATTTCCAAGAGCTTAATGCGGGCTACAGCCATTTGCATGTACGCATATATATAAATGATATTGAAGCATCTGGCTGAGGGCAAATAAAAAATAGATGAACTCACTTTTCTTTATGGGCACACACACCCACACACACATGTGCCCCAAAATGCAGGGGGTTAAAGGAGGAGGGGAAAGGAGGGGGTGGAAGGACCAGACAAACAGCTCAAAGCTGCCAGGACATTAAAATGAGCAAAATGTGTAATAAAAATCCAACCTGATCCCGGACCCAAATATTTGCTTATCTACAAAAGCCAGAAAAATACCCCAAATTGAAGTCACATTCTAATCAAGCAGAGCGATGCTTGACAGGCAGGAAAAATGGTTTCAGAATAGCCATTTTTTAAAGCTCTGTACCTTAAAGCTGTTTGCCTCGAAAACATGAAGGGAATAAGGATGTATAGAGTGTACAATTTTAATTTAGGTAAATATCTTGTGCTGTGTAATTATTTTTGCAAATTTAATTTCCTTCAAAAATTATCCGAAAATGAATTTCCTATTGATGCCTTCTTTGGATTATATAGTCCTTCTGCTTTCTGGTGTCGATTTCCATAACATCTCTGCAGGGATCGCAATCGCAGGTATTAGGCTGTGATTTGCCGACCACAAACATTATGTCCTTTGGACTCAGATTCCTTTCCAAACTGGAACAGGTTTCACCCGCCCTGCAAACAAAATTAAGGTGGATTAAATTATTAAGTATTTCATAAAGTTATCTCTACTTACCTTGCATAATCACCGCATTTGATAAACAGCTTGCAAAGGAATTCCAGCTTGCCAACTGGTTTAGTTTCCAATTCCAGGTTGCAAGTGCTTGTGTAAGAGAACGGCTTCATGTCCAGCTTAACCCTTTCAATCAGTTTTTCAGGTAGCTTCAACTGTCCCTGGCCAACCAAATTATCGTCGTACATCACCTCAAAATTCATGCCATTTTCCTCAAGTTTCTGGGCAAGATTCGGTGGCTCCGTCTGGAAAGTCTTGCTGGCATTTGGCTTAAACTCGGTAACATTTGTTCTGCTGACTGTGAGACTGAGATTGTTCTCTCCAAATTTAACCGTCACCACCAGCTTCCTGGGATCTGCAAGAACCACACCCATGACATCCAGTCGGGTTATTATAATATCGAATGAGAAGACGGGCAGATTCCTATCGAAAACTGGCTCAGGTGGTGGCGGAGGCTCTTGTGCAGCCAGTAAATTCTTGGCTCCGAACACACTTTTCTTGCCTTTTTTGCCCTTCTTGCCTTTCTTCGGCATTTTTCACGATCTTCAGGGAATTAGCAAAAAAATATTTGGAAAGTAACTAAGCTCTGGTTACGAGGTTGAAAGCAGAATTCTAAGAAAACTTTTCCTGGCTACATAATAATTTTGAACGACTACCATGAACAAACACACAGAAAATAATGAAATGAATGGAAAACTCTGAGCTGCTATTCCTACTATCAACTCGCACCTTTAAAATGTCTTTTGCCTAATAAATTTAATCTAATGTCTTAGAAATCATTTAAAGATATTTCTTTTGGTTTATTTACTGTGCATGTACCCCTTTGCTTGAACAAATATACCTCTGCAGTGAATGCACTCGATGCGTTGAACAACCGAAAACTGTGCAATCAAATACGATTTAACACTTTGGACCCCGGGGAACGTGTTCCGTTCCGAGTGGCGAATCTGCAGATTTATTGGCAGGGAGAACTCCAATCTTCTTCAAGAGCTGCTGCTCCTGCTGTGAATGATTCGCCAGCATATTTCAGAAGCGTTTAATGGGAGCACTCATTTGTCTGCCGGCAGGAGAAGTGGCAGGAGCAGTAGAAAAGCTTCTGGCTTCTGAATCCGGGCAAAGTGTCAGTGGGCTGGATGCAGCCACAACCGCCAACGAGGATGGCATTAGGTGCCTTGTACTTGGTATTTGTGGCGTATACGTAACGTGCGAAAACCAAGAGTGCTCGTTCAGGCATAACAAGAGCCAAAAACCAAGAACACTCTCTCTAACCAATTACTTGTGGGAGCCGAGCTCTTTTGGCCATGGCCAACCGAGAATCGGAATTAGTTTTGCCAGCTTGCCACTGATGCTGGTGGCCGAGAACATCTTTTGTTTTATGGTTCATCCAAGAGGATTTATTAAGCTCTACTTATGTGCCATTTCACCCCATCAGATGTTCAGGGTTATGGTCAACATATTCGCCCAGCACTCGGACATTCTAATTGGTGGCTTTTTCCAGCTCGCAAAGTGCTTTGCATTTATTTTGAGGCCAGACATTAATTTGCCAAAGCAATTAAAATGCAACAAGACAGGAGAAATATGCAAATAAATGTGGCCAAAGTGGTTCAGCTTTAGTTATTTGCGTCGTGCATCAATGCAAACCGATTCGGAGCATAAATTATGCATGCGAAGGAATTCAGGCATTTCGACTGCTGCTAACCATTGACAATTGCTGGCGAAATTGTTTTGCAATTGCTTCACTAGACAGAATGGTCAACTAATTAACAAGTCATTAATGCCACGTTTTGGCCAGAGGAGCCAATTTGGCCACACGAAAATGGTGTTCATGTTTGTGCCAATTCCAACCAAATTGTGTAGCCATCAAATGAAAAGTTATAGTGCGTATACTTGCTAAATACTCTCGAAAGAGGTGTTTTAAATACCAATGAATTTAACTCCCAAATTAATTCGGATTTAATAGTTAAAAGAGAATTGTAAATACGTTCTATTTGCTGAGAAATTTTTCAATGAATAAAAAGTCCTTACTACTCAGATCCTGCTTTTACGCTATTTAATTCCTTGAAAGCGGCATATTATTGCAGTATTTGCGTGTGCTTTTATTCGAGTAGATTGAACATATTGGGCAGCCAAAGAAGTCTGTAGTTTCAATTCCTATGCATTTTAAAAGTTTTCAGCAGCGCTTTTAATATGTTTAAGTTTAAGTAAGTAAGCGCCTAAGAAAAGCACTTAATGAGTTCTTTCGGGCATCTTAGTATAAATGAACTTATTGATGGTTAGTTAATTATTTGTGTTTTCGGTTTTCCTTAAGTTCAATTCCCCACCTATGGACTTCATTATTGGTCAGAGTAAATTGGAATACGTACTAGTGTCGTATAATTTATGCACGAGTGGCTTCCACTTTGGCCAGCAGAAACTCGCACACCGAGGCAAAAAAAAAAATAAAAAAAAACACCAACGAATTTCGCCGGACTCGGGGACCCAATTTGTTATTGTTTGGCGATTGGCGTGGACAGCAACCTGACCTCCAACCTCCCTCCTCTATAACCCCTCCTCCCACTGAACTCAGTGAACATTTGGCTGCGCCAATTTGTATCCAATTAAATCGGCTTAGTTAGTCAGGCGGTCTTCCCGATAAAACGTTTCCATTTTGCGGTTCAGCATTTTTCGACAATTTTCGCAGTGTTTGGAACCAATTTCGTTTATAAACTAGTTTTCGGGGGAGGAGTGCAGCGGCTGTTCCAGCAAGGATAACCGATATGAGTGAACCTAATGCGCGAAATTTAATTAAAATTGAACTTAATTTAGATAAGCATGTGAGCTGATTTGATAAATGGCGGGCAAACTCTGGGGGGCGTGTGAGATTTTGCAGGCATCGCGTGCTAAGCGGCTTAAAGGAAGGTGTAGCGATAAATAAGAGTGGGACTTTTCCGGGGGGAGGCCCATTTGGGGTATTGGCCCAGTGCAACAGGCGAAAATGGGACTAGGAGTGACTGGGGTAATTAGAAACCCATTTGGCTCCTTTTCGCTGCGCCAGACATGCTGAAAATTCTCTAGGGTCCTTTGGTCAGAGTGCAGGTCACTGGAGTTCGCATTTGGACAAACTTTAGTAACAGCTGTTCCCAAAGGTTCTTGAGCTGTAAAGATTTTAGTGGTTTAATTTAAGAAGCTTAAAGCTTAAACAGAGCAACTGTTTAGTTTGCTAACACGTTGAAAACTATTTGCTAAACTTTTATTCTTTAAAGCCAGTTAAACCTTATTCTATAGGTTTCTACATCGCCTTGACTTTGTTGTCTCACAATCTTTTATTATGTTTCACAATATTTATCATCTTCACAATTCGCACACAGTTTCCACTTTTGCACAAATTTGTACCTAAAATTTAGGTTCTTTGTATACGTAATTTAGAACAGTGATTTTTATAACCCAAAAATGGACGCCGGTGGGGAAAACGAGGAAGTGGACTTCCTGTTCGATATGGTGATCACCAGTTTGGATTTGTACAAGCCGGTCGCGGAACCCGAAAAATGCGATGTTCTAGTCAGGTTTGCCGGTAGAAGTATGAAAATCACGCCCAGTCGAATAAACGTAAGGGATTTCGTGAACAATCGGCAGAATGAGTTCACTTGCACTCCGTCAACGATGCGAGAATTCCTGAGTACCGAAGGAATGCAAATTTCCGCTCGTTACGGAGGATCTTCCTTGGGCACGAATAAATTTTTCCTGCCGGACACCTTCGTGGATAAGGTCTATTCCAACATGAATGATCTCTTGTACGAGGACACCATCCTCCTGATGCGCAGAATCGATTGCATTGGTTCCATCGGATTCCTTTTTGTGCTGACTGTAAAGTGCTTGGATTTAGAGGCTCTTCAAGAGAAGCGAAGATCGAGTTCCCGCAGAACGTCGCGTAAATCATCCATTAAGGAGATCCCTCCAAAGAAGGAAGAGGAAAAGGCAGAGTGCCAACGACTGGGACCCACATTCAATCCGCAGGATGTGATGTTCGTCGTCGGTGACCCCGATCCCCTGCTGCAGATTCCATCGCAACCTTGTTCCGAACTTGCTCCTGAGGAAGGAGATGAACGACTGGATCTGGACTTGCAGCGCTACAAAAGCAGGGAGAATCGTCGTGCGATCTTCCCGTATGATGATCCCTGTCCCAAGGAGAAACCTTCCCTTACGAAGCTTAAGCAACTCACTCATGAATACTCGCAGATCATTGGCTTGGTAACCGATAAAGTTAAACGGTTGGACGGACTCTCAAGTCCACCTGAAATTACAGAACCTCTTTCGAAAAAGAAATCTCCTCTGAGGACCCAAAAGGAAGCCTTAGATGAGCGCTTTATACCCGTTCCCATCAGAGATGATACCGAAAATAATGTGAAACCCATACGTTTTTGTCCCGTTTGCCTGTATTCAATGTCCTGGCTGCCGAAGTATATTCCCTGTCCTCGGTGCAAAGTCAAAGCTCGTCCTGTGCTAACAGGACATCCAAAGAAGGTATTAACGGCCGATGAAATCGTAAAGGAGGTGCTGACTAAGCCTCGAAAGCCCGAAGATTCAGATGATAATTGCGCAATAACCTGCAAGCGAAAAAGTGGTTACCGAAGTGGTAAAAAAAAGAAAAAGTTTACAACTGAATTGGGTGTTCCGATTCCGGAATCGGAATCGGATGAGGAGTGTCCTCCATGTCGTTGCACTTGCACAGTGGGCCAAATTTGTGCCCATTGTCGCATTCGCAAATTGTGTGCGGACATTTTTGAGAGCGACGCAAAAAAGGTGCCAGAAGACGACCAACACATAAAAGTGCCGCTGCCAAATTCAGAAGAGGACTTCTGCGTGATCCCAGAACCCATCGACGATCGTCCCTATTTGTCAAGAGTTTTCTGCGAACTCAAGTATCTGTACAACCTACACGACACCAAAAAGCTGGATATCCAGAAACACTGCGATTCACAGACATTGCTTCCTTATCGCTCCACGAAGTCTACGATAGCCCTTAAACATTCTCCAGATGGATTGGATCATATTCCCGGGCAATTTGGTCGCCTGGGAGCGGGTCACAAAAGCTGTCTGCCAGTTTCAAATTCGGTTCCTCGTCGTCATGGTTGGAATTGGCCCAGTTCCAGGGAGGCCAGGAAGTTTGGTTGGCGACCAGGAGCCATTATGCGAGCTGCCGGTGAAGTGATGAGGTACTTCCTCTTCAGAAAAGAGGAAGCAGCCTTGTGTAAAAATATTATGGCTGATCACGAAGCACGGGAGCGGGATCGTCTGCCAGTTCTGAATATTTGCAAGAAGAATGGCGTGATATTCGTTACCTTAAATCCCCTTGCCTCATCGAATATCAAACAGAACCCCATCACCTTCAGGATTGTGAAGAGCGATTTGGCAGTGGCTTTACGCCAGATTAAAAGATCTCTGAAGGATCAGGGCTTCCGGAAGTGCGACTGCCACAAGTCCCTAATGCTGTGCACCTGTCGCGATGCCTGGGAGAAGTTCGAGCTCAACAAGGCCTTGAGAATTGAGTGCCAGAAGCGAATCATGGAACCCTGCCCCGAGCACTTGGTACTCACCGATACGAGTGTCAGCGATTTGGAGTTCGATCTGAACGTAACACCACCAGCTGGAACTGGGAAGTCGAAGAGGAAAGCGCTGCGAAATGTGGATAACCATGGCACCCAGACAGGGGACAAGAACGAACGGCAGATACCCCCAAAATATCCCGTGCCCGATAGTCCCTACTGGAGAGCCTTCGATTGTGCCGCTGGAGATCGCTACATGGGAACAGCTTTTGGCAGCAATGTAGAAACCGTTTTCGAGGACGGAGTATTCGGCTACGAAGGCGGTGGTCAGCATGGGAAGGCCCCCGTTCGTCGGAACCCAAAGGTTTGGGGCAAACGAACCGGAGCACCGATGCCAATTGGAACTACCCGAGATTCCATCAATCCATATCGGTTTACACGAACTGTTTGGAAGGGACTTCCAAAGAAGATTATTTACCAAATGTGCACGAATCGCAAACTATAAAACTTTTTACAATAAGTATTACATCTCCAGTATCTGATGGAATTTTATCAGCAATGTGAAACCAAATTGAAATATATTACTTGTGTATATAAAAAAGTATACATAACAAATGTCGAATAAAAGCATTTTTTATCAAATTAACAATTAAGGTAGTAAATATATTTTGTTAAAACTCAGTTGTAATTTTTTGGCAAAGTTTGGAAACTACGTTCTAGGCTGCTTTTAGTTTAATGCCATTACATTGTCATTGTTACAACTTTTGTTTAAACTTAAAACTCACACATTTAGTGTTTCCAATTTTCATTGGTTATACATTTTATTTTGTTAACACAATAATACTAGAAGAGATCATTCAAATTCAAAAAACACATTTAATTATCAATCCCAAAATGGAAGGAAATGTTAACTTTCTGCTCGACTTTGCCGCCACCCATGTGGAAGTTTTTGGCGTAAAGTTTGAGAACCCCTCGAAGCTAATGGTGACCACAAAGTTGGCCGCGGGTTCTCAGAAGGTAACGTCCAGTCGGTTGAATGTATCTGATTTCGTGGCCAACAGGGAGATGGAGATCTCCTCGGATCCCTTGTCGCTGCGGAGAGGTCTGGAGGAGAAGGGAATGTCGATGTCGGTCAATTACCAGGGAGCAACTTTGGGAGGTGCAACTATGACTTTTCCAATGGAGTTTCTCGACAAGATCAGCTCAACCATGAATGATCTGCTGCTCCAGGAGACGCTGGATCTGAACCGAAGAGCTGATGTCGTTGGCACCATAAGCATTATTCTTCGCTTGACTTTGAAATGTGAGGAGCAAGCGGCTTTGCAGCCCCTGGGAGAAAGTGTTTTTCCTGGCAGTAAAATGTCATTGATTGTTCCCAAAAAGGAGAGGAGCAGCTGCGCCAGCCAAGCGCCCAACATTAATCCCCAGGATGTGATGTTCCTCTTTGGTGACCCCGATCCCCTGCTGCAAATTCCTTCGGAGCCCTGTTCTGAACTTCGTGTGGAGATAGGAGATGAACGACTGGAATTGGACTTGCAGCGCTACAAAAGCAGGGAGAATCGGAGAGCCATATTCCCCGAAGACGATCGCTGCCCCCAGGAGAAGCCCTCCTTCGGCAAGTTAAAAAGACTCATCCATGAGTACTCGACCATCATCGATTCGGTGGCCGAGAAGGTTAAGCGCTTGGACTGTCCTTCAAGTTCGATGGATCTCACAGGGACAAACACCACTGATCCGACACCAAGGACTCCCATGCACACTCCTAGGATTCCAGGACAGGTGCCCAAAGAGCCCTGTATAAAAGTTCCCTTAAGAGCCGACGATGATCATGGTATTAAGCCCATTCGCTTTTGTCCCACTTGCTTGTGCTCGATGTCCTGGATGCCAAAATACATGCCCTGTCCCAAGTGCAATATAAAGGCATTTCCCGTTTTGCCAGATGAACTAAATAAAAAGCAAACGGCTGATGAAATTATGAACAAACTGCTGGTGAGACCGAAACCTTCGCCAGGATTCGAGGACTTTTGTGAGCCTGTCTGCGAAAAGCTTCTTCGGCAGACCGACGAATGCGCTCCGTGTCGTTGCACCTGTAAAAAAGGCAAAATGTGCGCCCACTGCAGAATCCGCAAGTTGTGCGAGGACATTTATGATAAGAAAGCGCCACCGCCACCTGAGAAACCTAGGCCTGAACCAAGATCCGATGAGGATTTCTGTGTGCTTTTTGAGAACGAGGAGGATGATATGCCCTACCTTTCGAAGGTATTTTACGAGCTAAAGAATCTCTACCATCTGCACGACACCAAGAAACTTACTGCCATCAAGGAACGCTGCGAGGCCAAGTCGCTCTTCTCCATTCATAGCAGGCGATCCACCAAGGAAATAGTTGAATCCCTGTACCAATCAGACAGAAGCCTTGGCGGGGTAAACCATCCACCGAAAAAGGGCCACAAGAAGTGTGTGCCTTCCTCCAGTTTCGTATCCCGCCGTCATGGTTGGAATTGGAAATCGAGCTGCGAGGCCAGGATAAATGGATGGCGACCAGGAAGCATCCTGCGAGCCTCCTGCCTTGTGATGCGGCATTTCCTAATGAATCATGAACATCGGAAGATTTGTCCCGAGGCTTGTGCAGAATTTGAGGAGAAACAGCGATACGGTCCCCCGGTGCTCAATGTCTGCAAGCGGAATGGTGAAATATTCATCACACTGCGTGCTCTTCCCACTTTGGATATGAAACAGGATCCCATTACCTTCCGGATTGTGAAGAGCGACTTGGCAGTGGCCCTGCGCCAGATGAAGCGATCTCTGAAGAAGCAGGGCTTCGAGAAGTGCACCTGCCACAAGTCGCTGATGTTGTGCACCTGTCGCGATGCCCTGGATAAGGTTCTCCTAAACAGGGCCCTCAAAAAAGAGTGCCAGAAGAGACTCATGGAACCCTGTCCCGAGCACTTGGTTCTCACCGACACGAGTATCAGTGATGTGGAGTTCGATCTGAATGTGACACCACCCGCGGGAACTTGGAAGCCGAAGAGGAAAGCCCTGCGAAATGTGGTGAACCATGGCACCCAGACGGGGCTCGAAAAGATTCCGAAGGTACCACGCCAATATCCAGTTCCCCATGATCCCTACTGGAGAGCCGTCGACTGTGCCGTTGGAGACCGCTATATGGGCACAGCCTTCGGCAGCAATGTGGAAAACGTTTTCGAGGACGGAGTGTTTGGATACAGAAGAGGTGGACAGCACGGCAAACCTGTCGTCTGGAAACACCCAACGGTTTGGGGAAAGAACGCAGGGGCACCACTGCGCATTGGAACCGCTCGCGACCGCATTGATCCATCTCGGTTCACCAAAAGTGTGTGGAAGGGACTTCCGCGGAAGATAATATGCAAAATGCAGGCCAAATCAAAGTATTAGTTATATTTTTTATTAAATGACTGAAACAACTTTTCGATTTTTTATTATACCCTTGCAAAGCGTATTATAATTTCAGTCAGACCCCATAAATATAATATATATATTTATATCAAAATAGGCCAGTTAAAACTCACTTTGAAGTACCAGGCGAACAGCATGCAATAAAAAGTGGCTTTTCTTAAGGTTTTCCAATTGAGAGAGAGAAAGAGATCAACATTTGATATGATCCCCTAAAAAAAGCTAGCTTCCTTGTTTTTCTTATCAACCCGCGGTGAGATCAAGGAGATCTTAAGTATATTAAAGCTATTTTCGTGCTCAAACTTATCGATTCTTTTTTAAACTGTGAATTTACGACACCAATAAAACAAGCATCTTTTTATAAATTAATTGGGTTATCCCAATTTTAATGTTAACAAGCCATAATTTGTTTTTTATCTAAATAAAAATTCAAAAAATTTGTCCCTGTTTTTAACAAAGAGCTATATTTAGGATTGGCTATTTGAACTTATTTATCCAAGATCAATCTAATTTTAGACCGATTTTTTTAAACTGACTTGTAAATTAAATAGTTTGCTGTCATTAAAAATTTTAATCAGAAATTTGTTGACGCTGGTGGTGCCATCGTCTTTGTTTGCTAATAAATATAACAATGCATAATAAAGTTGTTTGCACAAACCAATACAAATTATCAAGAGAAACCGGTATTTAATGAGCCACCTACATCATAAATTAAACATTTAAGATTTCAGAACACAAAATGGTAATACAAAAATTGTAAAACAGGTAGCCGCGAAACGCTTCGAAGATGGTATAAAAGATCTGGTCGCCCCTCAGAATGGATCGATATTCGAAACAATGAAGTTCTTTGCTCTGTGTGCTTTTCTTCTGCTCGCACTGGCTGCAGTCCAGGCAACTCCCGGCCTCTCTGCAGGACATGGTGGACAGTCCGGCCATGGTGGTTCTGTTGGCCACGGAGGTCCTGTGGGCCATGGAGGTCCTGTGGGCCATGGAGGTCCCGTGGGCCATGGAGGTTCTGCCGGCCATGGAGGTCCTGTCGGCCATGGAGGTTCTGGCGGCCATGGTATCCATTAAGCTTAATCCTTCAAGGAACCTACAAAGGATTTAATGGATCAAACGGTTTATGGCTTACACTTTAACAAGTTCAGTGTTTTAATAAAAAATCTCGTTACCACGAAACGGTTTATTTCTTTTTCTTATTTTAATTAAACTTCATCAAAACAGGTTCTAAATTAAAGGGGGCTCGGCGCTGATTCCGCTAATTCTGTGGTTATTCCCAATCTCCAAGAAAAACAGATAAAGTATGTCAATAGAATCAAATAACTTGAAATCCTTGTTATATAATCCCATTGGTAAAACCAGATACCAATGCCAACTCAAAACAGGCTTTTAAAATCTGCCAAAAGTGTTTGGAGCCCATTTTTCATTTGAAGCTGGTCAGAGTTGGGCTTGATTTTATATTCACTACACTGTTCTGCCTGTGTTTTTCAGTTTTACCTTTAGGTTAAGTGTAGTAAGTTCATAAAAAGTATTACAAAAAAATCTAAAGTAAAAAAATTCAACATAATCGAAAGTCGAATGACCCAGAATAGTTTTGCATTCACAAGTTCGCACAGGCAGTGAAAAATTACATATCGAAAGTTTTAACAAGAGCTTGGACCTTTGAGACTTGAGATGGGACCTAAAAAGAAGTCGGTGGCTATTGTGGAACCTCCCCCGGAAGCGGAGGCCAAACCTGAGAAGAAACCTCCGCCAAAGAAGGAACCACTTCCTATTTTCGTATTCGACCTCATTGTCACAAATGTGGAGGCCAATGGTGTCCAGTTCACCAATCCCGCCAAGCTTGAAGTCACGGCCAACTTCTTCAAGACCCCAATTCCACTAACACCCAGTCAGATAAATGTCACCGATTTTAAGGGTAATGCCGGACTGACTTTCCAAAAGCCGGCGAAGGAGATCCGCAAAAATGTTGGCGACTGCGGCATATCATTTGTGGTGGTCTACAGCAAGAAGACGATTGGCTCTGGCCAGGCATCCTTTCCGGATAGCGTGGTCAACACCATCGACAACGACATGACCGACATCCTACACTCGGACGTCATCAATTTGGCGAGCGGCGGTGTGGTCACCGGCAAACTGGAGTTCCTCTGCCGGCTGGTCGTCATGTGCCTTGCTGAGTAAGTACCCACTTATTTAAATTGGAATTAGCCAGGCAAACAGTTTAGTTTGATAGCGTAATTAAAGTTATGTAATTGGGTTCTCCTCATCGCAACTTTTTTAATCCCTACTTTAGCGAGGAGGAAACCGAGTGCACGCGCAACATGGACAGGAGCATCAATCCGCAGGACATCATGTTCGTGATGGGCGAATCGCAGACGTGTCCCAGTGCCTGTGAGCCCTGTCGCAATGATCTGGAGGAGGAGGAGGGCGACGAGCGCCTCAAACTGGACTTGGATCGGTATCGCAGCCAAGGTGGCGGCATCAAGCCCTACAACATGATGACGGACAACGGATCCGGAATACCAGCCTGTTGTGAACTGAAGGTGGGTTTAATCTTCATGAATCGAATAATTTTTTGACTGCAATGCAAGTCTCTCCAATATAAAATGGATTATTATTTTTTGGGGAAAGAGAAACCTGTTTGTCTTACTTTATTATTTGTTCACAATTTCACAACCTTGTACAACTTGGTTGTTTATGGTTTTATTAATTAGGATATTCCACTTATATGTATTATTTTCATAAACTTGTAAAACTTTTTGGATGATATCTTTTTATATATATTTTTATTTTACCTAATTTGCATATCTTAAAATTACCTTTAGAAAATGGCCATCGAGTACGAGCGCATGATTGATTCGATAACCAAGAAAACAGGGATGCCACCACCGAAACCTCCATGTCGCGATCCCGAGGAAGCCAACAACTTCGGGATGAATCCCTGCTGGTGCCGACCTGAAGCACCAGCCTCTCTGGAGCTGCCGGAGAAGCCGGACAAGCCGTGCTTCGTCTACCTGCCGGCCACCCAGGACCAGGAGCCCGACTTCTGCGACAGAAACCTCATTCCGGTGCCGATCGCCGACTGCGATGGCAAGGAGCCGGACATCAAGCCGATCCGCTTCTGCCCGGTTTGCCTGACCAACATGTCCTGGCTGCCGAAGTTCGCCGCCTGCCCGAAGTGCGGCATCAAGCCGATGCCCGTGGTGGAGGAGCGGCACAAGGAGAAGAAGCTCTCGGCGGACCAGATCCTGCTCGAGTACCTGGGCAAGGGACCGGCGACCATAGACGATTACTGTGTGGATCCCTGTGACAAGGCCCAGAAGGAAAGGGCAGCCGCCGAGGAGGACGAGGAGTGTCCACCGTGCCGGTGCACCTGTAAGTTCGGCAAGATGTGTGCCCACTGTCGCATCAGGAAGCTGTGTGCGGACATCTTCAAGAGCGATCAGCCGGCGCCCAAGTGCCCCAAGGTGGAACCGAAGGACTCCGAGGACTACTGCGTAGTGAACAAGAGCTCCGACGATTGCAGACCTTATTTGGCAAAGGTTTTCTCCGAACTTCGGGATCTCTACGACATCAAGGACACCAAGAAGATGTCGGAGCTGGACGAGAATTGTGAGCGTGCCGTTCCGAAGACGGAGAAGCCGGAGAAGACGGAGCCCAAGAAGACGGAGAATCAACCCCAGAAGCCCGCCTACGTTCCTCCCAACAACAAGGGACAAATCAGCAGCAGGCACAAGCGGTGTGTCCATCAGTCGGGATTCGTGTCAAAGCGACATGGTTGGGCCTGGAGCAAGAGCTGGGAGGCCAAGAAGCTGGGCTGGCGACCAGGAGCCATCCGCAAGCCCATCAAGCAGCTGATGAAGTTCTTCCTGGAGCAACCGGCCAAGGAAACCGCCTTCGCCAAGTGCAAGGATGCCGAGACTTTGGAGAGGGAAAAGGAACTAGCTTCGCCCGTTTTGAATATCTGCAAGAAGAACGGAGAGATCTTCATCACTTTGAGACCGCTATCACCTCTGGGTGTCCGGCAGAAGCCCATCACCTTCCGGATTGTGAAGAGCGAACTGGCGGTGGCTCTGCGGCAGATCAAGAGGAAGCTGAAGGACAAGGGCTTCCGCAAGTGCACCTGCCACCAAACGCTGATGATGTGCCGCTGCCGGGATCCCGTGGAGAAGGTCCATCTGCAGAGGGCTCTGAACAGGGAGTGCCGACGTCACTCCATTCCGCCAGCTGGTGACCATCTGGTGCTCACGGACACCAGCGAGAGCGACATGGAGTTTGACTTCGACGTGACCCCGCCGGCGGGAACGGAGCAGCCGTATAAGCCGCCACCGCCGGAAACGATCAACCATGGCACTCAGACCTCGAAAAAGGACGCTGCTCCGCTTCCTCCGAAGTACCCCATCCTGGTGCCACCCTACTACCGGGGATTTGACTGCGCCGTGGGCGATCGCTACATGGGCACGGCCTTTGGTCTGCCCGGCGAGGTGGTCTTCGAGGACGGCGTCTTCGGGCTGATGGGCGGCGGTCCACATGGACCCCAGCCGATCCCCTGCGGACGGACACGCGTGCCAGGCGCTTGGGGAAAAGGTGGAGCAGGAGCAGGAGCAGGAGCTGTCTTTGGCGGCGGAAGGGGTCGCGGAGGTCTTGGTGGTGGTGTTGGAACTATTGAAAAGGGTATATTGGGTGTTATTGGTGTGAAGAAGCCAAAGGGTGGCGGCAAATCTGAACCGATACCAGTGCGATTCCCCAAGCGATTCCTCAAGCCAGCCGAGGATGCGGCCAAGGCGGCCAAGCAGGCGGTGAAGGACGCCATCGCCAAAAAGAAGAAGGGCCCCGACATGATGAAGTACCTGCAGCAGAAGGGCACCCTGGTCCGCCCCTGGAATCCGCAGGAGGGCAAGGACAAGCGGCCCAGACCCCCGCCACTCACTGCAGTCGGAGACGATGGCCTCACCTACTTTGAGAGGAAGCGCAAGTTCCTGCTGGCCAGTCCGCCTCCTCTGCTTTGCTCCATCCCCAGGAGGGGCAAGGGCTGCAATCCCTGCGATGCCTGCCGCTACGACATCATCTGCTGAGGACAGTGGTCCACTTGCACTCCACCTCATCCGCTTAGTGTCTCGAAAAAATTTAAATGATTGTCTTAAATTTTATAACATTAAATTCCAACTATCTTCCTGGCTATTTAATAAACCCTTGCAGAGGGTACCCCATAAAGTATATATAGTATATAAATATTATAAAATAATAATGCATTCTGTTGGCCTGGTATCAGGTTGGCCTCATTTTTTGTAAAAACTTTTTTTGAGAATTGATTAGTTCTTGATTAGGAATGATATTACGACTTTGAAGAGGTTTGGAACATTACATTTAAGTATTTATATTTTTATGCCCAAAATACTAGTTTTTACTGATCTGATTTTTGACCAAAATACACATTTTTCAAGACGTTTCTGAAATATTACATCAAACCTTTTTGCAAAATTTAGTCAAAAAAGTACTAAAAAAAAGAAAAGTATTCCCAAAAAGGTATTAAAGGCTTGAATTTCTGTATGACCAAATTTATCTTAACTTTTTGCCAAAACACAAACAAATCAGAATACTTATGCAAGGATTACACAGTTGTCTTTATGGTTCTCCCGTTTTTAAAATTTTTGCATGCCATATCGAAGAGCAGAAGACAACATTCAGTTGTTAATGCTGTGAAAACCCGAATGGCATTATGAAATTTTATGTTATGGCAGAAGATTCCCATAAAGCCTCGCTCTCGTATATTATACATGAAATATGGCAATTTCAATTAGTTTTTAGTGCCGTCATGCAGACGTACAGACAAGCAGGGGATTAGATTTTGTAAGCCCAACAGCTTGTTTGCGTTATTATAACAGCATTTCGGACTGCCATTCCCACTCGAAATGACATCGGAATCGGGTTGCGTTTGTGGAGTCGAGTGGAGCGGAGTCGAGATTGAAAATGTTGTCTGTGCAGTTAATTAAATGGCAGGCACGCACAGGGGGCCGGGAAAACTTGGGGGAAGGGCTCTCAAAAGCGATTCAGATATCAGCTGAATCGCACACACGCACACGGCATAATAGCAAATTAATGGGAATTGCTAATATATGCTAAATACCTAAGCTGATTAGCAGAAAACGCATCATATCCATACTTCGGATGAAACAAACGAGGCTTGTATATTACCCTAATGAGTGGTCAAATAAAATTACATCATTCGTAAAACACAAATCAAAGGTTTGAATTAGGTTCAATATAAAATGATCTGCAAATTTGTAATTATATTATTTAAAAGTGGTTTATATTTCACGCAGATTTGATGTAACTAGTAATTTCGAGTGATTTGAAGACAGCTTCATAATTGACAGCAAAGTTACATTTTCCCTGTGGGAATTTCTGAGCGGACTATTTATCCTTCAACCCAAGGGATTCAAACTAAGGCAATTTATAAGTCCTTTCGCAAAGGTTTCAAATTTACACAAGAAGTACACGAAATTTTTAATTATACAAACAAATTAGGGCAATTAAGTGGGCAAAGCGAAAATGCAAAACGCGCTTTTCCAGGTGGAAACATTTTAGCTCGTAAATTAGGAAAAGAAAAAGATATATCTCATACCTTTGTTAACAGAAAATAAAAGCGGCAAAGAAAACCGTGAAAAAGAGGCCATAATGCTTAAGTCTTAACTGCAGAAAATAAGACTTCTGAATTTAAACAACGAGTTGTTTAAGAAAGTTTGGCCTGGAAAGTAAGGCTTGATTTGGTAGTCTATAATTCAAAAAATTAAAAATGCCCTAACTGAATGTTTCATCTCTCACCCAAAATTTTAAAATTTGTCACGTAGGCACGGCCTTTGGTTTGCCGGCGTCCTCTTCGAGGACGGAATCTTCGGACTGATGGGCGGCGGACCACAAGGATCACGAGTGCCTGACGCTCGTGGAGGAGGACCAGGTGGCCCGGTGGGTTTCTTTTGCCCTGGCAAGCCGAAGAGTGGCAAGTCCGAACCGATACCAGTGCGATATCCGAAGCGATTCCTCAAGCCAGCCCAAGATGCGGCCAAGGCGGCCAAGCAGGCGGAGGTTGACGCAATCGCCAAAAAGAAGAAGGGTCCGGACATGATGAAGTATCTGCAGCAGAAGGGCACCCTGGTCCGCCCCTGGAATCCGCAGGAGGGCAAGGACACGCGGCCCCGACCCAAGCCCGCGCAGCAATCGGGAAAGACGGCCTGAACGACATCAAGAGATGGCATAAGTTCTAACTGGCCAGCACGCCTCCTCTGCTGTCTTCCATTTCCAGAAGGGCAAGGACTACAGTCCCTGCGATTCCTATCAGTGCGACATTATCTGCAGCAGGAACCGTCTCCTTTGGACTCCACATCATTCGTTTTGGTTCCTCGGAAAATCTAAATGGTTGCCTTAAATTTTAAAATAAAAATATAATTGTGCCTTCCTGGTTTTTAAATTGTTGATTTTAACAAAAGGTAATTAATTGAAAAAGCTTCCTGGTCGGAACATCCTTAAAAAGAGTCCCACACCCAAAAATCAATCAAAGTCCTTTCGCAAAATGCAAAAAGCTCATTTCCAGGGTAAAAAAATTTTGCGTCTAAATTAGCAAAAGAAAAGTAGCAAAGAAAACCTTTAGAAAAAGAATTTAAACAACGCACTGTTAAAAAAAAAGTATGGCTCAAAAAGTAAAGCATGATTTAGTAATCAATAATTTAAAAATACTCTAGCTGATTATATCTTCTCATCCAAAATTTTTGCAATTTATTTTTCTCTTCAGTCCGCGTAATAGTACCTCCGACGTACCCCATCCTGGTGCCACCTTATATCGGGGATTCGACTGCGCCGTGGACGATCGCTACGAGATCATGGCCTGTGGTTTGCCCGGAGAAGTGGTCTTCGAGGACGGAGTCTTCGGTCTGATGGGCGGCGGTCCACATGGAGCACGAGGGCCTGGCGCTCGGGGAGCAGGAGCAGGTGGCCCGGTGGGATTCTTTTGCCCTGTCGGCAAATCCGATCCGATACCAGTGCGATATCCTAAGCGATTTCTCAAGCCCGCCTTAGATGCCGCCAAGGCGGCCAAGCAGGCGGAGTTGGACGCAATCGCCAAAAAGAGAAGGGGCCCCGACATGATGAAGTATCTGCAGCAGAAGGGCACCCTGGTCCGCCCCTGGAACCCGCAGGAGGGCAAGGACAAGCGGCCCAGACCCAAGTCTCCCAATGCAATCGGAGAGGATGGCCTGAACGACTTCCAGAGGAGGCGCAGGTTCCTACTAGCCAGTCCGCCTCCTCTGCTTTGCTGCATTCCCAGAAGGGGCAAGGGCTGCCGCCCCTGCGACTCCTATCGGTGTGATCCCTATCGGTGTTATCCCTGTCTGATAAAGGATCCGTGTTCTGTGGACTGCCATCGTCCGTTTTGACTTCCCGAAAAATTTAAATGGTTGCCTTAAATTTTCAAATATACAATTTAATTGTGTCCTCCTGCCATTTTTAATTGCAACTTCGCCAAAGAGAGTCCCACACCCAAAAATTGAACTGATTTCTACAGCTTGCAAGAAGTATTTTTAAAGTACTTTTGAGCTAAATTTTTTTTTAAGGTTTGAGTGCAACTTGATTAGGAATATGATAACGACTTTACATTTGGAAAATATTTATCGAGTCAGTGAAAATACGAACTTTTTCCAACATTCCATTTTTTCCAATTAATAAGTCCTTTCGCAAAGGTTTTAAATTCACAACAAGAGTACACGAAATTTTTAATTACACATACAAATTAGGTCAATTAAGTGGGCAAAGGGAAAACGCAAAAATCTCATTTTCAGGCTGAAAAATTTTAGCGCGTAAATTAGGAAAAGAAAAGGATATCTCTTTTACCTTTGTTAGCCGAAAAGAAAGCGGCAAAGAAAACCGTAGAAAAGAGGTCATACTGCTTAGGTCTCAACTGCAGAAAAAAATACTACTCTTTTTAAGCAACGCATTGTTTAAAAAAGTTTGGTGCAAAAAGTTAAAGCAAGCTGGTAGTTAATTTTGTCAAAAAACAAAAGTTCAGTGGCAGAAAATTATTCTCTCACCCAAAATTTAACAATTTGTCACTCTCCAAAATCCCCGTCAAAAAGTTTAAAGTGGCCGGCTCTATTTTCAACAATGTTTCTATACCGACATAAAACCAAATAAAGAGCCTGATAAATCACGCCAAAAATTCCAGATATGACCCGGTGTCAGCGACGGAAATATTTTATAGGACACTTAGCAGGTGACGGGACCGCATTTAAATTTGGCACTGCAGATAGGCATGAAAATATTCCGAAATTGTGGCACTTCAGCTACGAAATATGCGGGTGATTGGGGCCAGGATGTGCAGATGATTAAAATATTCGCAATTATGATTTTGAGAAGGGGGAGGTAACTCCCCAGCCGCCCTGCATAATTCAATGGACCAGAAGGGTCGATATTTCGGGGCAAACCCTTGTTGAATATTTCATTTAATGGGATTTTTAATTTGACGCTTTAAAGTCAACATAACGCTGGTGTGAGTTGGGCAAAGGTAAACGCATTTTGGCACTCCATAAATCAGGCAAGTCAAACGCCGCTTGGCTGGCGAATAGTTGATACCCTGGCCGAGGGCAAAGAACCTGGATAAATATTTATTCAGGCTAGTGCTGGCCAGGTCGAAAGGAGCCCGCTCTTCGGGAATTGCAGAACATCCAGGAACCCAGGAACTCAGGACGCCAGGAACTCTGGACCTCAGGACTCTCTGGCCGTCATGTCAGTGGCCATTCGACGTGGCAGTTAACATCCGTTTCCGTCAGCACAAACAAAGCTTTTATCAGACGTTAAAACTGCGAGCAAGCAAGGAACGGAATTCCCGGACTCTCGGCCAAGTTAAGAAAATATTGTGCCATAAAACCAGTGCGGGCCAGAAAAGTGCGGCTGAGTGAAGGCCTCTTTTAGAGGACTGTCCGAGACACTTTATCATCATTTGTCAATTAGTTGCACTACCTTCGTCGGGTGAGCAGGATGTTCCGGGTCCTTCCCCGGGCCAAGTCCATTAGCAGAGCCAAGTTATTTGCTGCATAATTCATAATAATTATGCCAGCAGATTTGCGATGCCCCCGAAACTTTCCAAGTGTCCAAATTAAGCTGCGCCTTTTTTGAATACAATTTTTGCCGCTTAAGTTTCTCGCTCTTTGCAAAACTTCTACGGCGCCCTTGGCGCTTTTTGCGATTTTCCGAGCAGCTGTGCGAATTTTAGATACGTTTCTGCGAAGGCTGCTGTCAAAGGAAGTCCGCGTCCACCTGCTTCAATTCAGTTGCCCTGCAGTAATCGCCATAATGCTAAATTCCAGATGGGACTCCTCTGAAAATTCGGCCTTAAATGAGTGCAGGATAATTGCTTTGCTTGACAATTTTCGGTTTTTAGGTCAGCTAACAGTGGTAAGACAACAAATAGTGAGTTCCTTTAATTAAAAAGAAAAAAACTATTATATATTCTACTGGTTTTTGTTGGAAAACTTGTATAAACAAATCCCGATGTTTAACTAAAAGCTATTATTTTAACGTTTTGAATATTCGATTGCAACGCGTTTTAATTGCCGCGTTAAGCCAAGTCAGGCGACTCGACACGCTTGCATGCAACCGGGCACGCGATTCGCAATTCGTTCCGCTGCCGCGCAACCGTTGCTCTAATTAATGCAGAAATCCGCCCGGCGACAACGCTGCGTATGAGCAACAAACAGCCAAGGCGACTTGACGTTGTAATCGGAGTACGCTCCGTGCGTTCCAAATGCTTGTGTGGGTGTAGGGCGATTGCACTTGCAGAAAATTTGAAGAATTTTTGTCCTTTTTAAATCCCAATATACTTGTTTGACAATCAAGGTACGACTTAGGTAAAACTTCTTCTTTTATTTATAGCTTTTAACCTTCTTCGAATATTTTCACTTCCAGCTGGGAGCCTTTTTCTGTAGTGTAGACTGCATGAAGTACAAACCCTTTAGTGGGCGTACTTGCAGCCCTTCTCTGCCCTTTGCCAAAATACAAAAAGGAAGAAACTGAAACAAACATTTTGTTACCAGAAGCTTTACGATTCCATTAAAGGCTAAAAGGAAATGTCAGCCAGAAAAAGGGCATCAACTCCAAAAGTTCTAGGGCATTTTGGTTAACATCCCAGCATTTTTCCATTTCTGTGTGCCTTAGCCACAAAAAGCAAATTAAAGAACTGCAGTATTATTCGAAGTTGAAGTAATTTCCGCGCAAATAAAGAATTATTTGCTTAACCATATAGGTCAACGCCGTAGAATCCACTTTTCCGTTAATTTATTTACGAGTACTTCAGTTTATTGCTTTACAATCCTATCCAGGAGAGTCAACTACAATAATCCTAAAAACAAAACTTTCTTGTTATGAGCTTCCCTGACACAATCCAAACAGGACGAGGGACCAACGACCCCCAAGTGCTTGTGTGCAATAAAATATTTATTCATGCATGCATGCGAACAAGTGCGCGGAAATTTCGCTTATTTTTGTGAAACTCAAAAACCCAAATAAAATAAATCCCAAAAGCAATTGCTTCGCGATGTCATTTCTGGCATTTTTCGCAAGCTGGATAGAATCCCGAGGGGCTGCAAGTGTGTGCAGGTAAACATAAAGGTTAAACAAACACTTTGTTTTTAATACAATAATGTTTAAATAAAACATAGTTTGTTTTCATATTGTTTTAGGCTTATAAACTCACCTTTAAATTCCACTTACATTTTAAAGGTTAATTTATGCAGGGAGTTAATAAAGCTTAGTCTTTGGCTATCGGAATACTTTAATTTTATGCCATCGGCGTAATCCCTTTGCAAGACACAAAACCAATTTATTCAAAATTAAAAACTAAATAATCCCAGTAAGCCTTTCTGCAGAAGTAAAGTGTTCGATATGCCGTTGATTGATACACAATTTCGTCATTTGTTTCCATTTTCCTTTACGGCCCCAAGGGATAAACATTTGTCATCAGTTTGTAGCAATAAAGGATTAAATGAATAGTAAAATGAAACCAAATAATAAAACAAAAACAAACCAGAGCGATGGGAAACACCATTTGGCTGGATTTTTGTGGGCATTTAAAGTTGTAAGCATATCGGAATGCTCGGCCACAGAGCAATTAAAAATATAAGCGATAGGGAAACGAGAACGCCAGAAGGCAGCAGCAAAATGAATTTCAATTAAACAAAAACCCCCATCCCCGAAAAATAGCCAAACGAATAAGTGTTAGAGCGGCCAATGAGAGGCAAAGTTAAAATTCAATTAAACGAGAGTTTGGCTCGAACATAAATTCCCCAAATTTCTTTGCACTTATGTGGGGACGAAGAGAGCAAACTTGGCTAAAACTGCATAAGGACAACTCGGCAGACAAGGAACAGCTGTTCGACCTCGTCCTCGTCCTCATCCTCGTCTCTGGATCCTTGCCTCTGAGTGCCTTCGATGATGAGCCATTGGCCATGAACTTTATGGACATTTTGCGGTTCAACTTTGCCACTTTCACCTCCTTTTCGGTCTCTTTTGTGTATGAGTGTGTGCGTGTGTGTTTATTGGCAAATATTTTTGCTAGCTTCGAAAATATTTGCTCTCCAGTCGGAGCAGTCTAGCTGAAAATTGTGAACTGCAAGCAGCCGCCGGCGAGCAGAATGTGCAGCATATTAAACACTTTTCTCGCACATCAGCATCCACAAAAAAGTTGATCCTAAATAGAGTCAACGAACTGAAGAGGGCATTAAGCTGCCAATTTTCATGACAGAAGTCCCGACTTTGGAGCCATGAGAATGCACTATGCAAATGCAGCGCAGCCACACAAAAATATTGTATATCATTTTGGCTGAGAAGTATTGAGCTGCTCAAAATGTATAAACAAGGAATTCAGAGACTCCAAATTGGAGTGACTACAGCAATGAAATATTGCACACAACATTTTTTAAAATGTAAGAATCATATTTTAGGAAGCATGTTACTTTCATTTATTATATCCGTCCCGTGAAACTCAAACAAAACTTCGTAAATTATTAATGAATTTCTGAATTTATTCTTATTATTTGTAAGATAACAAAATAGTTATAAAATTCTAATAAAGTTGCCATGCGGCCCACAATTCACACCTACAACGCTAAAAGACTTTTAAAACAACTTTCAGGGAAGTTTCTTCAGTTTACGAAGCTGACTGCAACTCAGCCGCGAATGTTTTTCAAAAATTAAATTTAATTGTGGCCCCGAAGAAGAAAGCCAGCTGACTGCATCCGAAATAAGGCCAACGAATTCTGGTGCAGTAAAGTTTCTTGCCCTTGGCGAATTGTAAATTTTAATGACCCCGCTGAAGGGTTGAGTGGGTGGCGAAGGGACCCCACCAGTCGACAACAAAAACTCAGCTCAACAATGACAAACAAGGAGAAAATAAAAATGGAATAAAAATAAAATATTCCGTAATAATGCATAAAATAAAGGAAATGGTGCTCCGTCGAGAAGAATTGAGTTCTCTGCGCACAAAAATTCACACGAAGTGTCGGGTATTGTACCCTACAAAATAGGTGTGGGTATCTTTGTGTGTGTGTGTGTGCGTATATCTGAATGAGGGGACACGCAGACAACCGCAATTTCTTGTCCTGTTTTTGTTGTTGGTCGTTTTTTGTCGCTGTCGTTCCCAACATCGCCATCAAAAGGACTGGCTGCAACACACTTTTATCAACTTTAAATCCGCAAAATGAGATTTCTTGTGGATTTGCATAGATTAAACTGCAATGGCCGTCCCCTAAATAAGTAAACGCCGTATATATAGTATAAAATTTCCTTGTTGGTCAGTGCTTTTTCGCAGTTCGTTGTGAGTTTTGTTCATGGATTGTTTAGCATTTGTTGAGCCAGAATCACTGGCTCGTGGTCCATTTATTTTTTTTCGACTACTCCAGTACTTCTGACCAGCTTTTCGCTCTTGGTTTTTGGTCATCGATTTTGTGGTTCAACAAAGTTTGCGACCATTATTTTCTTAAGCAAAAAGAGGTTTCAGCTGTGAGTTAATATTTTTCTTATGAACTTACAATGAAGAGAACTGCAAATTAAATAATCAGATGCTTAAAGTTCTATAATTAATGAAAGCTAACAAGTTAATTGAAAAATGTGGACACAAAAGAATACTAGAAAAAGTAAGCTAAAGTTTCTGTTATTTTTTTTCCTTTGACTCTCCTTAGTTTCTATTATGTGTTTTTTTTCTGTGTGGTTTTTTGGGCAAAACCAGGCAAAGTTTATGTCGCTCGAAAACTCATTTAAAGTTTTAAAAGTGTTGATAGATGTCTGCCAGCCACGCCCAGTCTTGAAAGTGGCTACCGCCCCTTTTTCCTTTTGTTCTGCCCTATTCTGCTTTCTGTTTCGACTGAGGCTGTTTTCATTAGCCTTTTCCAAGGGAAAATCTGACGACACGTGAGGCACTTCAGCTTCTGGCTTAACTCCCCCGACCACCTAAAAAGGCCAAAAATAAAACAAGCAAAAAAGCAAACTTGTTGATAGTTGTTCGACAGTAGCTTAGGACTTTAAAAAAAAAGTGGAAGGGCGGCGCTCAACTTTAAAACGCAACACGTGTCCTGCCCACGGCAGGATCTACATCCTATATCCTGGCCCATTGGGTCTGCTAGCATGGCCAGGACTAAATGGCACTTTGATTGATGTCTGCCACAAAAGTGTCCTGAATGTAGGGCCAATTGACAGACCCCCACATATGAGCAGGTGTAGTGGAGTGACATCTATCTAGGCCACTTGCTTTGCCAAATGTCAACTTAATTTCTGCCGAGGATTTGCCTAATTTCGTCTCCTTAAATATTCACCGTAGCCTGCCGTATAAAAGGCTTTTCATGTCCCCCATTTCGAACAGGGTCGGGCTTCGAAAAACCCGGCTTTAGTTGCCACAGAGAACTACGTCAAATTGGCGGGGCCAGGCAATCAGAATATGCCAAGTGCAGTTTCCACTCGGTTTTATTTCGGCCACTCCAGCCCACAAAGGAGCCGAAAGTACTGAGCACAACATTTCGCTTTCATCCAATCTGAAAAACCCACGAAAAGCTCTTAGCTCCTGCTGAATTCTCATCGCATTCAAAGCGCAGAAGCGTGAGAGAAATGGGGAGAGAGGGGGTGGATGAATGGGGGGAGGACATAAATTGTGGGCGGTAAAGCACCACCTGTTGTAGTTGTTGCTGGATAATCCAACCACACGCAAGATCAAGCCATAAACTGTTGACCCACACAGCAGAAAGTTGGTTAAAGTCCTCTGTCAGCGGTTATAGTTGGCTAAAATTGTTTCAAAAGTTATAATTTTTTATAGGGCCCTGCGATTAAAAGCGTAAAATAACTGATGAGCCATATACTGCTGAAAGTTTTTGTTTTCCATTCTGTTTTAAAGGAATTTATATATTAATTTTTTTATATTTAATTAATTACTCTAACTATAGCAACACTGGCAGATCCGATTGAACTAAGTAACGTTTGGTTTTTGTGTCTACTGTCAAGTATCGCAATATTTGCTAAAATAAAATTTATTGAAACAATAGAAAAAAACGTTTCAGAGAATACAAAGTGAGATCATAATGCAGGTTGTTAGTGAACCAGTACAGCAGTTTGGAAGCCGGAGCCATCAGGCGGAGTCCATTCCCCTGGGAAGATATGGAGCCTACGGATCGGACATTTCAGAGATTGAACAAGATGACCAGGATAAAGGCCTTGGTTTCTCCAACGACTTCATCCGGCGGGGATTCATCCGAAAGGTGTACCTGATACTGCTGAGCCAACTAATGGTCACCCTTGCGGTCATCGCAGCATTCACTCTGGACAAGCAGATTCGAGTTTCCGTGGCGAACAACACGCCATTGTTTTTTGTGGCTCTGATTGTGATGATGGTTACGCTGGTGATTCTCGCCTGCAGCAAGGATCTCCGTCGAAGGACGCCGATGAACTTCATCTTTCTGGCGGTTTTCACCCTAAGTAACGCCTTTTTGCTGGGCGTGGCAGCGTGTCGATATGCCCCGAAGGAAGTTCTCCTGGCCGTGGCAATTACTGCGGCTGTTTGCCTCGGACTCACTTTGTTTGCCCTGCAAACACGTTACGACTTCACCACGATGGGCGGCATCCTGATGAGCCTCCTGATTATCCTGCTGCTCTTTGGTATCGTAACCATCTTCGTTGGCGGCAATGTGGTCACAACCATATATGCATCCTTAAGTGCTTTGCTCTTTTCCGTTTACCTGGTCTACGACACACAACTGATGATGGGCGGCAAGCACAGGTACTCGATAAGTCCAGAGGAATATATATTCGCCGCCCTTAATATTTACATGGATGTGGTTAACATATTTCTGGACATTTTGAATATCACTGGGGGATCCGATGGCTAGACAATCCCCACTAATCCCAAAAACATGGCATACTTTCCGGCACTTATCGGATTTTTCACGCCACTGATTCGATGTCGAAAATTAATAAATCAAAATGTGCAGCATCAATTGAGCCGATTATTCACGTTTCAGTTCATAAATTACCAACATTAAGGGACAACAGGTGCAAGGACCACATCCGCCCAATAGTGCGAATTGTCAATTAAGTTATTAGTTCGGGCAATAAAACTGTCAAGGCCGTAACAACATTAACATAAAGCTTACACAAATTAGATGCTGTCGGAGCAAAACTTTCGCAATAAATGTATCTGCGAAAGTGTGCACAGCAGAGTTTGTGTGACAGCCACGGAGGTCCGGTCCCAAAAGCCAGACTATATATACATTGTATATATATCTGGCTATCGGTCGGTCAAACAAATCAAGCGAACTCGGCGGCAGCTGCCGAGGGTATAAATTTAATTAACAATTGACAGTCGCTTGACAGTTGGCCGAGCACACAAAACCAGCAGCAACAAAAAACACAGAGATTCCTGATAAAGATCCTGATAGGAACAATATAGTGCTGTGTGGTTCCTGCGTTGAAATCGAATCATTCGATTGACTGCGAATAAATGCGTAATCATATTGAATTCAAATAGGTCAATTCGTTGGTCATTTGAGGTAAATTAAATGGTTGATATTTTGCTACAGAAATCGTTTTTTTGTATTAAGGTCTGTTGTTAAATAATTCAAAATAAATATTTTATTGAAGTAAAGAATTTACTTAAAATATTTACCCAGCTCGGGCAAGTGTAGTGGCAAAACATTTCCTACAAGTTAAATATCAACTTAGTACTGACCCAAACCGATTTTCTGGCTTGGGAAAGACTTTGCCAACTAGTTCAATCAAATGACAACTCTAGGAAGGTCATGGTTCGCATCGGAGAAATGACCCCACAAACTTTGCGGTCTGCCATCAATAAAAAGTTGGCATCCTCGTTCACATCCTCGTTCACATGTGGATGCGAAATCAAATCGAAGGGTCCTTATCTTATCTGTTCGGGCGACCGTGACCATGATCCTTGGCCACAGAAAAAAAACTTTCTTTTGGCTGCGTTTTATTCGCTTGGCTTTGCGCTTGGTTTTTCTGATCCAGCTGTATTTGTATTTGTTTTTTGGTTTGTGCTTGGACGTGTGGACAGTTTTGTTTCCTGTCAATGCTTTTGTCACTTTTCACAGGACACTCGCACATTTGGCGAGGAGCATAAGGGCACCCGCAGTTTTGTTGTCACGTTTGTGGTTTATGTACACATTTCCCGCTCGCCGGCATGAAAAGTGGAAAAGCATCCAGAAACTAACTGTGATTCATGTAAAACATGTGGTTCTCACAAATACACTCGCTCATGTGTAATGCGAAAGCGTGGAGTCATGAGGATTTTGTGCCCCACCCACTGCTTTCCACCCACCAGACCCATTCACTGGCGACTTGCATAAAGGCAACACTCGCCGAAAAGTTAACGCTCATGAGCGACACACACAGGGTTTTTATTTCTACTTCTGTTTCAGTTTTTATACCTCGTAAAATGTCCGGGTATATGGTCCCGTGAAAATATACGAAACAGGCTCTATAAAAATAATGTTCTATAAGGTATTGGTGTAATGTTCGAATTAAATGTCTATAAAAATACATAGTTTCTACCTGATTTAAAGGGAAACCCAAACACTACTATATCAAAATATGGCAGAGGGTAACTGAGAGACTTAACATTTGACAATAGCTTTCTGACTTATTTTTACGGCTTTCGGAAACTTTTGCGCATATGTTAAGCCAAAGGAAAGCGGGGTCGTGGAGAAACTATTATGAATATTATATTTAGGACATGTTGCAAGTGCGTTAATGAGTTTTTTGTTCCCGTTTGGCAGACGGACAGAATGTAATTAGTCGCCCATGGAAGGACCACCCATATTTTGTTGCCATTAATCACATAACTTACCACCGAAAGACAGGCGGTTAGAAGGACAAGCGGGCAGCCAGACAAAATGACAGGGAAACCCACGTTTCGGCTTGACACAGATTAACATGAAAAGGATTAGCAATGAAGATGTCCTTTATACTGGTATATTTCATTCTAACTAAAATACGTTATTTGTAAATGCCATTTAAAGCCAGAAGTATTATTTATAAAAAGCAATTTTGTAAAGTGATGCATTTGGATACACACACACTAAATGCAAACTGTCTACCGGCCAATTAACCCTGTTCGACGACAGGCAAATCGAACTAAGAGCTCCTCAATATCACTCATCCGCAGAGTGAGCATCCATAAAATGTTTAACCGAATTAGAAGCACAACTTTGAAAAGTGAAATAACCCTGGCGTAAGCTGAAATTCTGTTTTCTCGTCTTTGAAACTCGGCAGAATGGTAGAATTTCCTTTTAGCCGCCTGCTGATGTCCGAAATCAATTCGAACGGGGACTCAATCAAACATTTCCCATTCGCATTCCGGTTCGGTGCTCTGCACTCCTCCTCAAGCATTTTGTCCGATTTCTGGGCCCTGCCAAAAATGCCAATGCTATTTTCCATTCGCCAATCACACTTTTTTTTTGCCAATTTGCCCTCTTTCTCGTTGGATGCTCTGTGCAGTTTATTTTGCAATCAAATTGTTTTTATCACATCCGCACAACTAAACTGTAAACATTTGCAAGCAACACTCTTGCCAGTTGCCCACCAAATCTGGAAAAATAAGAAAATATGGGGGAATGCAAAATGTATGTGAATCCGGAGATCAGGAGCGGATTTACCTTTTTGATACATTATTTTCATATTCCGTAAATTGGCTTGCTAAACTTATTAGATTTGTAAAAATTTGAAATAACTGATAGATATTTTAAATGGAAGCATAAAATTCCCTGAATATTTAATATCAACATATATCATATCCGAATTATATCAATATCTATAAAATATTCAGGACAGTGGGAATTATAGGCACTTACATTTCCATTAAAAATGGACAAAATAACCGAAATCCCACTAAATTCGTAAATCCGACTCTGAACGAAAGTGCCATGAAAAAAATGAAAAGTAGTCTCAACCAAAAAAGGGAAAACGAGTGAAACTGCAACGGAAAATTAGAAAAAGTCCGAATTCGAGGCTCCAGCTGTTTGTGGATTTTGTGGAGGAGTGAGCTGAAAATGTTTCGGTGGAGGAAAAAGAAATTTGCAATCAAAGTTGAGAGATTTTGCTGCTATTTTTTCGTTATGTTTGCCGTTGTTTTGCTGCTGCTGGTTTTTGGCCACATTTAACTTGGGTTTTGGAGGGTGTGGTGGCAAATTGAAAATCAAACTGACGGCGAAAATCAATTAATGTCCTCCCGGAAAGCGTTCGACAAACTGTTCTCCAATTTGGCTAATTGTTGGCTAAAAGTTTGGCGATGGGAAGCCAATCGAATTTATCGTACAATACTTTTCATTACGCCAATGGTCTGAAATTCATGAAAATTTCAATCGCTTTCCATTTGTCGGTAAGCCGCTTAAATTCCTCTTTGATCCATGGGGAGCATAGACTGTAAACTCAAAACTTGGGGACCCTGACCCCAACCCGTGTCAGCTTTCTGGCTCAACTCTGGGCAATTTTTGGCTGGCCACGTGATGAGCATCAAAAGCGTATTCAAATCCAGTGACAAACAAGCGGAGAATCTCCGGAGGGAGCGGGATTTTCGGGGCAGTCATGCACACACCCCATACCCGGAATCCGGACTTGAAGCCTCTGGAGCATGGACAATTTAACAAACCTATTTATTTATGAAAGCCAAATGCAGTTCGATTGTCGGACAATGAGGGATGTGACCGAAATTCAATTGAAATCATCGAATAAGCCTGTTTCTGGGGCAGTCACGTGTATCTCGACTCTGACCTGAGTCAATAACAATGGAATTAAGTGGAACAATTTACCAAACTGCCTAGAAAATTACTCGGTCGTAAGGTCAAAATGGACATAGAGAAGCGACCAATTTTAATGCCCCACATTGCTTAATTTCCGAAAGAGAATAACCTAGTTTTTTTTTTCTAAATATTTGCTTAATATTTAGTTCTTTAATTTTTAATGTTATTCTTTAGTCTTTGGTATTGTTTTTCACTTTCTAGTCAATATGAGTGCTCCCCAAAATTACCGCAAAGTTTCCAAGAGCCGAGAGCTCTTGGTAATTTTTCAATTAGTGGGAGCCCGCCCAAATCCAGTTGTGATTTTCTGCTTTGATTCGCAAACTGTGTCAGCCACGCCCACAGGGCTTCCATGCCTTTGCTGCAAAAATATGACTGCAACATGGGGAACGAAAGCAGATTTAGCAGGTTGCTGGCAGGCGGGTTAATAACCGACATGCCACGAAAAATTAATGGCAAACCATTTAGCCAGGTTTTTTTTCGTACCGCCACGCGACCGCCAAAGGGCAGCCCCGGCCAAAAGAAGCTTGGGGTGCAAATTATGCAACAGACAGGAGAAAGCAGAGGGTAAAAAAGGGGGAGTCAGGGGGGCCACGGAAAACCTGTAAATGGGAATGGAAAACTTTGACTTAATTTGCGGCCGCGAAACAGGTGGAAAAACATCCACGGGCAGGGGAGACTGCCAGAGACTGGCAATTTAATTAACGGAGCCAGTTAAACATTCAAACACTGACACCGAGCCTGACTCCCACTGTCTCTGTAATTTCCCCCGCCCCTTTCCCCGCCCGAGGTCCTTGGCCCCGCCAGCACACAGAATGCGACCCACGAGGACCTTCGCAACCCTTGTTCAGCGGACGGGGAAACAAATAAAAGTGCTCCGCTCAAGTGGTGCACGCAAAATAACTTAAAAGCCGCAAAGTGGCTGGCAAAAACTATTTAAGTTTATGCGATAACAACAATAAAGGGACAGGCCCACACCACTCAAGCAATTGAAGCCGCGTTAGAGTTGTCTATTTAGATAATGAACTTTAGCTTTTAGGCAAGTGAAAAAAGCTGAGTTATAAAATTATACATTTCTTATACCACAAAATAAATAACAAAATTTTTATAAACAGTGCAACATTCATATGTTATTTTAAACGCTTCTAAGTTTGTTTCTAACAAACATTACATATTAAAAAATCGAACCTTGACTTTGTGAAAAATTATATTTCAATGCTCTTTTCAGCATTAAAGCTATTAAACACTCTAGGAATTTATTTTAAGTTAATTGCTGCAAATTTCAAATTCAGCAACATGATAATTCTAGCTGTCTACGTGCTACTTTATCTTTTCAAACGAACAAAACCCTGTGCACTACGCGACTCCACAACTCCCGCCCTTTACTCCTTAATGTCCTAGGTGAATGTGCTGCATACTTCAAGGCGTGGGCTACATTCTGTTGTGTGCGTGTGCGTGAGCGTGAGTGCGTGTGTGAGGGCTCGTGAGCGTGCGCTGGTGTGAGTGCAGTTATGTAATTATGGTAATTAAAAACGCGCAGCAAACGCCGTTTGTCTTGTCATCGTATTTCATAGTTAAGCACCTTTTGGCTTTTCGTATTTGCACAAAGCCATAGACAGAACTTGCTCATTTACATGAATAATACTCCTAACACATACAGAAACAGACATCCTTGCTCCTCGACGAAGTTATGATTATTTCGTTATAAACTGTGCGTTTCCTTTGTTTCACCCACTCAACCCTTCAGCCGTTATCAATTAACAATGCTAATGAGACTCGAATGGGCTGGGAAAATTGTGCGAAAAAGCGAACAATTTAACAGCAGAAGGTGTTGAATGTGAAATATCTGCTTTAATCTGCCCATTGGGATTACCATGGTGCTCTTTACCGCAAATCAAAATTATTCACAAGGAAAAAAGGCGAAGCTACATGAAAAAAATAGTATGGATTATTTATATCCATTTGGATATTTAATATTCAATGGGTTTAATGGCTTGCAATAAATAAAGTTGAAGCGATTAATATTCAGCATTCACTTTATTGAGTTTTAATGACTACATACCACATAATAAAGTTGTTAAAGTTGTAATGCTTTAAAGATGGAAACTTTAAAATTAAAAGCTACAGCAAATTGCATTAAATCCTTTACACGACACATAGCATAAACACTTTTAGCATAAATATTAAAGCCATTCAACTTCAATCCAAAATATTTGCGACACTCTGCTGCATTTGTTTTGGTCAGCAAGGTGATATAATAACCACAAAAAATGCTTGCATAATAAATTGGTCAGAAATAACAAATGCGAGGAGATGCGAAATAGCAATAATATTGAATAATTCCATAAGCTTTCCTACTTCCCTCTACGTAGTTTTAAATTATATAATGTGTAACAAAAATATCAAAACCAAACGCAAACAATAACAGAGTCCGAACAGAACAAAATCGTATTTACAATGACAGCAAAAGTAAACCCCAATCAACCGCATGGAAATCATTTCATTCAATCAGGTTTTTACTAATTTTAATAAAACGTAATGCTCTAGAGAATGTTTACAATGAACTTTGCATTCCCTTAATTCTCATTTGTATGCACCCTGCCAAATAAAATTGGTTTCATTGTTTGTAGTTAGAGATTAACCTTTGAGAGTTCATACATATATATTTGCTAGCGAAATGGTATACAATATACCTGTTACTCCCCCAACGCTTATGGTTTTTGGCCAGACGCATAAACCACAATTTGCGGCTAATGCTGGCGCCACAAACATCGATGCCGACACCTCTGAAATCGAAAAGCTTTCCCTTTTTTTGTGGAGGTTTGCGCAAACGGTAGCAATATGGGTACAAACAAAAAAATAACACTGATAGAGCTGCCCAACATATGTAAGCATTCACCTTTCACACGATTCCCGGCCAGCATGCGAATGAGCTCATTAAAAGCAGACGCTTCTTGGCCAAAAAGAACCGAGCCGAAAGCGAAAACAAGACCGAAACGAAAGCTCAATCGAATATGCAAAGTGCGGAAAAGGGGGCTCGAGATGCGCTGCAATTAATCAGTCACGAATCTCAATCGAGTTCAAGCGAAATCGAACGATAACTGTTTTGATTTACCAAACAATGTAGAGCTTGTAATTATTTGCGCTTCACTTCGGGTGTTTATTTGTTTTCTTTCCGTTACCTATTTGCCCATAATTTCACATTTGAAGCGATTAAATTTCGCTTTTGGCCTTGTCTCCAGCCCTCAGCTCGTTATGTTGTTTCAATTACCACTGCTTATTTATTTAACTATGTTTCTGCATCACGCTGTAATTGATTTTCAGCTCTTGGGGCCACGGTGCGTATGATTGATTTGTCAGCAATCAAGCTGAAGAACCCTCGAAAACATGTATTTAGCAAGAAATTTCTATTATTATTGTTAACCTCAACTGCAAACAGGAAAAAGTCAGCGGATAAATACTCATAAAAGCATCCAGCAAATGGGCAAAACTCTTTACTAAACTCAAGGCAGCGCAAATATTTGTTCGCTAATTAAGCATTTCTACGTGCTTAAATTTATTTCTGCCGTTTATGTGATTTTTTCTATTTATCCAGCTTCCCATTCAGGGGCTATAATAATAAATTTGACATCACTGGTGGCAAAGCATAAAATTACCGGCAGATAAAACAAAATGTAAGCAGCTGGAAATTAGTTTTGAGCTCATCAAACACAGGTGATTGATCGAAGCTCGCAGGTTGATAACATTGACCCTATCGACACTCCGACCTAGTGATCAATTAATAGCACAAACACTGACTTAAACGCCCCTAGACCATCTTTTTTGTTAACCCATTAGTGAACAATGAACAAAAAAAAAATCTGACTGCATGAAACATCAGTGTCAGCTTTAAAGACTATTGACTACACCATTGAAAACGACTATCTACTATTTTAATATTTAATACTATTTTTATATTTATGGTGATATCCACTTTAACAAATTTTTAAGTCCCTGTAAATCTTAATTAAACGCCTATAAATAATTTTTAGTTGTCCTTAAAATGAACGTAAATACTATTAACATTTTTTAAGTGCGTGTTAAATTACGAGATATTCTTCTAGCAATTAATGGGTGTTAACCCAGACATCAGGTTTTGTTTGTCCACTGTTTGCACTTTGTTGACAACTTGGAAGTTACGCTGCTGCTGCTTTTTCTTCACCCAGCTCAGCCTTCTTTTTTGTGTGTTTTTATGTTTTTACTTGAGCTTTAGTTTCAGCTTCTGCCGGTGGCTTCGTCGGGCGGTAAATGAAGTTAACTTGGCCTTGTCGCACGCCAGTCTGCTTCTGACATTCGCGCGTTGCGCTCGATCGCCGCTTTTATCTTCTGTGATATTACGTTTTTATTGGCCAAAAAGGGCAAGAGTGCCGAAAAGCGAACCAAAGCCGCTTAGGTTCAAAAATAAAATTAAATTCGATTTTAGTGGAGCGAACTTGAGCTGGGAATTACGAGTCGCAATGAAAACGGTAATTCAAAAACAAGAACCCAGTCGCGTTGCCCGCTTATGGCCAAATACCAAAGTGTGTTTTGACTGGAACCAATTCTGGTTGGCCACATAGCTCAATTTATTTGCCGAATTTTGTAGATCAATTAGATATGCTAATCGGTGTGATAAAACAAATCTGTCAAAGCCATAAATCATTCACAATCGATGCGGAAAATAAATGTGCTAAGATGTGTGTTGAACAGGATTTTGATATACACACATCATATGTTCCAATATTTTTCCCATTTATCTTAGTCTTGTTAATTTAAAAATCAACGTAATAAATGAGTTCCAAAAAGAAAGCTACTATTATATTACACTTCTCTTTTTTTGGATTTTTTTATTAATGTAATTCACTTATTTTGATTATAACTAAGTGGTTGATACTTTTTTAATTTAAGTCTTAAAGACCCAGACCAAATATTTAATGCTTTCTCTGGCAGTTAGCTAAATCATAAATTGTTTGATTTAATAATTGATTTTTCTTTATAAAGTTTCAAGTTGGAAGCCATAAATTCATTCAAAGAAAAGCTGTAGAAACACATAAATCTAAACTAATGGCAAAAAACGTGTTTGTTATTCAAATAAAGCCACTCAACACAATGGTTTAGTTTTAATTAAGATATATTCTATACAAAATTAATCTATTAAAATGTAGTTTATCATGAAAATAAATTGGTATTTGTATGTACGTTTTTCAAGAAATGTTCTTTGTTTTTTCTAGATAAATCACACACTCCTGTTAGTCCTGGCGGCAGCTTGCCTCACCAGCATAACCTGGGCAGCTCCAGCTCTGCACTTCAGTAATCCGGAGCCAGACGAACTAGATGCCTATCCCACATCGCCCACTCAGGTGCTGCCCATTCAACCTGTGCTGATTTATCCCAAGCCCCGCGAGAATCTCTATCAAGCGAGAACTCTAGGGCGAAATGACGAGCAGGATATCATCTTCGTGAAATTATTGGACGACAAGTCCAGTGGCTATCGGCCCAAGCAGCAGCGCTTGGTTCTGGAAGACGTGAAAACCTCCCAACGGAAGAATCTCGGCATGAAGGACATCTTCTACGTGAAAGCCCTTACCAACGGACGTTTTAGCCACGAACGACTGAAAGTGTATCGAGTGCCTGAGTTCTACGCCATCAGTGTTTTTAGCAACGGCGACAAATGAGGGAAGACAACGTGTTAACGATAAAAAGGAGTAATATAAGTTATTTTTAAGACGCTATAAATAAATACCTCAGGAGTGCCGAAGTGCAGTGTGTTTTTTTTTTTCGCCCGAACTCTTATCGCGGCGCCACTTTGCGTCCGCGGATTTACACGCAATTTCAATTACTCATAAGCCGGGCTCAGGCGCGCTGACTGATGGGTGTCAGCATCGTCTTGGCCAACAGCGCCAACATTGGTATCAACATTGGCAGCGACATGAACTCTGTGGGTTCCGCTTCTCGTTCCCGCGCAGCCACGTCAAGTGGCAATTAATAACTGTCAGTCGATTGGCGGCTGTGGCTCCAGCTCTACAAGCTCCACCACCTTCTCCGCCTCACAAATCCCCACATCCGACAACAAAGAACTAATCCCTTTGTCACTGGGCGTCACAGACCGCGGGCCAAAGCATTACGTCAAAATCGAAGAAGGCAACAAAAGCGCCACAAAAAACATAAAAGAAAATGGAAAGGCTTTCTATGGAAAACCGAATTCTGGATACGCTTGAGGGTAGAGAATGTTGGATATAATGGTCTTTGTTAGGGGATTAAAAGAATTGGACCAGATCAACAATAATAAATAATCAATACCAAAAGACCCAAAAAGGAAAATTTTTTCGAAACATTTTGAAAAATTGTTTAACTTTTAAAAAAAAAACTATAAAAAAAATTTTAGTCGTAAATTAGCGAAATACATTTTTTTCAAATTAATTTTGGCTAACCAAAAGCTTACAAAAATAATAAAAGGTTCAAAGTATAACTTACCATAACTCATAATTTGACCAAGCTTACATCTGAATCCATATACTCTCACCAAAAGCGTTTGTGAGCAAAATAACTTATTTAAAATAAGCAAATAAATCACATTCCACGAAGAGCTCTTGAACCCATGCAGACTTTCGCCCAAAAAATATTGTGGCACGTTCGCTTCTTTAAAAATGCACGGCGGGCATTCGCTCTAGTTTAGCAAATAATAGAAAACGCCAGACAAAGCGCCTAATTGAGTTGTCAAAATTATGGTAATTTAATAATTAACTGCTAACATTTAGCTTAGGGCGTTAAAGTGGTCGGGACAGCGAGCCGCAGATGATTAATTGACCATCAGGCGAGGTGCAATGTTCATGGACATTAGCTCCTGGAAGAGCAGTTTGGCCGCATACGGGAGTCGCACCTGGGAGATCTGCGTCTTGTTCTTGCAGCCCTTGCACTCAAACGTGTTGTTGCGCAGATTGGCAATCGCGATTAGACCACAGAAATTGCAGATGTGCACGCGATACGGATCGGAGACCTCGAATAGACGCTCTCGCAGAAACTGAGCGGCGCCGTGGGAGATCTGGCAATCACGCTCCATCTCACCGAAACGCAAGCCACCGTCGCGGGCACGACCCTCCATAGGCTGACGCACAAGGATCTGGACTGGACCACGGGCACGCGAGTGGATCTTGTCGTCCACCATGTGCTTTAGACGCTGATAGTAGGTGGGTCCCAAGAATACCTAAAAGAAAAACGTTAAATTGGTTTCGTTTTGTAGAAAGTTGAAAGCAACAACGTTTTACCTGCGCATTGATCTTTCGGCCAGTGTGTCCGTTGTACATGACCTCGTTGCCTCGCAGATGATAGCCATACTCCTGCAAGAACGTGGAGATCTTCTGCACGTTGACGGCATCGTTAAATGGCGTAGCATCACCAATCTCGCCCTTATTGGATCCCAGTTTGCCCTGCAGGCACTCGATCAAGTGACCGATTGTCATACGGGATGGAATGGCGTGGGGATTAATGATGATATCCGGAGCCAAGCCTTCGCAGGTAAAGGCCATATCCTCCTGACGATACTGGATACCGCACGTTCCTTTTTGTCCGTGACGTGAAGCAAACTTATCGCCGATCTGCGGAATGCGCACTGAACGCACTCGAATCTTGCAGAACTTGTAGCCCTCGCTGTTGAGCGTCAGCATCACCTGGTCCACAATGCCAGTCTCGGAGTTTCGCAGGAAAGTGGATGCATCTCGCTTTGAAAAGCGCTTTGTATTGCTGTCCAGTTCATCGTCGTTTTCAGGGAGTGTAATAGTCTTGCCAATAACCACATCATCACCGGAAACACGAATTCCAGGAGCAATAATTCCATCGTCGTCCAGCTTATCGTAGTGAGCATTCCTCATTCCCTGGCAGGTGCCGCGATGAGGCTTCTCGAAGTTCTCCTCCTGGTCACCCACACGCTTGTTCTCCGAATCCTTGTAGGAACGGTAGAAAACCGAGCGGAAGAATCCACGCTCCACAGCGGAGGCGTTCAGGATGACAGAATCCTCCTGATTGTAACCCGTATAGCACAGAATGGCCACGATTGAGTTGATACCAGCAGGTAGTTCTCGGAAACGCAGATACTCCATAGAACGTGTGGTCACGAGCGGCTTCATAGGATAGTACAACACGTGGGCCAGCGTATCCATACGCACATGGAAGTTGGTGATATACACACCCATAGCTTGTTTACCTTTGGGGAATAAGTAAGAAATTAGTATTTTAACTTGTTTGAGAACATCATTAAACTTACCCATAGCACTTTGATAGGTGTTACGCGGACTCTGGTTGTGATCGGGGAAGGGAATAATGGAGGCGCACACGCCCAGGATCATGGCCGGATGAATTTCGCAATGCGTGTAAGTTGTACAATATGCGTAATCCTTGTCCTGCTTCAGATCATACGGGGACATGGCAATCATGACCGTTTCTTCCTCGAGGGTATCGATGTATTCCACCACTCCGGAGGCCACCAGAACCTGCCAACTGTAGTTGTTGTAGTCACGCTCCTTCAACATCTCCACATGGGTCTTCTTAAGCAGCAGTGATCCGTTCTCCACGATGAGGAGTGGCCTACAAATACGACCTGCATCTGTATAAATTCGGATCTCACGATCTCGAATGTCCCGGATCATCGACACCTCCGACACGATGATGTCCATCTGGCGACGCAGTTTTCGGAGCGTGGCCATCAGTTGCTCAGGATCACGATGGATGCCCACCCAGCATCCATTCACAAAGATCTTGGTGGCATCAGCGATGGCGGATGGTGCAATCTCCTCAAGATTTTCCATAGACCATTCCTCCAAGAACTCAAGAATGGGCGAAGGTTGTGATCCGACGGATATATAAGCCATGAGGGCGAGGTTCTTCACCAGACCCACAGCAGCTCCCTCGGGAGTTTCAGCGGGACACAGCATGCCCCACAGAGTGTTGTGCAGCTGACGAGGTTTGGCCAGTTTGCCATCTCTTCCAATGGGCGAGTTAACGCGCCTCAAATGAGACAGCGTAGAGGCGAAAGTCAGACGATTCAACACCTGGGAGACGCCGGCTCTTGCCTGATGGGCCTTCTTCTGGTCGCCCCAGTTGCCAGTAGCCAGAGAATACCGCAGACCATCCGTAATAATATTGGTCTTAATGGCCAGCTCCAGGTTGAAGTCCTTTCCGCGATCGATGAACTTCTGCGTGTACATGCGCACCTCCTTCATCAAGTTCTTAAATAATCCACGGAAGAGGAAGGCCAGCAGTGGTCCGGCGAGATCAAGACGCTTGTTTCCATAGTGATCTCGGTCATCGAGTTCTCTCCTACCCAAGGAGGCCAGCAGCAGGCGGTGCACCATGTAGCCGAGGAAGTACGCCTTCTTGGTTTCACAGAAATCTGAAACTCCCACGTGCGGCAGCATTTCCTTCTGCAAGATTTCTTTGGCATACTTGATACGCCTGTCTTTTGTGACTCCAGGCCGAGCGCCTCTGGCGCCGATGAAATTCAACGCTACGTTTTGCTCTTGCACTACGAAAGCCTCATCCAGAGATGGTTTCACCATTTCCATCATTTCGGGATCATCAAAGTCGTAGATAATGTGCTCCAGAATATCGCGATCAGCCACGAAGCCAAGTGCTCGGAACACAATCATGATCGGTATCTCCTGTTTGATGTACGGCAATATAGCAATGATTCTCTGACCAATGGCCGACTTTTTGATATTTTGTGATCCCCTGGCCATCATGTTTACCCACAGCGTTGATGTGGGTCGAGAGCTGTGTTCTAAGCATGAACGAATCTCGGTTTTAAAAGCATATTTGCCGTCCTTCATGCTAAACACGTAAACTGTGTTGGTGGCCATCTTCTCCTGGGCAATAAGCACTTTCTCCGATCCGTTAATAATGAAATAGCCGCCGGGATCCAGCGGGCACTCATTTAGCTCCGTAAGATCACGATCGGTGAGCTGAGACAGCAGGCAGTAGGTGGATCTCAACATAATGGGAATTTTGCCGATGAAAGTCTTCTGGTGCTGCGTTTCTACGGGGTCCAGTCCCTCGACGTTCTTGGTTTTTGTAATATCCACGTAAAGGGGAGCGGAGTAAGTAAGATTTCGCAGACGGGCCTCATTCGGCATCATAGGACTAGGTGAACCGTCCTTCTCCCAATGCGTGGGCTTCGACAGATAGATTTGCTCGAACTTTAGGGAGAATCTCGGTGGTGTTTCGACTTCGCCAGATGTGTGTTGAGCCTCCGCCTGCAGTTCGATGGCCGGGGGAGTCCTCCACGATGCGCTGCACCGACATCTGAATGAACTCATCGAAACTGTCTAGCTGCTGGCGCACCAAGCCCTTCTCGTCGAAGTAGGCGTTTATTACGATCCAACAAGCTTCCTGCCACAGCTCGTGGGAGATCTCCATGGCATTCTCCTCCTCGTACAGCTCTGTGGATAGTTATTAAGCCATTATAAGCGAAATAAATAATTTGGAGCCCTAGCGCTCCAGCCGCCATATTTATTTTTTCCTATGCCAACGTGCATTTGTACTTTTTGCAAAATCATTTTACCCACCTTCCTCGTTGTCGTACATCATGATGCCGGTTTTCCAAAGTGCGATAGCACTTTAAACGTCTAAACAAAAAACAATTAATTGGTTTTGTAATGAATTAACTTATAAAATCGTTAAAAATTTCACAACAATTGTTTGCCGACAACGCGTTTTGGCGGCGTTGTTGTTGTGCAGTGTTGGCAAACGGCATAGGCAGAAAATAGTAAGGTGCCTTTTAGACATGATGAAAAAAAACCAAAAACTGATTTAAATAGCAACTTTAACTTTAATATATCAAATAACATACAATTAAATTTAAGTAGAACAATTCTTTAAAATAAAAAAATATAACAAGTGTCAATTGGAAATGTTTTACTGCGTTAGCCAATATTAAAATTAAAATCACGCTTTGCAACACTTGCACAGCCGGTAAACATCTGTTTTCTATTGTTTTTATTTCTCTCGGTTATTTAACGCGCCTTTAAAATGAGTTTTTTGTGGAAAGGACGGCGGTTTCTGATCGCCGGCATTCTCCCAGGTATTGAACGCAGCGCAGACGATATTGTAGACAAGGAAAACAAAACCTACAAAGCTTTCCTGGCCAGTAAAAGGCCAGAGGAAACCGGACCGGAGCGCCTCAAACAAATGTTTACAATCGAGTATGAAATCTTAAGTAATTCCAATTGTAACTGAACTAATGATACATTCTTGTATGAGACTAGCGAGTTCGGCAGTATATCCTCCGAACTGAACTCTATTTACCAAGCCGGCTTCATGGGCTTCCTTATTGGGGCAATTTACGGCGGAGTTACACAATCGCGCGTGGGCTACATGAATTTCATGGAGAACAACCAGGCGACCGCCTTTAAATCTCACTTTGACGCCAAGGTAGATTGTTAAGCATATAACTGAACTTGAAAAAAAAAATCCATTGCCTATATCACATGCAGAAAAAGCTGCAGGACCAGTTTACAGTCAACTTTGCCAAGGGTGGCTTCAAATGGGGCTGGCGCGTGGGTCTTTTTACCACCTCCTACTTGTAAGTTTTTTATTTTGTATTTTTGGCATATTTAATTTTATTATACTTCGTATTATAAAGCGGAATCATCACCTGCATATCGGTTTACCGTGGAAAATCCTCTATTTATGAATACCTGGCGGCTGGATCAATCACCGGCTCCCTGTACAAAGTGAATCTGGGTCTGCGGGGCATGGCGGCAGGTGGAATCATTGGAGGATTTTTGGGCGGAGTGGCTGGAGTCGCCTCCCTGCTGCTCATGAAGGCATCCGGTACTTCCATGGAGGAGGTGCGCTACTGGCAGTACAAGTGGAGACTCGATCGTGACGAGAACATCCAACAGGCCTTCAAAAAACTGACGGAGGACGAAACTCCGGAGCTGTTCAAAGCTCACGACGGAAAAGTACCCGAACAAGTTTCCCTCGACTCGGTCAAGTAAGTCCCGAGTTTAAGAAGTAGTCGCCAATGTAAACTTAGTTGAGTTTTTTTAATTTAAATAAATTGCAAATATGTCCATCTAAAGTTACATAGACAAGAATACATTTTAGGAAGCCCATGTTGGCTGCTGCTATGCGATGTTTCAGTTAATGCCTATTGCCTCTAAAAATATCGATTCACGTAGAACAATTTATATAGATACAGGACGACAGATGGGACACAACACGAAAAAGAAGATATACGAATGAACACGGAACTCGTTTGGATACAATAAATTAAATGCTCTCCCAGGAACAAAAGGTAGAAGGTTGATAAATAGATTTGACTCGATGGGATCGGGAGTTCAGACTTAGTCCTCGGCGGTGGGACGCGTGAGGCGCTTGGCGCCACGGTTTGGTGGACCCTTGGGCTTGGCAAAAGCCGGCCGGTGTAGGATTTTCTTTGGGTGCAGCTCGTCTTGCAGGTAAGCTTCAGTCAACTCGCTGCCACTGTCGATTTCGAGCTGTGGAAATAAAAATAGTAAACAAAACGAATGCAATCCCATGAGGAAATATTTATCCACGCACCTTTTTGACGACCTCCACGCCGAGGGCGGCCAGTTCGTCGAGGAAAGGAGCCTTGCAGCTGGAGTACATCATGCGCTCTCGCACTGAGCAAGAATATCCCGGCATTGAGTAGACGAACACATACGACTCGAAGTAGTCACCTTCGTGCGTGTGCCGGAACAAGAAGAGGTGGTAGCGAGCGTGATCCTCGGGCACCTGCTTTGGAAGATCGGCGAGTTCTACTTTTGCCGCATGAGAGAGATGGATTTTCTCCTCCTCCAGATCAATACGGAATTGCAGGTAATCGTGTTTGCCGCGAACCAGATCCTGAATAGCGGCCACAGTCTGCTCGGTCAGGGGGCAGTTAATCCCGCCCAGAGTTTGGTGCCGAGTATTAGTGTTAATCTCTGTGTGCACCTCCGTTTTCCGCAGCTCCTTGAGCTCCTCTTCCCTAGTGGTTAGGGAGCGGGAGCTGCAAACTCCTGCTTATGCCGGCGATATCCCTCCAGTGTCGACTCATCCAAAGTGGTGGCATGCAGCTCCTCGGTGATGTAGGCCGATCCAAATTCGGTTTTTAACGTGGCCTTTGTGGAGGCGTAGACCATTTTCTGTCGGATGCTTGCCGTATCTGGTGTCCAGCTGATGAGCAGCCAACTGTAGCCCAGTGGAATCTTGGCGTCCAAACGGTAGAGAATATAGCAGGGCACATCCTTCTCGAGAAGAGGTCCTATTAACTTGTCGTAATCTCGTTCCCAGTCCTTTTTCGTCTCCGCCGTGGCGCTGCAGCTCAGCTGCTCTGTAAGTGGGAGGAGGTGAAACCGGAAGCGGCGTTATCAAATTAGACTGCTTAGTATACATTGTGTGTATATACGTTTCTGGAGCAATCCACTCACCATTCTCGATGGAAACTTTTATCACGCGTAATTTACCATTCTTAGCTTTTCCAAACACCTTAGCTAGCTGTTCGTTGGCTGAAAAAATGAAGAGTATTATCAGTAACAGGTTTCAGTCGGTCTTTCTGATAACGAACCTCGAATTCCCGTTTGGTGAGACATTTGGACAACAGCTTAATTATTTTTACAACCAAAAAATATTACTCACAACGAGTGAGACCGTAATGCGCGAAACACGAAATACAGAAAATTAGTAGATACCAAAACTAATAATTTAAAAATGAATTTTTAGGTCTTTAGCTTTTCTTAATATTGCGATATATAAAAGTTATCATTTTTCAATAGTTCGTTTTAAAGAATCTTCCAACCACTTGATAAATGGTTTTAAGCTTTTCCAGCAATTTGTTTAGTCACCAAATTGAATTTAAATACCAATACGAAAAAGCGACAGCACTAATTCACGCAGTGTTGATAAACACCGCCAAAGCCAGCACTTTGCAGCACCAACCAGCGTTCTTTTCTCACGGAAAATGTAAAGAAAAATTGCATTTAACTGCATTTAAGCGAAACAATCAGCCTGGAAAAGCATCTTCAGTCCAATCGCGTAGTCAATAAAGTGAGTGCGCTTAAAATTCAGACGCTTAAGTCAGTCCAACGGTTTTAGAGCAGCTGGCGTCGACGTCGGCAGAGGGCCAGCCCACGCCCCAAATGTTTACGGGCGTGAAAAGTGCGATAAAACGGAAATATTAATATAGTTTTAAACTCCCCTTCGGCTACAGCATCCACACCCATGTTGACCGAAGCCCCCATGGCCAGCGAGAACATCATGGACGAACTAGCCTCTCTGATTCGCACCGAGATCCCTGACGGCCGCCAGAGTCTCCGGGACAGCTATACAAACCTGGAGCGGGTGGCCGACTACTGCGAGGACAACTACTACCGTTCGAACGACAAGAAGGAGGCCCTGGAGGCTACCAAAAACTACACCACCCAGTCGCTGGCTAGTGTCGCCTACCAGATCAACACGCTCGCCTACAGCTACATGCAGCTCCTCGAGCTCCAGGCCCAGCAGCTCGGCGAGATGGAGTCGCAGATGAACCATATCGCCCAGACGGTGCACATCCATAAGGAAAAGGTGGCCCGAAGGTAAGGGTCAGCAATAGTTTTTGGGGTTTCACTTTCCCATACATAAGGAATAGTTAGTATATTCCACATATGATTCTTTCTTAGAAGGTAATCAAACAATATACCAATAAGACTACAGCATAAAAGGAACAATATGACAAGAAATCGCTTTTGCCATTTCCAGTACTCTTAAGCACGAGTCATCGACGAGAAAACCTTCTCTGTGTGTATAATACGTACTTTCATGAGGTCATGCAGTTATTATCAACAATATGCTTTTCCCTTATTTCATTGTGTGTATTTTGTCACACTGTTTTTTGATTTTTCTTAAAAAATATTTAAATCCTTTATTTAACAATAACATTTCTTTTTTAACCCCTAGGGAGATTGGTGTGCTAACTGCCAACAAGGTGAGCTCGCGCCAGTTCAAGATCGTGGCGCCAATCAATCCGGAGAAGCCGATTAAGTACGTGCGCAAGCCCATCGACTACTCGATGCTGGACGAGATTGGTCACGGCATCAACTCGGCCTCTCACTCGCAGGTGCGTCAGAAGCACCGAGGCTCCAGTCACGGGTCCGTGCAATCCTTGTTGCCCCCGTCGGTGGGTCCACCGCCGACAACGAAGCCCCCGACTCCACCGCAGATGTCGCGGGCTGGAAACACCGGCACCCTGGGCAAGTCGGTCAGCAATACCGGAACGCTGGGCAAGAGCTCGCGGGAATACCGCACTCCGCCTGTGGTCAATCCACCGCAGGTGCCCTCGCACTACGCCCCCAACTATCCGATTGGGCATCCGAAGCGCATGTCGACGGCATCTTCCTCGATGGCCTCCGGCACCACTGGCGGAGGGGCGGCGGGCAATGAGCGTGCCGCTGGGTACAGTGCACTCCCGATGCCACCCAGCCAGCAGATAGCCACCCATGTAAACCTGCCCTCTGCGGGCATGATGCAATCACTGCCACCGCCGCCACCAACAACGTACGACGATCGAAGCAGCATGCCACGTTAGTTAATTGACTAACCACCAAAAATCAAGGCTAATTGTATCGTTTGTAATACTTAGCAGCTCCCCCTTCGCCGCTGACGGTTTCGCAGCACGAGATGACCGAGCAGAGCCACATTGGCATGCACACCCTGGGTCGCAACATCAACAGGTAAGTCTGCTTCTTGCAAACGCTTTTTATTCTTTGTGTATATATAACTTGTTTTATGTTCTTTATGCAAACCCAGGAATCCAAATCGGTAAATTGCATGTCTTTGTCTTAATCAAAGGGTTAAAAATAGTTAATAATTTTTTTTATTTTTCAAAGGAATCATTTTAGCTTGAATTTTGCCAGACCTGGCTCTCAGTCGCCACCTTTGCCACCTCCGCCGCCGCCGGAGGATGAGCATCAGGACTTCGGACGACCACGCACATCGACGGGACCGCAATTGGCGCCAATTGTGCCCGAGGATCAGAACTTGCCCGGCTGGGTGCCAAAGAACTTCATTGAGAAGGGTATGTTGACAGTCTTGAAGAAATTTTTTAAAGGAAGAGCTTGCTCATTTAAAAATATTATATTTTAGTGGTAGCTATTTACGACTACTATGCTGACAAGGACGACGAGCTCAGCTTCCAGGAGAGCTCGGTGCTGTACGTGCTCAAGAAGAACGACGACGGCTGGTGGGAGGGCGTCATGGATGGGGTGACCGGCCTGTTTCCGGGCAATTACGTAGAGCCGTGTGTTTAAGCCTCGCCTCGATATTCTAAACATGCCAACCATTACAATAATCTGCATTATCTGGTCTGTTCCAGTCCTCTGCTGTTTCTCCAGAACCGCCAAGATTTCGTTTAGTTATCGAGTTCTTCTGGGGACAACTGAGGATCGCAACAGGCTCGGTTGACAATGACGATAACATTTTGAGCATATTGATAAGGACAATTATACAATTACACACCTACACACAAGCACAGCAGGCCAGGGAGAGCGAAGAGAATTCCATTAGCATCAGCCAACCGCATTTAGTCTAATATAAACAAGCACACACACAGGATCCAGGGGCACAGGACAACGCTTGCTGCCCGACTAAACCTATTTACACTGTAGTAGCCCAAAACGATGCAACAGGGGGAGAGGCAATGGCGGAAATCCGTAAATAACTTATGCGAAATTCCAAAATTGTTCAACAGACGTAGACGAATTCAGTCCTGCCCCCGCTAACCAGCCCAATTACTTTAAATATTTGCTCACAGTTTTGTCAAGCGATTTCTGTTTGCCTTGCGCTTGGATACTCCCGGCTATTATTCACCTATACTACCCACCCCTAACCTATAAATATACCTTACTCCCCCAGCAATAATGTAGGTTATATAAATTTCAGTTAGCATTTAATACTTAAGTATTGGCCAGTTGGAACTTTTGTTTGCTCTTTTACGAACCGCAACGAGAACCTTATTTTGCGAACGTTTAGTTAAAATGGAATTGCCAGCAACGGAATCAAATTAAATTTACAAAATACAATTACACACACGCTCTATATGGTAAAAAATAATAGCTAATAAAAATTTCAATTACTAAACCGCAAGTCCTTGTTCTTTGACCGTGTAATTTGCACTGACCTTCTCGTGAGTCAAACCGGATGCCAATAAACATCCGTAATTGGGGCAAGGCTTCGTGGGCTGCCAAATTCAAATTCGAAATCTTGAATGCAAAATTCGAGGCATGTGATGGATGGTTTAAAATGTTTACAAATGCCAACACTCATTGGGGTCGTTCAGTCAGTCAGTCAATCAATCAATCAAACCATCATTTTCGACACGGTACTCCACAAACCGATTTCAATTCACTTTCGATGTCTCGTATTGGAAAACTTTTCCATAACTCTGGTTTGGGTAAATTAGTGCTTTCATGGTGATATATGGGGGTTTCATTTTTTCATTTATTATCAGGCTTCAAGGAGTTGACGTGGCGGAAATGCCAAAAAAGTGGAGTGGCTGCATGATTTGCATAAAATGTGCTAAATTGTTGCCCACTTTTTGGGGCCCTCGACTATGGAAATACCTTTATTTGTGTACAATTATTAAAGTGGACCTCAACAGCTTGGATATGGAATCTTTGACAGAACTTTGGGCCAACTATTTAACCCACAACTGGCCAGCGGCAGGTGAAACTCGCGAGAAATGTATGCAAAATGGCGCATTAGCATTTCAACAATGCCGTGGTAAAAACGCGGCAACAACAAAAATTGATTGTGCCGTGCCAGAAGTCGGACCCACATGCCCACCGGCCCTCACCTCCAGGACATTCCACCCCCTGGACATGCCTACAATTTCGTTATTTTCTGACCAGCCCGAGTCGGACAATTCAGTTGAGTTTGGTACGTCGACGCGGATGGTTCTACAAACCGCTTTTGTTTCGGATATTTCTCGGAGTTCTCGGCGCCTCAGCATTTCCGGTTTTGGGCTTTAAAGTTTTTTTCGGCGATTGGCGTGTCCGGAAAGTTTTCGAAGCGGATAAAGTGCAAAACAAAACTATTTGTAAGTGAGCCGCGCTGCAGAGGTGCTTGGAAAGTTTCTTTTATCAATTGTTTGTTTTACATAATCAAAATGAAGTTGAGATTGGGGTGGCTTCGCGCTGCGGGCACCGCATTTAGTTGACCTACTTGCAGCCGGATTTACTTGCTGGCCAAGTGTAAAATATTACATTATTTCATGTCAGGATTGGGGCCACTGGCCACTTTGTTTATGGCGAAAACAATTCGCGTCGTCAATGCGGACAAGTTGGCCCACTTAGTGTCGAAATTCCCCAAGTTCCGTGACACGCACAACTTTCCCGAAACGCGTTAATTTGAAAATCCCATTTGAAGGTTAAAAGTTTTGCACTTGCATCGCAGTTAACCCGAAAAATGACGTCACTTTGGATGCATATTGAAGGGGCTGGTCACTCAACGTGATGGGCGTCTATAAATAAACCCGGCGAGTGTGTGTCCAGGGAAGGAACTTCGGGTAATTAAGTCGTCTCCAGGTCACTCGGGCCATCAATCACCACCGCTGCGTATACGCAATGTCCCTAGAGGGTAATTATAGTATGGCGCCTTTGCGAGTTTACCTTGCATAGGATTTGTTAGCTTGCCCGGATTTTCACAAGAAATAGGAATACATCCTGTTTCACTAAGAAAACTATAAACACTATATATATATATATTTTTTTTTGTTTATTTAAAAAACCTTGAGCTAATTAACATAACATTAAATAAAATATACTTTTTCATCTTGATTTAAATTGAAAATAAAACCAACAAAAGCCTAAAAAATTTTCTCTAATGCTTTAAACATTAACAAGAATTTTAAAAATACCATAAATCCCCCACCTGTGCTATTATTTTTTGACCTCTTTTAAAGGAAATAGAAATACGACTTGCCAATAACGATTTGTCTCTGCTTAGAGGTCTTTGTTTTAGTAAGATCCCTATCGGCAAGTTTTGTTTATTTTGGAATCCTCTTTGTCAATGGCCACTGCCCCAAGTGAGTCGAAGGAAATATATATTTTATCACTTGCTACCTGTCTCGGATCAAAAAGCAAACTCATTAGCGATAAAGGTCTGCCACACATGTTATTACTTAGCCATGCTTTGGGTTATAGGACCTTACAAGCACCATTTTAATCCGATATAGGGGTTTTCCCCAAAAAAAACCTTTCAAAGTTGGAATTCAGAGGCGGCACTCCATTTTCCCCATCCAAAATGGCCCAATTCCCATTCCCCGATTTCCGCTAATGAGCTCCAAGCAGACCACTATGTGTTGGGCAAACAAAGCCACGCCCCTTTTACGCCCATCATGCCAAATGGGGTTCACTAGCCGGGAAATCAAAACATGGAATACCAAAGCATTAAAAACATTAACAGTGGACGTGCGACAACAACGGAAGACAAAGTTAGTAGTAAGCCACTGCACCACCCAGTCACCCAGTCACCCAGTCACCTAGCCACCCAACCATCCGAACCACCTACCCGAGCCTCCATTAAAGCAACCACTCGGTCCCTCATCGAGTTATATAGAAGTCCTGTCCAATGGCTCTAGTGCCGTGTCTGCCGGCAATTTACACAAATTCAATAAACGACAAAAGCCCGCAATAGAATTCGAAACAAGAACTGTGGCGAAAGTGTTGAGGGCGGTGGTTCAGATCGGGCCAAATTGGGTGGTGCTCGGGGCACATTAAAGTACTGGAATCGATTTTAGACATTATCAAATTAGCCGCTGTGTCTCTTAAAGTCAAGCTATACTGAGAGGAAATAGCCCTGAATAATATATATTATATATTTTTATGGCAATTATATTTTCGAACAACATATAAAATTTCCATAATCATAAAAAAAATATTATATTAAAATTTTATTTTTATTAAGCCGTAAATGTTAATTTCTTCATGTTTTTTTCAAGTGAACTTGAATATGAAGGTCATGTTCACTTTAATTTGCTTGTCAAGCGTTTTAAAGTGTTAAAACGAAATGATACCTTTGAAATAGTTAAACCTTTCCGCAAGATTTTCTCAGTGAAACAGACGCAACCCTATCACTCAATTTGAACACCCATATTTGTTGACATTCGAGGCCTGTAATTTGTGTACATATTTAAGGAGAATGTGGCGCGGAAGCTTGGTTCTTTTTGCTGGGGGCCGTTTCATCACATATTTATGGCACCTGAACGGGAACGTGGAATTAAAGTTAATAATGCAAACCCTTTGCACCCAATAAGTCAGACCAACGGGCTCTCACGTTTTATAATTGAGCAGCTCTTAGGCAAATGAAATTAATTATGGGTTTGGGGAAGCGACAGTTGGTTGTCGGCTTATGGAATCGGAATCGGTTGTTTGATTGGTGACATGTCTTGGTTCAGAGGTCACAATATTTCAGACACATGGAAATGGGTTATGGATTAGCTTGATTGGAGTTATAATTCCATGTCAGTTGACACCCGCGTTTACGCCTTACTATTTATAAATGTAAATGGATAACTAATAATGAATTTTTAACACAAGTGCTTCTCTATGCCTTAAATCGTTTAACCTTCAGCAATCAGCACGTGGTGCTTTAAGAAACTTTCCCTGTTAGAAGGACATTTTGAAAATATCTAAAAGTTCAAAGACTTCTCTCGATTCGAAAAAAAAGTACAGTACCCTCTCGATGACCATCGAATTGCTCCTTTTGATTTGCATTCTAAGACACGCAGGCACTTTCGGGTGTTCAAGTTCACGGCTTGATTTATGGCTCACGCCAGGTCCTTAAGCTTTCGGGAGCCACAGGTAAACAAGACCCTCAGGACCTGAAGGACCTGCTCCCCAGAAATACCCTCCAGAAAGGCGAGACCTTGGCGCGCAAATTCACAAGTCCATTAAGAGTTCGTTGGGTGTTTCCCGCGCTGATGGCATTTTTACGATTGTTGACAACAAATTGACACGATTTGTAATGGTCCTGTCCAGGTCAGGTCATCAGCCAGGCAGGCGGCACGTGGCCGTCCAAGGACCAAGGTTCCATTTACCCACATCAATAACCATATATCCCGAAGGATCGGAGCGATGGCGGCCAGTGCTGGAGCGAGCAGCTGGTCGGGAAGCAGCGGGGGCAGCAACTCCTCCCAAGGACGATCCATTGCCACCGCGCAGCCAGCACAGGAGGAGCGATTAGTGGTGGGTATTTGAACTATTTTTCAGAGAATATATCTTAATTGATCTCAACCGAAGTTGAAATCAATAAGGCAAAATCTAAATTCAATGTGACTTTTAATTAGCAAGAATTATATCTTTTCTAGGTTGCTGTTCGAGTTCGACCGAGCTTGGAGGCCACAGAACGATGCATTGAAGTCGTTTCCGGCGGCTCACTACTTTACGATGATGGTGGCAAAAGTCGACCGCGGCAGTATTCCTATGATCATGTTTTCCGGGAGAACGACAGCCAGGAGCAGGTGTACAAGACCACCACGGCTCCGTTGGTTAGGGATGTCCTCAACGGCTTGAATGCGGCCGTTTTCGCCTACGGAGCGACGGGTTCCGGCAAGACGCACACCATGCTGGGTCCTGTGCCGCGCAAGAAACCGCAGACCGCCGACCGAGCCCCACCCACCGCCTCCTGCGACTCCTCGGATGTGAGCAGCAAGGACATCGGACTAATGGTGCGCGCCATAAAGGATATATTCAGTCACATCGAATCGGCCGAGGCGGACTCCTGCCGCGTGTCCATATCCTATCTGGAGATATACAATGAGTTGATCCGGGATCTGCTGAATCCGGGCGGACCCTTGGAATTGCGGGAGGATCATCGTGGCCAGCGCATCACAGTGGCGGGTCTCTCGGAGATCACCACTGCCAGCAGAAAGGAGGTGGTGGGTCTGTTGCTCAAGGGCAACAAGGCGAGGACCATGGAGCCAACGGCCGCCAATCAGACCTCCTCGCGGAGTCACGCCCTCCTGAGCATCACGGTGCAGGCGAGGACTCCGCTGGGCACCAAGCAGGGGCGGCTCTTCCTCACCGATCTCGCTGGCTCGGAGCGGGCGAAGAAGACCAAGAATCGCGGCAAGCGACTGCAGGAGGGAGCGCACATCAATCGCAGCCTCTTGGCATTGGGCAACTGCATCAATGCGCTGTCCGGCGGAGCAAGGTATGTCAACTATCGCGACTCGAAGCTGACGCGGCTGCTCAAGGAGGCGCTGAGTGGTCGCTGCAAGACCGTAATGATTGCCCATGTGGCGCCGGAGAGCAAGCACCGCGATGAGACCAAAAACACTTTGGTCTACGCAGATCGGGCGAACAGCATCACCACCAAGCTGCAGAACTCCGTGTACATTGATGAGTTCAAGGATTTCCCCACCAAGCACTATCAGAGTCTCGTTTCGGAGCTGCGCGATGAGGTTTCGCGCCTGCGCACCAAGATGCTCACCGATAGGCCACGAAGTGGAGCAGCTGCAGCAGCAGCGGCGGCGGCGGCAGCCTCACGTTCGGCTGGCGGTTCGGAGCAGGGAACTGCAGCAGGATCCGAAGCTGGTCAAGAGCAGGACGAGCAGCGCAAGACCGAACTGCGCTACCTTCGCGAACAGATCGTTCTCACCTTCAAGCAGCAGATGAAGCTGCGGAGGAAGCTCCTTGAGGCGGAGAGTCATCTGCTGGGATTGGAGCTGGATGCCGAGCGACAGCACATGATCATCTCCCATTGGCAGGGACGCATCGGGAAACTGTACGACGCAATGGGCGATGATGGTGGGTACTCCATCCCAAAGGGAATTAATAATTCACAATCTTATTTATTTTTTCTTTAACCTTTGTTCACCTGCAGACATTGAATCAGAGGGATCGGTGGCCCTAAAGAACGCCTGGGGAGAACTGGCTGCCATCGAGAAGGAAACTCGTCGCTATAAGGAAATCCGAGAAAGGACGGAGCATGAACTGGAGCAGTGCCGCCAGAAGGGAGTAAAGCTGGAGGATGTGAGTCCTTAACGGATTAAGTTTTTTCTTTTGAGAAGTTCCACATTTATTCCTTTCCTAACCAGGAGCTGCCAGAGCGCATCAGTAGCGACGAGGAGCGCGAACTGCTGGCTCTGCTCTGCCGAGTCCACGAATTGGAGGCGGATAAGGTTTCCCTGCAGGCGGAGCGACTGGCTCGCCAGGCGGAACTGCGTCGTCGTGACCTTCAGCTGCTGCGGGCGGAGAGACAGAGACGCCTCTGCGAGGACATCATCAGCTCCCAGAGGCGACTCATCGAGGAGGGCAACGTGGACCTGCCGGACGAACTGCGGGAGCTCTATGGACTCTACCAGCAAGAGATCCACGCAGGTGTGGTCACTCCCAGCACCAGCAACTATGAGAGGAAGCTGCCGCCCATCTACACAGCGGGGTAAGAATCTCTCCTCCTCCCAGTTATCATATAAAATAAAATACTATATACATACTTAAATTTCACATTTTTTTCATTCGATTTTTAGATCGGACTCACCTGGTTCCAGTTCCAGTTCGGAGTGGTCCCCAGCCTCGCCCCTGCCGCAAATCGATAACCATAATGATCCCGTGGATCGAGTCATGGGTCCGCCAGTAAATCCGCGTCTGCCCCGACTTTCTACGGCCACGAACGCGGCAATTCCGGGCGGAGGTCCTAGAAGACCTTCGCTTCGAGTGGCCAGGAATCCACATCCACATCCGTAGGTGTAGTGGATTCCAATGAAGGGAAAAGTGCTCAGGAATAGCTGTAACTGAAAGTTAGGATTACTACGAAGGTGATGCGACAGGCTGCTCAAACTACTTAGTGTATTATAACTTCTACCATCTCACGCGCTTAAATGTGTTTTGCATCCTCGAACGTATCAATAAATCTACTTAAAGGAATAAAACAGTTTTTTAATAAAAAGGCGAAACAGTAAATTTTTTATTTTCAATGAGAAAAAAACCATTTTATTTACTTAAGTAAGTTATAATTTGTAATTTATTTCAATTTAAAAGGCTTGTAAAAAATGATTGTGCATAAGCTAAAAAACAGTTAAGATGTAAATATTGGATTTGAGTTTAAGTTTTTTACTAAAACATGGAACTGTACTCGCATTGCACCATATAGATGACATGGAGCAGAATAACCGAGCATCCGTCGAAAACCAAGCTGCGATTCATGCGATAAGTCCCGAAAATGTGAACATAAGTGTGCTGCTCCGCCAGTTGCAAGGAAAACCACTCCATCTGCCAAAACAATGACTTTAACATCGGAAAGATACTTGTGCTTAGTTATCATACACTTCGCTCCATCTGCACATCTTGACTATGAAGACCCCTGATCACCGCCTTTGTGGTCTCCAATAGGGAATCCGTGGTGTGGGTCAGGGAGTTCATCATCAGGGAAAAGAGCAGTGGCTGTATACAGGTGACAAATACCATCTGCAGATACTCTAGTTCCGATTCAATGGCACTGTGTCCGAGAAAAACTCGGACCAGCATATAACCGACCCGAATGCCACTCCACACATTTCGCATCAAATAGCAGAGGAACACGAATCTAAAGTAGCATGTAAGAGTTTTGTAATTAGTTTGACCTATTAACTTTCAACAAAGATTGAGACTAACCTGAAGACCAAGCAAACCTCTTCAGTCATCTCCACCAGAATCTGGAACATGGCTTGCAGATTCCGAAGACGATAAAGTTGATCCAGAAATGGTTGCGGATCCGACATTACCTTCTTCAGGCCCGATTGCAGTCGCCACCAGTTTCTGCAGATTTCTAGCATTATGCAAAATGACAAAGAGTTCGCGGCGAAGATCATGCATTCGGAAAGGAAACAGTTGCAGGGATTGTGGTTTCCCCTCAAAAATCGATTCACATTCAGGGCAGCATGAACGGCAAGCCGAAGGATTAGGAGAAGAGTCAGGATAATCAATAGCAAGTTTAGAAATCGTTTGTTTCTCTTGGCCACCCTATAACCCCTTGATTTACTCATCCTCTCCATATCCCTTAGTTTTGTGATCATATTAAGGATCCGATCCTGTCGTCGATGAGCGCAAGCCATACAACTTATCAGGGATAGAAAAACAAGGCCAAAATAGGTGATGGCTGCCAGTCGCACAAGCGGAGATTCATCGAATGAGTCCGCGCTAAAGTGCCAAAAATCCATCAGAAACTTTATTGTCAAGACCATCACAAGAATATTATGGATTATCCGATAGCACGACAGAAATCGGGAGCTCTGTAATCTTCCAGAGGATATGGAGAACGTGGTAATGCCATTCAAGTTCCAAAAGCAGACAAGTCCAAACTGCAGCAACCGTCTTGGTGAAATCATTGTCCTGTTAAGGGTCACTTTTCAAACAAACTGAACCTAGAGTTGCAAGCAAATCAGCCAAGCACTGATTTTTCCGTTGCCCTAAATCCAATCAATTGATTGATATTTTTCCTTTGGGAATATTTTTTACGTGGTAATTAACTCAAAGTAAGCTACTAGTTCCGGTGCAATTCGCAACTGCATTACAACAGAATTGAATTTATAATCAAAGCAAATAATTATAGTCTTGTGATTAACGTTTTTAGATTGAGCAGTGAGTGTACAAAAAGCATATTTAGTGAGATTTAAGGAATGTAAAGAGTCTATAGGCCAGCTGCATTATCTGTAAAAAAAAAAGTATATTTATAAGCTACAATTGCTCAAGCAAGGATTCCAATTCACTCACTTCAGTAAAGTGCACCATATTCACTTCGATCAGCCCATAGGCACTAAGTTTCTGAGTTCGCTGACAATATTTTGTCCAAAGCAGATAGAATTTCCTATACCGCTGACTGCCCAAATACCATTCCTGTTGGCTAAGCGACCACTCGAGTCCCTCAGACTGCAAAACAGGAAGTATTATTTTATTTCATTATTTCATCCATCCAACTTACTGCCTGCTCCAACTGCGTGCCGCGTAGACAAATCTCAAAGGTGAAGACCACCAGGACTATAGTGGGTATTACGTATTGCGCAATGCTCACCAAATCCGACGTCTCCGAAAGCATAAAGAGATAAAAACAAAGGGATCCAGCACCCAAAAAGTTGCTTATAAGGAAAGCCACCTTAAAGATTTCATTGTACCTGAGAATTTCAAATGGAGTGTTATAACTCAAAGCTGATACAGTGAAGCCTCACTTGCTAAAGAGCTCATTGAGAAGCTGTTGCCTCTGAACCACCATCCTGAGATCTGCAAAGAACTGAGTCTCGTTAGTCACACTTTTGCGAGGATCAAGCTCCGAAATCCGCCTTCCGAGATGGTTGAGATGCATGATCAGGTGTCCCTGCATCACGTTGAACAGATTGTCGAATGTAACGAAGAATGAGCAGCCGCACATGGTGCACGCAACGTCAAAGATCCATGCCGGGAAATAGTAGTTTGGATCCATTCGCATCCCGAATGGAAGCCATCCTCCAAGAAGTTGCTCGTGAAGGGCAACAGGAGTATCTTTTCCCTCGTGGGTCAGCAGGAAAACAGCCACTGGCATAACACAGAACAGAAAACCACCCACATGGGCATAGATCGCCACAAATCGATAGCGCTGCGAAAAGTTTTTGTAAGTTTTATCCATCCCCATGTCCAACTGTCTTGCCAAATCCCGTGGACATTCGCGGTCCAGGTCGTTGACAAGCTCAATGATTTCCTTTCGTTTTAGGAACAGCATCAGTCCACGGATCGAAAAGTATATGGTGATGCTCAATACGGGTGGATTTAGATTGAGGGGATGTCCCAGCCAAAGATGTCCTATAATATCCCATCCATTGAAGCCAAAGAACGCAAGGTTCAAAAAAGCTGACAAATGGAATGTCAACATGGAGGTGTTAACCAATCTGTTGTCCTTCGGATTCCTTTGCCAATGGAAGTGTACCATCTGAGCCACTTGCTGGAACAACTGCGGGCGCAGAAAGTCCTCCATCCGAAAGGGTTCCTTTATCTCCGTGGTCTTCATTGTGAGGTCACCTTACTTTACTCCTTTGTGGGGACCCAGTAGGACTAGACTCCTTATATATGGTAAGAAACACTGGATAATTACGCCCGTAATTGCGCCTAGGATTTTTAATTACTGGTTTTCCGATCGCAACAGTCGCAGTCGAACATCTACTTACGAATGGGTACGTATTTTAAAACAACATTTTCCTCAAAATAAAATGCAAAATTTGTTAACGATATCTAAGAAATTATTTTTATTTATTTTCTCAATTGTGTATTTTGAAATTATGCATATTTTTTTTAATTATGGTCCTAAAGCTTATTAATTTTATTTTAGCAAATTAAAAATTTAGTACACATTTTAAAAATTAATCAAATGCTGTAAAAGGCAATGGATACCAAGTTAAATAAGTTTATGAAGGCTTACGATTGTATTTTATATCATGCAACTGATTATAATTGCATCCATTATCTCAGCAGGCTGTCAAAATTATAGGTTGCGCTTTTATAAGCGCTAATATAGATTGGCACACGGGTTAATTTGCTCAGCAAGCGTTGCAGTGGAAGTCTTGGGAAAATTCCAGCCCATAAGTTCATTCAAACTTATTTTAAATAACTGTCTGAAAGAAGAGAAAGTGGTAGCTTAATAGTAAATCATTAGTAAATAATAATAATAGTAATCATAAGTGGGTATACATTTTTTTGTTACATGCTATCATTTAGGATTATTTTATGTTTAGGTTTCTTAGTTTGTGCACTTGAAGTTTGACTGTACTTTATTAATTCCTTTTATTTTGCGCAGTGAATGCCCCTTGCGTATTTCGTAATATTGTGCGTTGTGTGCACTGCACAAAACCGGGGGTGACCCTTCAGCCGTACTTACCAAACAATATTTCCACTTCGTTCTCTCTCTGGCTCTCTCGTTTTCCCTATACCGTGCGCTCTCCCCGAAATCAAGGCCGCCCTCGTAGGTTTTTTTTGTTGTCTTTTTCGTATGTGGGTCACAAGCGGCGGCAAACATAAACAAATTGAGAGAGCAAAGGGAGAGAGAGAGGGCATGCGTGTTAAGTGAAATTCTCTACGCAGAAGTATCTGTATCTGGAAATGTATCTGCGGCCCTGGACGAGCGGTTTTCGTCATTAGATACAGATACACAGCTGTGAGAAGTTTGTTTTCCGTTCGCATTTGGATTTTGTAACCCGACTAGCGGCAGCAGGTTGCTGTCAAATTGGAGAGAAAAATCCCTAAAAATAATTGAATTAAATCACTTGAAATATATTACAATTAACGTGAGTGCAAGAATCCAGGAAAAGCCAAGCAAACATTCGTCCGTACGACCGCAAACACAACGCAAACATCTACGCTTCTCAGTTCCGCTACGCAGCAAACATTTAATTCGAATGCCAAAATAAAAACAAACATGGTGCCAATCAGCGTTGAAAAATGTTTATTAAATGTGTTTTTAGAAGTTAAACGTAGGGAATAATTATTACAGCACACAGATTACAGTGAGTCAAAATCAACGCAAAAGTGATTCCAGCCAAAAATATAACAACCAAAACCTGAAAACCAAGCAAAACAATAAACCAACTTCATACAGACAGCGCAAATCAACCAAAGAAACTCAGAATACATAATCAATCAATAACCTTGAGACAATCCATCACCGCAAGGTTGTAAAGTTAACTTCCAAAACCCATTCAAGACCAGACTCCATTGAAAGGTCAAGAATTAATAGAGTTGCTGCATGGGGAACAGTCTGATAACGAGTGGAAAACCGAGTCAGCGCCGCGAAAAGAGGCTTTTTGAGAGGCTGAGCTGCAGCTACGCTCAGGTGAGTTGTTCTGGGAAATTTAAGGGGCAAATGGAACAAGAAGCAGTGGTGGAAAACCGCCGTTAACCTTGGCAACGAAACTCAACCGGGCCAAGAACAGGTGGTCAGGTGCAACGAACCCTCAAAGGGGAGGATCGCAAGTGCACCTTTCTCCTTGGTTACGCACATTTTATTTTTGGGCAATTAGATACTTTATTTTTATACGATGAGATCAGAGGTACATATATGTATACTTATTAGTATGTATATTAATTTGTAGTGTCCCATTGTAAAATAGTTCCTTCAGTTAATACCATAATAAAATAGAAATTTATTTTTTTCAGGCTCCCAATAGAATGGAGTTGAATATGAATCCCCTGCTGGCTTTGGCCCGCTCCATTGCGGCGCCACCTACACCGCCACCAACCCCCGAAAAACCGGGTTCCGAAAAGGAGGAGGTGCCGAAAAAGGCGCCCATCGAAGAGCTGCCCAATGAGATGTGGCTGGAGATCATGTCCTACCTGTCCTACAACGATCTGCAGCAGTTGCGCATGGTGTCCTGGCGATGTCGGGATCTGGTCCACCGACGGCGCTTCATGGAGAAGGGCAAGGTGATAGTGACGCAACACAACTTGGAGGCGATCCACAAGCACGCGAAGGGCGGCAACTGCTACTTGAGCTTCGAGCGGATCGAGCTGCGGAACCTCCGCCAGTGCTGCCAGTTGGATAACTTTCTGCGGCTCGTGGGCCACGAGGTGAAGCACCTCCAGGTGCGCCACGCTCCCGTATTCCGCAATCTGGACGGCAAGCTGCCCAACCTGAAGGTTCTCACGATTGCCACCACCAGTTCCATGGATGACCAGCACTTGAAGTCGGTGGATGGGCTGGATATGAAGCAGTTTGCCCACTTGGTGGGATTCGAGTGCGATGGCGTGAGCCTGGACTCCTCGTTGAAGCTGCTCATGTTGCTGCAGTTGCGACGGTCGGAGAACAAGGTGCACCTGCGGCATCTGCAGTTCGAGTTCCGAAGGAACAACGAGAGTGCTCTGCTGGATGTCCTGCGGGATCATGCGGACACCTTGGTCTGCGTGGACATCTTCTTCAGCTGCTCGCCGGGCATCGATACGCGGGAGTGGTGCCAGGCCTTCGAAACGATGCACAATCTGCGCACCCTCAAGCTCTCCGGGAATTGCCATCTGGTTCTGCTGGAAGCCGTCTTGAGAGCTGTTCCGCAGTCAGCACCCATTCGCCAGTTGGATTTGACCGGAATGCTATCGCTCACCAACGAACTACTGCTCTATATAGCCGACAAATGGCAGAACACCTTGAAGGTGCTGGATCTTATGTTTTGCGTCCAACTGAACTCGAACTGTATTGATGCACTGCGTCAGCTGAGTGGTCAGTTGGAGGCGTTGACCATGGCCTACTGCAGGGAGTTGACCGGCATGGGATTGGTTCAGGGGCTGGCTGGGAATATGAACTACACTCTGCAGGAGCTGCATCTTGAGGAGACCATATTCTTAGACGAGAACTCCATGTGCCAGCTGCTGGAGAGGTTGCCCAACCTGCGAAGGCTCAGCTTGGATAATTGCCGCCAAGCGGTAACCGATCGCACCATGGCCACCATTTGCAGGTAAGGATTATTTGTGTTACCATTAACATAAGCCACTAAATGTTATTAATTACAGGTACCAAACAAGGCTGAGGAACCTCAACATCGATTACTGCGTGAAGATCACCGATCAGGGTTTAATGGGATATGGCGAGACTCCCTATCCCATCAGTAGGCTACGCGGACTAAAGGAGTTGAATCTTCGGGGCTGTCGCAACATCACAGATCGTGCGTTAAAACATGGCCTAAAGTTGCCGGAACTGCGAGCCCTTTCCTTGGGTTATTGCTCACGACTTACACCAGCGGGTTTTGAGGCGGTGACCCAAAACTGTCCATCTCTGGAAGCTCTCTGTGTGTCCAGCTGCATGACCATGGACGACGAGACTGTGAGGATCATTGTGAGCGGCCTGAAGCGACTGAGGATCCTCAACTTGAGCAACTGCGCCAAGCTGACGCTGCAATCGATCCACTACATCCTGGCGCATGCACACAATCTCGTGGAGCTGATCGCCTGCTCCATCGACGGACTGGACCACGAGCAGGCGCAGCGCATCCTGGAGGCGCAGAGGCCGCAAATGAAGCAGGTGCTGCTATAGCAGGAGAGGTACATCCACTGACGGAGCCGCAACACTCCGCCAAACGGTTGGGGGCGGCAGGAGGAGGACGACGACGACGAGACCGAGATTATCGAGATCGTGGTTTAGGCGGCGATCCTCTCGCTTTCATTTAGGTGAAGCTTATTAAGCGTATAACGTACATTGATTTATACCTACGAAAATTACTCTTAGCCCTGCAAATTGAGGGAAAAAACTTTAGAGGTGATACTTAGATTTGTTTTAAGACCCCATTCGACTCGTACTTTAAGATCCGCCAGCAAAGAAGCCAAATATCAAAGTACAAGCATACCTCCCACCCAAACCCATCTGAACATTTCAGTGATCAACTAATTAACGAGCACAACTAAAGCTATATATTCGTACTATGGCCACCACAATGTTTAGTTTTAGAAGATCAAGCAATAACAACTAACAAAGACTTTATTTTAAACTAACTTATATTTAATCTAATGCCATAATTATCAGTCCAATGAGCTTGCATTTCCATATATAACTTAACTTTTAATAGGGTTTGGGAACGAATCAATATTTCTGCAACCAAACAATACTTCTACAAATAATACTTTAGGTGTTGTTCAAGTCAATATATTAATCAGAGTGTGTCTATTTCAAGTGAATACGGTTGAACAAAACCATTCGAGGAACGAGTTTGCGAAAAGAGGCTGTTAGAATAAGTCGATGTTCAAATATAACTAACCATTATCTGATATATTTTAATCCATAGGCGTAAGATCAATTTTGAGAAAAGTTTTAAATGAAGTAGTCGGATACAGATAGAAGGGAAGCCAGACTTTCCCGGTAAGAGAGAGCGGAAATTTTGGAATATATTCTTTTGAAGAACTTTACTTTACTTAATCAACTTTTAAACATTTACTAAATGTTGCATGTGTTATAAGCTAATCGAAATGAAAACGATATAAAATTCCTGTGAGGGGAAAATTTTAGAAAGTGTGCTACATATAAATGATATTCAACTTCTTTTGAAGAAACCTAATAAACACGAAATACTTAAAAGAATACATTTTGTTTGTTTTGTTCTCTAAAAATGGCGTTTTGAGTAGTGATATTATGACATTGATGTCCTACCCATGTTTGTGATTCAACAATTCCTTGGCGGAGGTCTTGAGCTTTCATTTCTCACCCACATCACCTGGCGACTTTGATTGATGGGCTTTTACCTGCTTTTCGTCGCATTTCCTCAACTCGTATTTGCGGTGGGTGGAAAAGCTTTCCAGCTCAGCGAAGCGGGTGGTGCACGCGAAAAGCTTTTCTCGAGTGGGAAAACCATTCGACTCGTGCCAAATTCCAGAGGCACTGCACGCACTTTGACACCCATCAAGGGGCGTGTGTCGGGTTATGGCCGATAATCGGGAAGGGAAAGGAGGAGAAAGGGGGTGGCTATATCTCAGGGGGGGTGGCGATGGCACTCTTAGCATTTGGCGGTGCTAAACGAATCGAAACGAATGAATGAAAATATTATGTGGCCATAGAGTGTGTCACTCGTCGGCAGCGTGGCAGCCAACTAAGAAAGCCGAGCGGTCTTGAAAGCCGCGAAACGCATTCGGCCAAGTTAGTGGCTCTCCCGTTGCTATTGCTGCTGCTGTTGTTGTTGTTGTTGGCGCACAGTGGCTAATGTCCCGAGCCAACGTTACTGCTCCATAGACACTATGAAATATTGCTGCCAAAATACACACACGACTGCGAGCCGAGACGGATCCGTAAATAAGGCAGAAATGTGCGCGAAATTGTTAACATTAGCTTCTGGAAATCCTATGTACACACCTTTTATAACCCAAACAAAAAGTGTATTACTTTTAATGAGTGACCTCATTTTCAATAAAAAAAAACAATTACCTAATAATTTTTAAGGTCAGTTTTTTCTGGAATACAAATGTTTCAAGTCTAAAAAAACCTACGTCACAATTGAAACAGACAAACAAAATTATTCCCATAAACAATAAAGTAAACGATGTTTTTAAAAATCTGCTCGACATTACTCATACGCACTGTTACCAGATGTCAACAAATCTTTTTATTGCATTTTGTTTTCCATTATTTTTGGACATTGATGCCTTGCTGACATTATCCAGGTTTATTTAAACGACTACTAAGTGTTTTTCAAATGGGCCAAAGCAAACATAATTAAACGCTGTTGCCAATTATCCGCTTTAATTACGTAAAATTTGCGTTTTACTTTAAGTCTTTGCCCAACATAGGTTATTCCCATCAAGATAAATCCAGTGGCGCAGATTTAATTGGCCCGACACGTTCGCTGGAGCCACTCGTTCGTTACAGTCATGTCGTTCACCTTCCGCATTCATGTGAGGGAAAAAGCAACGACGCTTCGTCGCTGGCTTTCAGATACAGATACAAATCTGAATGAACTGTCGCCGCGGCTTATCAGATAAGTTTGGAGCGCGCTGGAGTGCGGTTGCAGCAGCTCTCGGGAATCAAAATCAATTCGGCAAACTTAGACAGTCGGTCGTTCGGTTGGTCGGGCCCCCAACAAACTTGGCCAGCGTATTCGTATTACGGATTGCGGATTACCTCGTCGGTAATTTGGTGCGTTTGCGTGCCAGTCAAGAATCGAGATTCGCCATTCGAGAATTGAGAATCGAGAATCGAGATTCAAGTATCGCGAATCGAGAAGCGCGAGTCCGGACTCATACCTGTCCTCCCGCCGCCCTGTCGCCTCCAATAAATTATTATAATTAGCATAGTTGAGGGGGACACCGGGAGTCGCGGCCGCAGTTAAACGCCACTGGAATTTAGCGCTGCTAGTGGAAATTTTGTGAAAACAAAAGGGGAAAAATTCCAGCAGCCGGCGCCAATCATGTCCGCTGGCAATGTTAGCCAAATTCTTGGACCGCCTCGCGATCCGCTGGCGATCGTGATACCCGTTACGGTCGTCTACTCTTTGATCTTCATCACCGGCGTGGTGGGCAACATCAGCACCTGCATTGTGATCAAGAAGAACCGCTCGATGCACACGGCCACCAACTACTATCTCTTCTCGCTGGCCATCTCCGACTTCCTGCTCCTTTTATCCGGAGTTCCGCAGGAGGTGTCCTTCATCTGGTCCAAGTATCCGTACATTTTCGGCGAGTACGTGTGCATCGGAAGGGGTTTGCTGGCGGAGACATCGGCGAATGCCACGGTGCTGACGATTACCGCCTTCACGGTGGAGCGGTACATAGCCATCTGCCATCCGTTTCTGGGCCAGGCCATGAGCAAGCTGAGTCGCGCCATCCGGATTATTGTGCTGATTTGGATTATGGCCGTGCTGACAGCCATTCCGCAGGCGGCCCAATTCGGTATCGAGCGGTATTCGGGCGTGGAGCAGTGCGGCATTGTGCGGGAGATAGTGAAGCACTCGTTCCAGCTGTCCACCTTCATCTTCTTCCTGGCCCCGATGTCCATTATCCTGGTGCTGTACCTGCTGATTGGAGTGCACCTGTACCGATCCACCTTGGTCGAGGGTCCCGCCTCGGTGGCCCGTCGCCAGCAGCTGAAGAGCGTGCCCAGCGATACGATCCTGTACCGCTATGCGGGCTCCAGTACCGCCGTCAATTTGAATGGTGGCGGTGCAGGAGCAGCGGGCACTGTGGGCGGCTCGGGAGCGCAACTCAGCTCGGTGAGGGGTCGGCTCAATCACTATGGCACCCGGCGTGTGCTCAGGATGCTAGGTAATTAATCATCCTATAAATAAATAAAAATTAACCTATAAATAAATAGATACTGTGCACTGGGAAAAATAAAGTTAATTATGAAAGAATAAATATAGTTTTAAAAGAGCTGATTGCATGCATATTTTACGTGTATCATCAATATCGAAGTAAAAGTTGATTTTACTTATTAAAACTAAACTAAAATTAGTTATTAAATGCAGTTTCAATACAGTCAGTTTTGTGTGATAATCAGTTTAATACCAAATTCAAGTTGTATTAATTATAAAGCCCTTAATATATCTAAAGACTATTTCTGTGAATTTCAACATTTGCATATTGATTTATCTGAGTGTATACCAACTGTTTGACCATATGCGCTAAGCGGGGCTAATCAACCCGTCTGCAGCCAATTTATTGCGTTTGTCATTTCGGCTTTCTCCATTTGTGATGACAATTGTGATTACCGAAAAATATAATCGTTGACTCTTTATCTGTGTCTCCCTTGGTGTGCAACCCCATTTACCCATTACCCCCCATCGATTTCCAGTGGCCGTTGTGGTGTGCTTCTTCTTGTGCTGGGCCCCCTTCCACGCCCAGCGGCTGATTGCCATCTACGCCCCTGCACGGGGGCCAAGCTGAGGGACCAGCACGAGTTTGTCTACACGTGCGTGACCTACATCTCCGGGGTCCTCTACTACCTGTCCACCTGCATCAATCCTCTCCTGTACAACATTATGAGCCACAAGTTCCGCGAGGCCTTCAAGGTGAGAACTCATTTAAGTTCAGGACTCTCACTAAGTTTTAGAAGGAGATTTGTAACAAGAATGAAATCGATCATTTTGAAATGCAAAACTCTATCTCTGCAAATATTTTGCACACTTTTTGTTACCATCCAAATTTTTGCTCTATAAATTTGCGGAATACTAACTGGTTTCCCATTTCAGGCCGTGCTTTTTGGCAAGAAGGTGTCGAAGAGTTCGCTGAACTCGCGAAATAACATCGAATCGCGGCGCTTGCGAAGGGCACTAACCAATTCCAGTCAGACGCAGCGCGTCTCCATTGAATCGGCGGAGCAGCCGAAGCAATCGTTAATGCAGGTAAGTGAACCTACCATATAATCAGTGATCAGATGTGGTATTAACTTTTTCTCAATATTATATCCACTCCCACCAGAATCCGCTGAATAGGCCGCAAGTCGCCTCCCAGTACGCCATGATCAATGCCCAGGCCAAGTGAACCACTCGCTCTCCGATGCTAACTTATTTGAGTTCCGTTTAAGCCAGTTGCCAGCTTGCCGACGTAAGGGTATCCAGACAGACATTGCTGCTGCTACCAAAGCGTTTAGCTTAAACTGCTTTTGCATTCATTTGCACTTGGCAATTAAAAGTTAATCACAAGCGCTCTGTCGCCTAAAGGTTAAGTTTTTCATTCATGCAGCATCGGCTAGCGAAGCTGAATCGGGCTGGAAAAATGCCTGAACTAGTCTTTCAAGTATTCTGAATTATTTACTTTAAGAAAAGTCGAACCTTTGACTCAGTCAACTGGCGCTCTTTAAATTAAACTTTGTTCAGAGCCCAGGGGGACTTACTCTTAAGTAAGCCCGAGATGTTTATAGCTTAATAGTACTTCCTGCTGATATAAATCAATCACTTAGTGAACGCCCACCACGTATATATATAAGAATATAATTGAGCAAAGTATGAAAGCTGAGACCTATGACATGTTACATTTTAGCCACAAAAAAGTTATGTAATGTATCCCTATGTTTCACAAACATGCCAAAGTGAAACACTGTGCTTTTAAAGAAGCATTATAAACAATCCTGTAGCCGGTAACTAAGTTCCATAAAGATTCACATTTGATTATCCTATTTTGTATTGAAAAAGGGAACTGTAATTCCGTTAAGATAAGATTTCAAATAACTTTATTCAGTATCAAACTCAATTTAAATGACGGACCAAGTTCGTTCACTAACCAGATATTTATGTGTATATTGTGTATATATCCTAGGGATACCTTAAAGGATGAATTTGCTGTATTAAAATTATTCCCATGGCTGCAAATAAAGCTTAGCATATTCCGCGCCCGCTTATTTTCCGCATCTTTCTAAGGATTCACTCTGGTGAAAATGTAATTTGCTCATAAAATACATTTGGGTTTTTATCGATTGCGGTCCTGTCGTCTGCGCCTCGCTGACTACAAATGAAATTCTAATGAGGTGGCGACTGGTTCAAGGTCATGCAAATGCAGGGACTACGTGGCGTATTAGTAATCCCCCCAAATTGTTATGAAAATGCAATCAACCAAATGGAAGCCCTCGCAAGAACTCACGGAAGAACTGCACGGAGGATTGGCCAAAAGCAGCACCCATCGTAATACGACGCAAATGCGTCAAAGTCCAAAGCGCAGCGGGCCATAAAGGAGCAAACAAGTCAGATGGCTAAAACAAAAACGATTTGTTCTGCCAACGTCACGTTAAGCCAAAAAAAAAAAAAGAAATGGCTCAAAACAGCCGGCAAGAGGAGCAAAAGCCAAGCAAATACACACACGTTCGCAAAGTGACGTAGAAATTATGAAGTTTGTGATTTACGAGCAAATCGGGCGGGAAAAGCAGCAGGAAAGCGCAACAAAAAATCTAATGAATGAGCTTAATAGGACTAAACCTACTTTGAAATACCCCGTACATAAATAATTTTTTTAGAATTTGTTTTCAAATTCGCTAAGGTAACTTTGTTTTCGTTTCCAGAAAAACTATTCCACATTATTTGATTTTTCAGCATATTACACCAACTATTATATATCTTGTAAGTACGAACTTTTAATTTTTTTTTTTTTAATATTTTTATAGTTAGTTTATAGTTTATAGTACAAGGAAACATTGCAAACGCAAATATCAAAATTAGTGGTTGAACTCCCTTTTTTGATATAACTGAAAATTAAATTTTAAAATATTTCCTTCGAGTAAGTTTAGAATTTAATATTAATTTTGGGTTAAGATAAACAAGCTTAGTTAAACTTGAAAGTCTGAAAATTTTTTTAGGTTTTCTTTCTAAAATAATACACCCTTTTTAGCTTATTATAAAGGGAATATTAAAACAATGAAAAAAGTAAAGCCACACAAAACATCGTTTAACACGCCAAAAGTTTAGACAAACACCCACTCACACACACACCAATAGACAATCACGTACGCACAAGGAAGAAAGCAACGCACACATAGACACAGTGATGACAAGCAGATGGAGAGGGATAGCAATACACCCACCTCCACCCCCTCTTCTTGGTGAGACAAGCTGCCAACAGGTGGCGCTGACTGCAGTGTGGGAAATTAATCAGAGCAGCGAAGCAAAAAGTTGCTAGAGTGGACCATGTTTCTCCCGTTTACTTGTTAACTGTTTATTACGTCTGGCGCGTATTGGCTTTGCTTTTGCGGTTTTCGCTTTGTTCTTAATTAGGAGAATTTAATTTGATGGTCACGATTCGTGAGTCACGTGCTGGAGTTAATTTAAGCCGGCTATACGAGAAAAATAAGCGTGCGCACTGCGCAACGTTGACGACAAACTCAAGAGGTGTATGCGCTTTATTTACATATTCATTTTAATTTCTAATACTTCTTTGCGGAAATAAAATGTTTTCGATGTTTAAAAAATTATCAATTACACTGTAAATGCTAATTTTCTATCGCTTAATATTATATGTTAAAATTAGTTCTTTTCAAAATATTTTTCACAAACTTCGTTCAGATCGCAGTTGCCTGTTTAGGTTTCAAATTTGAGGTTCAATCACTATATCCTTGACTTTGGTTGTTAGTCGTTTCGATTTTAAACCTTCCTATTATTTTTCAGTTCGCAGCTGGGAAGCAATAGAAAAACATCGTACGCCTAAAAATAACAAAAAAATACACCGTAAAATATTTAAAAAAATTTTAAAGTTATAAAACACAAAGAGGTAACCAAGAGAAAACATTTAGTGAAAAACCGGTTTAAAATCGTTTACCATTGTTTCAGTGCCGAAGGGAACGTCTTTGTGAAAAAGGACGATGTCCAACGTCATCAAGAAGGTGATTCCCATGCTGGATCGCATTTTGATCCAGCGCTTCGAGGTGAAGACCACCACTGCGGGTGGCATCCTGCTGCCGGAGGAGTCGGTGCCCAAGGAGATGCAGGGTTTGGTCGTGGCCGTTGGACCCGGAGCTCGCAATCCGAACGGAGCTGGCCATTTGGCTGTGGGCGTTAAGGAGGGCGATCGAGTTCTGTTGCCCAAGTACGGAGGCACCAAGGTCGACATGGATGACAAGCGTGAATACCTGCTCTTCCGCGAGAGCGACATTCTGGCCAAACTTGAGTAGCCGTGCAAAGTGGCTATATCCTGCAACATACACATCTCAACACTAATGGACACGAAACTGCTGCCAACTTGACTTCATTCCGGCGCACACTTGTTATATGCTTCGGTATTGCGTTCGAAACTAAATGATTATAATGAAATGTTTTATTTGGTAGCTTGCTAAAAGCCACACACTACACTAACTCGCTGGCGCAACATTTAACAACATCTTCACACCCCACCATTTCATGTAAGGACAGTCCAATTATACATTGTTCAGATGCGACCTATGAAATAAAAGGGATCAATGTTGGGTGCCGACGTTACTGAAGAATAAGTATTTAAAAGGTTGCACTGCAAGCTTAGTACCTTGACCTTAACTCTTGTCCAAGGCCAAGGGGTTGAATAAAGAAAAAGATATTTTTAGAAAGCCCCAAAAGGTGTGCTACTAAATGTTGAATAAAAGTAACAATTCGAGGGACTTTAAATAGCGCAGTTCACTGAAACCCCCTGCCTATGCACCTTTATACCCACACCATGCTGACCCCTATGCCACCCACTGTACCTTAATCCATCCCCCCAGCCATCAATGCAGCACCCAACCGCCACCCACTCGACTGCCTGTTGCGTGGGAGCCTCCGTCTAACTGCTCATTGGCAGATGGATCGCTTCGGTTCCGCTCGGATTTCTTCGTGCCGAAGGCCCAGCATTCGGCGAGTACCGTTCGTATTGGCTATCCCGTTATCTCGGCGGCGGTTTAACGGCAGGAGAACACCGTACTTTTCTAAGCTATAAAAGCCGCTGGCCGACCGCAGTTTGTTGGCAATTCGAAAAGCGTTGGCACCTGACTCTGATCAACAAGTGGCAAGAGTGGAAAGTCCTGAAATTCTGTGCAAAGTGTTCTGTGCAAAAGTTGGCTAAAAGTTACCGAAACAAAACCAAATTATAACTGACATCGGACAATTTGCGTGCAGGTTGCGAAATAAAATTTATTGAAAAATGTGGTACAGCAAGTGCAGTTGGACGTTGGTGGTGTTGGTGGCACTCTTTGCCCTTGTGACAGGTAAAAAGTTATTAAAAGTTTATGTTAAATAAAGTTAAAAGTGATCAATTAAATATCTTCCTCAAAATTGTATTCTTAAATACATTTATTTAAGTATTCTGGGGCTTATTTTATTTCAAAAACTTGCTAAGATCAGTAGAAGTTTTAAACCGCTTTTCACAAACTACATAGCTTCCATAAGTTCTAAGAAATCTTTTAGTATTAAATAAAGATTGGTTTTACTAAATAATTTAAACATCTAAAATGCTAAAAAATTAACTGAGATAAGTTTTTATTGAGAATCTAGTGTTTTTTACTATTGTCCTTTTTGTAACGTCCTTATAAATTATTTATGGTTTTATTAAAAAATCAAGATTTTGAGTCTAATCATATCATGAAAGTTTTGGGTTTCTAGTTTTCTTGCGAAATAATTTTGAAATTTATTTTACCAATTTTAAAAATGCTTTTGTAATGTAAACTTAATCACATACAAATCAAATTAAACGATTACTAAAGTCTTACTCATTAGAATTCAACAGCTTGAAGTATACTTTCTGGCTTAAACGAAATGACGAAATTGAATGATATGCTGAGTCACAATTCCGAGAACTTAGTGGCCTATCTAAACCATAAAAATACCAAACTACTAGCTGATTAACCAACCGGTAATACGTGTCCCCAATATCATGGTTAGCCGGGAAAAATCCAGCTCCCATTTTCCGATCCGCCCCTTCCCCGTTTTCCATTTGCGCTTCTAATCCGCTTTATCAGTTCGAGTTTTATGCACATTTTCCTGTTGATACGCCTTTGTTTGCTCGCTAGTTCGGCGGCTTCCCTTTTTGGGGTTTTTCTACGTATTTTCCTTACTCACCGCAAATGCAGGCTAACCAACGGATTTCGAGGGGGATCTGGATTTACGCCATGGGGCGGAGAGATCGGGGGCTCGATTTCGCCCTTCGGACCGAACCTCCCTGAACGCTTTCAACGCTTTCGATTGCCATCGTAAATTAATCCGAACTGCGTACCAAACAACAATTACACCGAAAGAAATAATGACGTCCAACCTGTTTTCAAAGTGATAATAACTTTAACTCCGTATATCTATTTTAGACAAGATTCATTTAAAAATCGTTATAGTTGTACAGTTTAGTGATAAAAGTTGCTTTTTAAAAATAGAAAGATTTTTTTTTTCCTAAGTCACTAGCCCATCATATATTTTTCTGGGTGCAATACTGTGAAAGGCGGCATTCGTGTCACGGTGTTAATGGAAATCCACGTAATTTGGAAGGTGACGGAGACGCAGAAAAAGCGTCAGCAAGAACGGAAAAATAAAACCCGAACCGAACGTGTGAACCTGTCAAGCTGTGCCGCCTGCAGGCGTTGCAGTCAGATAGAATACCAGCCATCCCTCCATTCCTCCTCGATTCCTGCAGAGATTGGCCATGACCAGGAGAACCGCGTTCCAGCTGTGGAATTTTTTTTTGGGCTAAACGCAGATTGGGTTAGGTTCAGGTCAGCGAGAGACAGAGGTTTTATCTAAGCGAATAAATGAGTTTTTATTTCGGGGAAAAACCATGAAAGATAACAATCTTCGAAAACATAATGCTTCTTACTTTTAATAAACTCAAATTGGCTTTTAGTTTTTGTAACCAACAACTCGCACTTAAAAATATAGTTATTATTTTAAATGACAGGGAAATAGTAAAATATCAAATATAAAATTTTACAAAAATGTATATTTCTCATAATTTTAAACTTTTTCCATTGTTGTAATATTAAATGCACGTTTTATCAAAGTCTTTAACGTATTGTTGCAATTAAATAATCAGAATAAAAAATTCACATTTAAAGCATTAAAAAATTTAATCACACTTTAAACGACACTTCTAACACTTTTCGCAATGACTCTTTTCTGCTGGGGAATCCCCGGAACAAAATTAAACAAAACGCATTCAGTCACCGCTAAATTGCGCCGCACTTTTGGGTCATTAAAAAAAGACATTATTCAGAAGTGGGGACGCCAACGCGGCCAAGATCAAGGATATGGCCATTAAAATGCGCTGGTCAAGTTAATTGGCTATCTCGGCTGCTGATTGGGAAAAGTGGGAGTGGGTGTGGGATTCGGCCAAATAGGTCCCATTAATGGGGGACTCAGTTTAATGACAGCCCTTCGATGCGGCGACCCCAAAAGGCTTCGATGTCGGCAATCGCTATCTCCGATGGCCGCCATGCCTGTCAACAAGTGTGGTGGTCTCCATATGCACGATTGTATGGGTTTCGTGGCCGCCCGGCAACAATTAATCCACGGTTTAAGTAATTGACAAATGATTACGGGTTTGATATATGGCCAGGGTAGCAACAGCCGCGCCAGGCATGATGGAATCGTCTGGCCGCGCCGTTTATAATACATATTTATCTTGGCTTATGCAAACCAACCAACCAACAAAACCCCGCCCCACAAAAACTCTGGCCCATCTGCGTCATGGAACTTGTTGCCACTTGCCGTAACTCCTGCTTTTTGTCGCAGATCTTCCTTCCACTGACAGTTGTGCAATGCGTGCTCTTACGTCCTGTTCCGGTCGTCCTGTCCCAGCTGAGTCCTCTTCCTTTCATGGTGATGCGTTGCCGTCCATTTGTGTGATTAGTTCTGCGTCGCCACCTCTTACAAGTTCGTCTCCTTTTTTTTTTTTTTTTGGCACACAATGCACGAGTGGCATCAAGGACCTTGTGTAAGTGTTATGCACGGCAACGTGTTGATTCTGCACGGCGACGTGGAGCTATTCACCTAAGCTGGCGCAAATCAAGTTGTTAAAATTGGGAAACTTGGGGTGTAAAATAACTAGCAAAAAAAACGTTGCCTGGTTGTTATTCAACATTTAACAGGACATACAATGCCATTATGCAATTATGCCTAGTTCATAACAAAGCCAAATGTTCCCTTTTCTACTTCAGAAAGAAGCAGTAGCTTATTGCAGTAAAAGTTTAAAGAACTTTTATATAGAGTTTGATTTGTTATAAACACCCAAGCATTTGTTCTTAGAAATTAATGGTACGTTTTTTAGCTTATTACGGATTTTTAAAATAAATAAGAAGTTTTGCTCAGTGCTGTTTAAATTTGCCACGCACTGGGATGCAGGACTTCTGCTCCTCAGAGTGCATTACTCAACTCGCACCGCGTTGGCATATGAGCTCTGTAATGGCCACATTTATCATAGAGCACGACATTAGCAGCCAAGTGAACAATAAACATGTGCTTTTTACTGGGAAAGCAGCATCCAAAGTAGCATCTTCAGTGGGCTGCAGGCGAAAGGCCACAAGAAAGCAGCTCTTACCTGGAAAAAGTGAAAGAGAAAGTTCTTAAAGCCTTTGGTTAGGCTCGCCGGGAGGTCGAAACTACAGAGCAGCCGGGTTGTATCTTATTTTCTAGCAAATTTACGCGCACAAAGTCTTAGCGTTGTGCCAACTGATGATGATTTATTTTAAATGAAAAAAAATGTTGCATACTTTCAGGTTCCTGCTTGGAATACGGACATTCGTGTTGGGGAGGTAAGTGTTCGCCTGTTAGACTCTGACAGGAGTAGTTCATCAGGACTTCCTTTACGACTCACCGTTTATATATTTTACAGCTCATGGCAAGCGATCTGGAGGCAAGGCGGTAATAGATGCCAAACAGGTGAGGCATAAACCTTTTACTAAAAACAAGAACATGAACTAGCTTTAACCAAAGTCTCTCCTGAAAAGTGATAGAAGGTTTATCTTGTACAATTTGTAGAGGAGTGTTTACTATTTCAGTAGTTGTTAAATTTAAATAACCTTTCCCGAGAATTAAAATATAGTTACTTCTTTAGTAATTCTATTGGAATTACAATATTAAAACTGCTGTAATGGAATTGTAATGAATGTTATATCTCTTTAGCCTTCTGGACCCAACTCGTACGCGATTGATACCCTGGCTGAGGAACTATACAACAACCAGAACAACCAGAACAACCCGGAGGACAACGATGACGACAGCAACACGAACACGAACACGAATAGTGGCAGCAACATACCTTTGGCAGTTCCAGTTCTTTCAACTCGTCGGGACTTGGAGGATCGCAACCGGAGTGGCCCGAAGTGGACGCAGTTGATGCGGCAGCATCGCTACCAACTGAGGCAGTTGCAGGACCAACAGCAGCGCGAGGGGCGTGGCAGGGGCGGCCAGTATGATGCCGCCGCCGAAAGTTGGCGGAAGCTGCAACAGGCACTGCAAGCCCAAATCGATGCCGAAAACGAGATGCCCCAGATGCCGCCGTACGATCTCACGAAGTGAACTCTCCGAACTAAATTGCCAAATTGAAATTATGCAGATAACACGTTAGCTAAGCAGAAGTTAAACACACAGCAGAGCGAAATTGAAAGATATTTATCACACGCGAGATCATCGCATCGCATGCCGGGCATCAATTAAAATAAAATCAATTTAAAACAATTTAAACAAGGCATCGGCGATCGGAGCAGTCAACTTGTAGAATTTGTTGTGGTGTTTTTTATTATTAGATTTACTGAGCTGATCAGTGGAATCCTCTCTGGCCATTTTGCGTCACTGGCTGGATGCCGCAACAATGGCCCGCTTCGTTTTCGTTCACTTAACCGTACTTAATCCATAACTAAGCATATGCAGATACGATCTTAAGATTTACCACTAATAAAAGCTAACATTGAGTGCAAACATCGCAGCTGTTTAGGCCTTGATTTTGGCGGGTATCTGGAAGCAGGCGGCATCTCCGTGCTTGTCGCCCAGTCCCCAGTGGATCTCCAGGCTGACGGTGGGGTAAACCGGCAGGATCTTGAAGCTGTTCTTGTAGGTGTACACCTGGCCGGCCTTCAGCGGGCAGCCCACCTTCTTCTCCCCCGCCTCGTCGTAGATGTGCGGACAGGCGCTGGTGCCGTAGTATCCGGGGAAGGGCAGCGGCACGTCCAGGATGATGCCCTGGATGTCCGAGGTCAGCTCCTGGAAGTCCCTCTCAGGTCGCAGCTTCATCTGGATGCTCGCCTCCGTGTTGCGCTTCAGGATGCACTTGCTCTTCGGGCAGTTCGAGATGGACACGTCGCCGGCAGTCAAGGCCTTGGATTTGGCTGCAAGTCGAGAGGGGGAAATCATGGTTTAAATCTCAAGTTAATTATGAATATACATCCAGTTTCAGTCTATTTAAATTTAAGCCGATTTTAAAAGAGTCTTTCCTGATTAATGAAATGATAACTTAAAAGTTGAAAATTTAAATCCATATTTCTTGTGTATTCAATTACAAAAATTTACCGAAAATTATTCATATCTAATTTAGTAACGGTTAAAGAAAAATCTGTATTCACTGAAAGCTTTAAACAACGTATATGTTTACTAGAAGTGTATGTTAATTAACTTGAAAAGTCTATAATTAATTTGTTTACGACTCAGCTAATATGTAAATGGGTCTATAAACAATTTAATTCCGAAAGCGTTTATTCAATCAATCCGTAAGCTATCTAAAACTGTTGAAAGTAACTAGTTTTTGGGCTGTTCGTCGACGTTTTGATTGCTTTCCTAGTTTTATAACTATTTTTATTTTTTTATCTCTAATTTAGTACTTACATTTGGGGCAGGGACTGACATCAGTGGCCGACGAGCAGCCGAGCAAAGCGGCGCAGATCAAAAACAGTCCCGAGCTCAGCTTCATTCTGGCGATGTGGCTAATTGTAAGAAAAGTGAGACGAATTTAACGAGAGGTCGCTAATTGCTGGTCAACTAATTTGGACCCCGAGACGAGAGCTTTGGCCTGGTTGATAACAGGCCCACGTTATGGCCAAAAACCGGTTGCAGTTGGACCAGTCGAGCTTGAAACGAAAGATCGACCTTGACTTAAAATCACCTCACAAACATCACAAAACAATCTCTCACGTAAAGTCGGCAATTACAACTTGGACAGCACAAGGCAACTTTAGTTTCAGATCCGAAAAGTTAACTGGCAACTTAATATTCAGAAAACTACTTGAACTTCAATTGTTAAATGTTCTGTTTACTCCCTTATTAGAGTCAATCGCTCGGGGAAAACCAAGTTGTCCGTTTAATTTACCAATTTTCCTGGCAATTGCTATCAACTTGAGTGCTTCGCTTCTATATTTTCTCGCGGAGCTCTCGGGAGCTAGTACCTCAAGCTACGAACGACGATCGGCAAATGAACCGCCGATCTCATCGCATGTTCGTAATATATATAAGATATTTAAGGCGGCGACTGCTGAATCACAGCTTAATTGACTACTGCCCATTTTCTTTGCCTGCCCGGCATGCCAAGCGTTTAATTACATCAAGAAGTTCAGACAACTAAACTTCAGGCCGTATCCATTACTATTTAAAAGTAAATGATTTTGTTTACCTTCCAATTTTGTTTTAAAAAAGTGAATTCTATATTCATTAATGAACAGTATCCACATAGAAGCTAACTTCATTGAAAGTAAAAGTGCTTTGAAATCTCTGTGCTTGTTAATCAATGTGGATCATAATTTGATGCTTATATTTTCAAAATAGATTCTTGATTTGTTTACTATATTTTGCAAGTACTCGTACTTGAGACTTTTAGTCTGAATTAACACCTTGGATTTACGTTTTTGCCAAAAGCCAACAAAGGCGCGATCTTTCCGCCTGCCAAATAGTAAATTATCAAATATCCACAATGTTTAGAGCCCATAACAAGTTTGCCAAATCATGTTTGTGTGGCCTAAACAAATAATCGTACTTAAAATGCAAATTGCATTCGTATAAACATTAACATACAAAAACTGAAAGCTTTGATTTCTGTCTGAGATTGGCGAGTGATACGATACCATATTAAAGCCCTGTTAATAGAGCGTACAAAAATATCTTCACGTTTGATATGCAAGGCACCTCACTATAACTTGTAAAAAAAAACGAATCGATTTACTTGATCTGTTTAAGAATGAACTGATCGTTCCCCTTTGTTCAGATTTTCCAGGAAGTTGATGAGCAGTATAGTGTGACGTGCCCACTTTTAAGTTCATTTCAATTAGCATTTAGAAAGTCGAGCTCATAACGAAACCGAGAACACAACAACATGAATGCAAAGATTTTACGGAAGCATGAATACACAAAGAGTAGTTTTCATTAATTAAATTAACTTAAATTGGAAAAATACGAAACTTAGTACAGTGTATGTAAATTAGAAATTTCTCGCACAGATCAGAATAACAAGCTTAAATTTTATTAGTGGTTTTACTTGTTTCGTGTTGATTTAGAAGAGGAGTGGCAAACCGCAACTGCAGCGTTCGAAGCTCGAAATGCAACTGACCAAATTCGAAACGGAAAGCTGCGCCCAAATAGACAAAAAAAAAAACTCTGCCCCGGCCGGTTTGTCTGGCTTGAAAGACTTTACACAATGCTGAAGAATTGAAAGTTTCCGGCCTTTTTGTGGAGTGGGTGCTCCACTGTTCAAGCGGTCAACGTTCAATCAGCTGCTGCTCCCTGCTAAAAGCGAGAGGAAAGCGGTTTAGGAAATCCTAACTACGCTTTAGGTTTCTGTTGACACACCACTCGGCATACGGAATGAGCTGGAAGTGGCAAATATTGGGGAAGCGATGATCGCTTGCTGTTCAACTCGGAAGTAACAACAAAAAGTACTTCCTTTTCTCGTTAGTTAAGAATCCCATTACTGAGAACCATGCTGTGTATCTATTCTTTTGCCGCTACATCTTTTTTATATAATAGTATAGTATAAAATAGTATATGATTTGAAAATATGTTATTTCAGCAACAAACTTTTTACACAAAGATGCATGTTAGCGATCTAGGTATACAAAATTGTTCTCAGTGCATTCAAAAGCGTTTTGTATCTTGACAACCAGGTGGCGCCACTTTGACATTGGAAATGTAGTTGGCAACTCCAATGTACTTAATACATGAAACCCTCGCTAGGTGTCGCTGGGACCAAAAGCAGTAAACTGCTTGCTGTAAAATCACATTCCGTTTATTTTAAAATAAAACCTTCAAAAACAACTAAAAAGTTTTGCCAAACGGATTTTTGTCAATTTTAAGATAAGCTCTTTAGAATTATAATAACAAATTCCAAAAGCAACAGTCACTATAATTTCTATACAAACCCCAAACGTGGAACCCCAGATTCTCCCTCAGGAGTAATTAAAACAACGAGCTTTGTTTCTTATATTGAATCATCAGTTTATTCATCTTCACTCCGTTTTTCATTTTAAATAGTATGAACTACATTTGAATTGTACAATCTAGTTAATAATTAACATTTAGCCCATAATAGTACACAATGATGCGCATGTATTTGCTTATAATTTTATGCTTCTAGTTTTGCTTGGGTTTGAGTTTTCTGGATATTCTGTTATAATTTTGTATTTCTATTTTGCCTACCAACATTTACATTTACTAATTCTTGAAAGTTCAAGTGTTACATTCAATCGGGTTTTTTTTAAGTGTACGATCTACATATGGGTGTTGGCGTAGTTATGTAACAAAAGGATTTCATTTTTTTAAGCCGAGCTGTTTTTAGGTGAGCTAACTAACCGGAGAATTTATTACGTATATCATTGCGAATCTTAAGCATAATTTTTACACAAGTTTCATTCTTCTTTAAGGGTTTTCTTTGCTCTTTATAGAAAAAATATACAGTTACAATTAGATTTTCAATTAAATACATTAATTAAGCATAAATTATTACATAATTGTGCTAATTTCTTTTGTTTAGGTTTCCGTTGCCATTTTCTCCATTTTTGTTTTGCATCTTAGCTGGTTAAAGAATATTTTCCATTTAGTTATTGAACATTTAGTTTACGTTTTACGCTTGTTTGTTGTTTATTATCAGTAGTGGTATTATTATTATTATTTGTGGGTTCTTTACGTCAAGGTTATTAAAATTAATATGTACAAAGTTGAACTTAACAACTAAACCGTGTTGTGTTTTTGTTTTTCAATTCAATTCAAGTTTCCCTTCGCTAGTGGACAAAGTTGTTTTGCACTGTCACAGAGACTTTTACTAATTGTAGCATCTAATTATTGGTGATTAATTGGTATTATTTGTATGCTTCCTTTCTATGTGTAATGCATAACTATATATTTGTAATTATACAACTATGTATATGTATTGTATGTATGTTAGATTAGAAGCGACCAGATTTATCCTGAAACGAGAGAAAAGAATAAGAAAAGTTTAGTAAGTTTATAGTTTTAGTTGAATCTGTACAAAATAGTATTCGTATTTTAAGTAAATAAGTTCCAAATCAACACTTCATAAAAGCACAATCAGAATTTCCTGACAATGACCAAGACGTCCTTCCTCCGGGGCTTCTAATTTATTCAGGAAATTTTTTTGGGGTCTAATAGCTTCTGACACTTGACAGAAATATTCATAAGCCGGCTGATGAGAGGGAGATAGAGCACTCGACACTTTCCCCATCTTCTTATCTGGCAATTTTTATGCAAATTCAGCCGAAGGACAAACTACAAGCGGCCAAAATTATGCCATAAAAACGACGGCGCTAAACATTTAAAATAAGATTTTAGCCTCAGCCCCAATAAATTCCATCCATTTTGCCTGGCAAATTGTTGTCGCTCGCACAGAAACATAAAAATCAAAGCTCCTCGCTTATCGCTGGCAATTTTATTAGTTACAGCTTTAAATTATATTGTGTATGTAGATCACGCGCAGTTTTTATGGCCTGCAATTGAATTTTATGCGACACTTGAAGGAGGGGACCAGAAAAAAAATGAAAGAAAGGGAGTGCGAAGCCTACTTATGAGCGCTTTATGGCCACCACTCCTTGGGGGCATTAAATTTTGTGTGTGACTGCGAGCGTGATTGACTGACTCTGAGCCACTGCCTGTGATTAGATGTTCCCCACTCCCGTTCCCCAAGGATATTTGCAGTGCCTTTCACGGACGGATTGACAGGACAAGAAGCCACCAGGTGGCACTGTGGCCTTTGCCCTTTTCCGCATTTTCCAGCCGTTCCTTTCGACTGCCTTGCAGTTTATTACAAAACGAGTTAATATTTTATTAGTTACACAAAAAAACAAATTATTCAAAATTTTAATACAAAATATGATGTTTAAAATAATGTTTAAATTGAATAGTAAGTTATATTTATAAGACCAATAAATTCAAGAAAATGTTATGCCTTTCTAGTAACACTTTCATACAGTTTAATAAATCAAAAAAAATTCCAAACATTTCTTTCTGTGTATGTGAAGGTGCGTGTTCCTGTGTGAGTGCTAGCTTCTGTCACGTCATTATCCTTTGTCCATGCAACAAGTGTTTAAACCGCTCGCAGAGCTTTATTTGTTTGAACGCGTGCGTGTGTGGGTGTGGGTGAGAGTCCTTAAGGACCTTAAGCAGCTTGTACACAAGCCGTTTCCCGTTTTCCCCCTGCTTCCTGGCAATTGTTTTCCCTGCTCCGAACGGGGCAAAAAGCCATGGAAAGCGACCTCCGCATCGTGTTGAGTTAAGTGAGTGTAAATGCGGTTTGTTCCCGCAAGGACCTTTTCGAACAGGTCCTTTTCTGGGTGTGTGTGTGTGTATGGTGTGTGTGTGTCTGGCCTCGCTTATCATTGTGGCCGCCGTTGGCAGCTTAAATGTTATTAAATTGCTGACAATTTGTATTATGAAGTCGCGGCGCTCATCGCGATTTCTTTTCCCTTGCTGACAAATTGATTTCCCGCTGCCGCCAGGATAATGAAATTTTCATTTGAATGCCAATGGGTTTCTCTTCTACTTTTTTCCAGCACTTGGACAATTAGTTCTGACACTTTTGTTCGAGGCGGCCAAACCTGTCCAAAGTTTGTCAAACAATCTGCGGGGATTAGCTCCCGCCGGACAAATTCTGTCGCTAATTCAATTTATTCAAACTTCCCCACCGCTTTTTGCGGTCCCCGCTGGGAATTTATTAATGATGCACTGGCATTAAAATTTAATCAAATGTGCGACGGAAAAAAGTTTGATTCTCTGAATAATTCAGCGAGTTGCGGGCAAGTTTCAACACCTAAGCGAAAGTTGGTTTTCCGCCGAAGGTCCTGTCGCCGTTGGTCCTCGAATCTGGTTGCCAAGGATTCTGACATAGGCCGCGGCAACGAAGCCGCACATTTTTCCCCATTTTTCTGCTCCTTTGGTTATTTTTTTTTATTCTTTTGGTTCCTTCTTTTTGTCAACTAATAAATTGCCTGAAAATGCCTTTGTGTTTCACGCGCGGTTTCACCAGGGCAACCAACCTGCACCCCCCGTTAAATGTTAAATATGCACTGGAGAAAACACCTTAAAACTTAAGATATATTTTAAAATTTTAATGAACTTTAAAGGAAACTATGAGAGCACTGAGTTGTGACTGTTAATTTGAAACAAATCACAAGAAAAAGGCAGTAAGATAGTAAATCAAAAACATAAAACAACAACCTCATTTATTAGTTGCTAAACTAGAAAAAAAATTACTATAAAAATATTTAAGCTCAACAAGTGGCAAATAACATTTTAACTTTTCATTTTTTTCGTTTTAAAAACCAATTAAAATAAACTTCTTTTAATTAGGTTTCACATTTTAAATTTCAAATTTTTAAAGTGCATTTATATAGAACATAGGATTGGGATCATGCCCCACGGTGGCACGGCATCTGCAGCCGTAATTTGAGTGTGACTTTATTATGTGTCAAGTCAGTCAATCTGCGGACGATGATGTGATTTCCCCCACTTCGGCTTCCCCGTCTCGTTTTACAACGCTTCAGCGTTTTATAGCCACCTCCTGGGCAGATGTTGCGGCAACTTATTGAGTGGCAAGTGGCAAGTGGCATGTGTCGCTGCCGGCTAATAAGCATCGTTGTAACCAGCCCTTGCTTAAAGTCACTTTACTTTCATGGAATTCTTTATTAAATATTTCTTATTAAATATGCCTACAGCCCGCTCCGTGTAACTTTAAGGAATTAGCATAATAAGAAAAGAATTTCTAGCTGCTGTCAGTTGGGTGAATTATGAAAAGTGAAAGAAATGGAAATCCGCTGCTGATGCTGATGCTGATGCAATTCAAATTATTCACTCAAATGAAGCGGAGGCGGCGAAGAAAACCCCCGGCAAACACAAAAGTTTGCACTTGGCATAAATTTCGAAATCATTTCTTTTTTATTCTTTTTTTTTTGTTCGTTTCCCTCTCCATGATGGCAATTTTATTTTATTAGCACGTCATGCGATTGGCGCCAAACTTGACAAAGTTACAACTTGGTCCTCTCGCAAGTTGGTCCTTCTTTACTTGCCTTCGGTATTTCTTTTTCTGGTCGCTTTGCTGTTTTCTAATTGTTGGCTTACAGCAAAACTTAGTGAGGAATTCAATTTGTGTGTGGGTGCGGACGGGACAAAGGTTTTTCCCCACTTTCCCGAGGACCTTTTCTTTTTTTTCTGCCCGATGAAGTTTGGCACAAAGCAAAAATGCGCGGTGACAGTCGCCAGTCGTGACATTGAAATAGAAAAAAAAGAGCGGAGAAGCCGAAGGAATGTTAAGTAGAATCACAAATTTCGGGATCAGAGATGGGAGTAATTGAGAGACCAGATAAAGTTAAATCGAAGAGGGGGATTGAAATAGTATGATTTATGTAGCTTAACAATGCTTGTATAATTTCAGGTTTGTTTTTTAATTCATACTTAAATTCAACAAACAAAGAACACCATTAATATAGTCTGTAATTATTTCATAGAACCAAAAACCTGTATTAATCTATGATTATTTTGGTACCTAAAATTGCAATCAAACACTGACTCTGTCAAACTTGAATCTTAAATCCCTGTCATTAAACAGCCCCAACCAGCTGTCAAGTCAGCGTAATTTTTCAATATTAGCAGCGTTTAACACGCTTGATTTGAGCCGACCTGATTCACCTGCCTTCACGTGGCCCTCAGGTGAGCAGGGAAAATCGGAGGAGGGAAAATCGGAGGGGGAAAATCGGAGGGGGGAAATCGGAGGGGGAAAATCAAGGGTCTCGTGTGCTTGGGTCAGATATCAGTGGCATGAATAAGTCACCCTAAGGACGTAATTAATTTTTCAGCATTTGCTTTCGGACGCTAGTCCTAGCCATTTCCCAAAAAGGACACGGCAAATCGGGGGAGTTGCCTTGACGAATTTGCGCCGCGGTTTGCCTGCGCTGAGATGCCTTTGGGCTATTTTCCCTCGAATTTCCCCCGGATTTTCCTTGGCCACGCTTGGCCAGGCAAATTAGCGCGGCAACGGGAAAGGACACTCGGGAGCCCACGTATCCTTCGGCCTGCCAAGGTAGCAAAGTGGCTCCTGCATATTTTATGGCTTACGTAAATTGACTTAATTTGCCATAATTTGAGTGAGCTCCTCTCACTTTAAAAGCGTTCAAATTGAAAAGGACTTAAAGCGCGACTCGTCTTCCGCCTTTCTTGTTTGTCGCTCTCTTCACAATGTATTATGATAATTGAACGCTTGTAATTGCCCTCAAGTAGCATAATAAGTACAAATTCCATCGGCCAAGAAAAAGAAATACCCAAAGAGAATGTCCATAAAAGATTCATGGCTGGAAGTGAAGTCAAGTGAAGACGATTTGTATATAAACAGGACACAAAATCGCTGTTTAAAAAAAAAAACGAGGGGAAAGGGAAGAAAAGGAAATCTTGCAAGGAAAAGTGGGAAGTGGTTCCGGTCTGAGCCACTTTTTTTTAACATTTTACATATTCATAAAATGTGCGCCGTGAAATGACATTATTAGCATAATTTATGCTGTCACATTGAATGGCTTTTAATGCTGATGTAAATTGAAACCGAACGGTGCGGTTGTACAGTAGAAACTACTTAAATTTAGCAGAATTTTTTGTATATAGCATCTTTAAACTAAAGTGATATTCAAGAAGTGCTAAAATCAATAATTAAAAAATCTATCTTTATTTTTAACCAAAAATTGGAAATCCTTTTCTATAAATCAGATGTTTAACTGAATAACTTTTATAGAATTTCTATTTCTATTTCTATCATCTATTATCCCTGATTAGCCTGATCCCTGATGTCTTGTATACTTACTTTGTAAACTTTATAGTGGCGGTCCAGCTGCGGCTCCTGCTTCCTGCTTTCTGCTTCCTGCTTCCTGCTCACTGATCCTGCAGCTGCTGCGCAACCGATAGCGACACCGATTCCGTATCCGTCTCCTTTTCCAGTTTCCACTTCTCCGTTTTCCCATCCATCTGCGGCTGCTTACAACTCTTTACACTATTGTCCTTAGAATTAGCGTTTAAAGCGTTCCATTGGCGACACAAACAACACACACGCACACACACAACGACGAAGACGACGACTGAAGATCGTCCTGTGATCCCGGCATCCTCGTCCTGGATCATCATGTGCATCTAGTGCACCCAGGATGGCGGCGAGGTGACCACACTGGGCTGCGAGTACTGCACCCTGGCATTCAGATTTGTGCTGGCCGCTTGTGTTGCCAATTCCAGGCTGCTGTTGTTGTTGTTGTTCAGCAGCAACTGTTGCTGCTGCTGCTGCAGCTGCTGCTGCTGTTGCTGCTGCAGCTGATTGAGGCTGAGACTGCTGCCGGAATTGCTGCTGATGTTGCTAATGTTGCTCAGGTTGCTGATGTTGCTGATGTTCAAGGGTCCATTGCTGCTGTTCACCAAGTTCGTGCTGACCGTGGCCAGCGGGATGTTGATGTCCAGCAGGCCGCCATAGCTCATCTCCTGTTGCAACAGCTAAAGGAAAAAATAATTATGATTATTACTCAGTTTATAGACTACATAAAACTAGGACTGTGGGATCAATTTTATTGTAAAGCTCATAAAACAAAATATTTCCTATTATAAAATTAAATTTATAAGGCTTTTAAACATATTTGGGTAATGAATTAAATAAATATTAAATTGACTTAAGGTTTTAACATTTCTTGTGAGTAAATTACAATATTATTAGTTCTATTAAACCCACAATTTTTTCAAATCAAAGTTCTGCAGCACTTGCTTAATTAACTTATTCCCTTATTAATAGAAAGTTATTGGCTTACCTCCTCGACATTGCACTCCAGATTCCCCACCGGAAAGTTCTCCAGATTAAATTCGTCTATCGGCTGCGCCTCGTTGTTGAGCACCTCGAGGCATTGTCCTATCAAAGTAGAGGCGCAGTTATTATCTAACATTTCGCATCGAGATCGAGATCGAGATCGAGATGGGTGGAGTGGAGTGGAGTTTTCGCAGACGGTTAGAGGGAAGATAAGCAGGATAGAGGTATAGAGATAAGATGTTAGGAACACAGATCGCTATTCGCTATTCCTTACCTTCCAAGTTCCCGGACAGTTGTTGCTGTTGTTGTTGCTGCTGCTGCTGCTGCTGTTGCACCAAAAGTGCGGCAGTATCCGCAGGATTATCCAGCACCACGGTGCTATACGTGTTCAGGGAGTCCGAGGAGGGCTCGCTGTTTGGATACGCGGGCGACATGGTTGTGGTGACTGAGTTCGGCGAGAGACCCTTTAAATTAGAGATTTATTTCAGTTAAAATAACATAAAGAAACGCTGTTTAAAAGTTTGATCTTTATCTTTATTCTATTTAATGTTTTTATTGATTTGGATTGCCTTTTTATTTTAGTTTATTAAAGAAATGCCAATTAAGTATGGAAAAGAACCTAATGCTGAACTTTATCTGTGATATAATTTATGGCATTTAAAATTAACTTTATAATTTTATGGCATTATAATCTGATCGAGGCACTCATTTATTAAGTACTGTAATAAATTCTCAAAAGCTAGCAAATTTAATCCTGAGCTCATTGACCTATTTTACCATTTATTCTAAGTGCATTAGCATTCAATTCTGTTAGAGTAGGAAATATTTCTTAGGAACTGTCCCAAGATTATTACAAATGATTAATTTCGTTTTACGAATTGATTTGAATATATATCACAACATATATTTTAATTTCTTAAATTGATTTGTATTCTAGTTCCAGTTTGAGTTTTTTCTTGGTTGTATCTTTTGGTTTATGGGTTTTTCTATTAAATGTTACTCACATCTCTTGCATTGTGCAGACAGCTGCAGTTGAGGGAGCGGTGCAGCAGGCACTGCGACTGCGGCTGCAGCGTGTTGTAGCCGGGGGCGGGGCCGTTGAGGGCGTAGGGGGGCTGCTGCTGCTGCGCCTGCTGGTGCTGCGGCGGCTGGTAGGGCGGGGGCGGGGGCTGCGAGGGGAGGCCCGAGGCGGCGCTGAACCTGCTCCAGCCGTACGATCGTTTGGTGGCAAGAACGAGAAGAGAAGGTGACTTTATAGATCTGTTGCAAGGGCACTTCAAACATGCAAAGCTCAAGCAAATTTGGTTTTCTATATATTTTTTGTGTTTTTTTTTTTGGCATGCAAACAAATTATATGGAACAACAAAAATCTTGACTTGGGGGCTGGGTGACATATAATATAGTATAAGGTGGCATATAGACGAACTGAACCAAAAAACAGCCATCGAGAACTGACCCTTGCTGCTGCTGGGTGCACAGCGTCAGCTCGTCCGCCATGGAGCCCGTGAGCTCCTCGAGCGCCTCGGCGTGGGCCTGGGTCATCGTCGTGTTCTGGTAGTCGACGGGGAATCCCCAATCGGGCTCGAGGTCCTGCGCCCTAATGGGACTCAGGCGTCCGCAGGAACTGGCATTGGATGAGGCGCGCTGCCGGAAATCGGGCGACAACTGGAAGCCACCGCCACTTCATCATCGCAGGTAAAAATAAATAGGAAAAGAAAACAACAAGAAAACCAATAAATAAAAAATCGAATAACTTAACTTACACAAAACAATAATTAAATAATTAATCGTACGAGACAAAACTTATGGGAATGACTATAAGGACGGGACAAGTGAAGTAAGATCATAAATTCTACAAACTGGCCAATTAATTATACTAATTAAGCATTTAAGCGCTGATTGCTGAATGAAATCCAGAATTAACTATTTTAAAACATGCTAATAAAGCGGTTACTAAGGTATCTAATTAGCTTAGGAAATACATATTATTGAAATAAGTGTTTATAACATTTTATAATGGCTTGAGCTTCATTGATTTAAACATGCGGAAAAATATTTAAAAATTTCATTCAGATTTGTTAAATTATGCTACAGATTTCTTACTATAGACTACATTTGAGGATTCATTTTATTACATTACATTATATATATAAAGAAAAAAGAGAATATTTTTTTAAGAACTTCGAATCATTGGAATTGAAACTACAAATTAAAACATACATAGTTTTATTTAAGGTGTTAATAAAGTCATATAAGAAATCTTTAAAAATCATAAGCAAGACGTAACTATTTTAATCATAAATTAGTTAGTTTTACTTAACTAGGAAGTAGTAAAAAAGCTAAGCAATCTAGTTGATTAAATGTTCTACTGTATTTAGTTACTTCTCTTTGCAGTTGATAGTTACCTGTGGAGCGGACTCTCCGGGAAGTGGTCCAGCCCCTCGCTGACACTGCTGCTCGGCGAGGGCGTGGCATCGTTCAGACCCACCACGCCGGCCTGCCGCAGTGCCTCCACCCGCTTCTTGGCCCTGCCGCGTCGCTTCTCGTAGCGCGACGTCTCCATGGAGGCGGCACGGCGACGCACCGACTTGCCGGGCTTGGCCTCCGGATTGAGCATCCACCAGGAGGACTTGCCGGTGCCCTCGTTCTGCACCCTCATGAATCGGTTGTGCAGCGACAGATTGTGACGTATGGAGTTCTGTAACGAGACGAACGGATATCAGCTAAGAATTTCGAGGTTTCCTTCTTATATAAAATAAAATAAAGGAATTGCAAATTTTGCAAATCCTCTGCTCATTGCGCTGATGTAACGATTTGTAAGCAATTGCTTTTGGGTGGAAGGATACAACACACACAACTGCTCCTGGCTGCGCTTCCTTTTGCCGGCTTCTGCCATTCAATTGTCTGTCGACATTTTTATGGCTCGCAGAAAGCGCACATACATACAGATATATATATATATATATACAGATATATTCTCCACTCTCTAATTGGAAGATGTCTTCTTCAGTAGACCTCGTCGCCTGTCGCCGTCGTCGCTGTCAATTCATATTTTCCAACAATTGTCATAAATAACCGCGTGTAAGCAGCGTAATGACAGCGAATCGACATCGTCTGCTCAACCCGAACCCCACCAAATAATCCTGTCTAGGTGGACACAAAAAAAAGGAGAACAAACCAGCGACAATTACATGTCATCGGTGGCAAACAAAAAAAAGGAAGGCTGAATGCCAGAAACAAATAGAATCAAACACGTTTAGTGTGGATTTGTCATCAGCTGAAGGATTTTTTTGGAGCGGGTGTTTGGTTTTGGAAAAAAAAAATTGGTAAGGATACATTGGCAGCCAGGCTAAATGGAGCATTACAAACTAAACTAACTGTAAAGGGCAACTTGCCGCAGATTCCGCCCACCTAAATTTCACGGACACTGAGAGAAAGTACTATTAATAAGTTGCTTAGAATCTATAGGCAGTTTTTGGAATAGCTTTTCTAACTTTGCAATAACTTAAATGGAATAATAAGATAATTAATACTTTAGCTATAATAAAAACCATCTGTACTGTTTATTATATTAACTAATATTCTAAAAACCAAGTATAGGCATTAGATTTCTGCTTTTCTAATTTCTCTTTGTGGAAATACCCCGCTCGTCCTGTGAAAACCCACCGAAAAGCGATTGCGACGCGTCGCGACTTCAGGCGGCACATTGGCGCCATTTATCACCGTTGCCAGGACATGTGAGTGGGCGGCAAGAGAATTGGGGGTGGCGGGGTGTAAAAGGGGGGGAGGGGAAAGGCTTTGGGGTCTGTCAGACGCCCGCCTGACGACGAAACCTGTTCGCAGACAGGAGTAACTGCCCCCTTCACTCCGCGCACTTTCTAATACTTTTCTGGATTTGCTTTACTATTTTCCTTATACATTTTTTTTTTTTTGTTGGCGAAAACTTTTACTTGGCGTCAGTGGAAGCTGAGTCTGTTGCGTCTGTCGTCCGGATAGTCCTGTAATGACATTTTTGGTTTTGGCAGAACCCCCTCTTCCCACTCATCTAATTTTACCCCCTTCGCATAAAGTTATCATTTTTATTTAAATGTTTAAGTGCGCTGCCGACTGAGGCGTCTTTCCCATTTTCCCTTTCCACCACGAAAGCGTGTTCAAACATTTTTTTTTCTTGGCAAACGTTCTGATTATGCTAATGGCCAGATTGTGGAATTATCCAGCCAACTTCCGCCCAGGAACAGGATGTCCTCGGTTGTGTGGGTGGGCAAGTAATGAGAAAGTATTTTGCTATGGAATGCTAATGTTTATAAGACTTCAGAGGGAAAGGGGTTTTGGAATTGCGTACAAAAATACAATAATTTATATAAGAAAATTAATTCACCTATGGAATATTTTTGGAATTAAGCAACTTATTCAATATGAATTCACTTTAACCGCGACCACTTAAAGACTTCCAAAGAGGGGTGTGTTTTAGGCCTGCTCGCTCAAGGCCATTTAATCAAGGCAAAATGCAAACAAATGGCATTCATAATTTATGGCACACACTTCATTGAATATTCATAAACTTAAATCTCGGCCAGAGAAAAAAGCCTAAAGAACGCGACAGCATTGAGAACATTCACAATTCATCTAACTAATTGGGCCTATTAAATCGAGAGATATATGCGCGACTCGGCGACACAGACCACATGCCGAACAGCTATATACAGCCTATATAGTTGCCAAGGAGCTGCATTATGTATTATGAATATGGTAAGCACTCAAAAAAATTGGATAAATTCAAAGAGGTTTTTGTAGGTTTTTTGCTTGAAACATTCATCAAAAAAAATGTAATAAGTTAACATTGATTTTGCAAATAAAATCTTTGTTATCTTTCAAGTTTACTTTTAAGTTTTCCTGTTTTTTTTCAGTGCACGCGTACTGATACATATGTAGGTCACATTATTGTCCCGCTCCACAATTCGCATCCATGGCAAAGCAAACTCAGGAAAAGCAATCGGAAAAAACTGGGCTTCCATTGAATTCACTTGGAGCAGCAAATGAGCAAAAAGCTGGCAAATGGAAATTTCATACACATCTGAGGAAATGCCGTTCGTAGTCAAGGATATGTGGGTCCTTATTGTGTACAATTAATGTGCAACGAGCGTGAATCACAAGAAACTAAACCGAATCGAGTTCCTATAGGAACTCACTAGTGAACCAAAATCGATGGGTGGAAATCATAGTTAAAGTTTTCCGTTGACCAATTACAATTATTACAGCAAAACTTTTATTTATGGGTGCGGAATGTGGGTCTCTGATTCATTTCTTTATAATTTATTTGAGTAATTGAGGGGAGATAGGAAGCGGGGTGGCACTAAAATATATTAAATCTGCCAGCTCTTTTCATTTGAGTTTTTCCTATACGACCGACGACGAGCATTCGCATTTTCCTCTGGGGTGACTTGGGGGCTTTATCAGTGCTGATTTTTCTTGGCCTCCCCTGCACGAGGGCAACCCCTCCTCGGTGTAACCCACATGATACGCTGTCATCTCGTATCAAATATGCATATTTCATTGGGCCATTTGAGCGGCTTACGGAGGAGCTGAATCGCGGCATGTGGCGCTAACTGGGTCGTCCTCAATTTACTTCGAACAAGTGCCTTTCAAGGAGGTTAAGTAAGACCTCTAAGAAAAAAAATATCAAGATCGAACTATATATTTTCTTAAATAGTTGTTTAGCCAGAAGAAAGTATTAGCACTAAGAATTAAATCCAGGAACATTAATATGCTTCCATTTTTTATAAATTTTCTCCTATTTATATAAATTTTAATCTTGAGATTTAATATTTTAAAAATAATATGAAAGTCTTGCTTCTTATTGATGCTTTTTAAATTCTTTATTTAAAAGATATTACCTCACTCATCATTTCATCTAAATCACTTTCTTTCATTTCAACCTGAAAAGACCACTTTAGACTCCGCGATACTCAATGTTTTGTGGTTGAAAAAATAAGCAAAAAATCAAACAAAATGCGAAAAAAGAACAAGATCTATATCGGTTTATAGCAAACGGTTAAACTGGGAAAAGGTGGAGAAGTTTGGGGCTTTTGGGGCGTAGAACTCGCGCCCCAATGCCAAACAGCTGCAGCGATTCTCACACACAAATCAAATGAACCAACAGCACTCAATAGAAACACACACACCAACACACACTGGGGCATAGAAAAAAAGATTATTCGCATTTAGATGTGAAATTGAGATATAAATTTTTGAAACGACACTCTCTCTAGCTGCCTGCAAACAGGTTAGTACACCACCCACCACCCACCACCCCCCATTCATTCGGCTAATTGCTGCCGACCAGGCTGGGCAGTTAAAATTTAATACAGAAAAAAATCGACCAGAAACCAGTGAGAACGATAAATGGTTTGGAGTGACAACTTCAAGATACCCTAAAAAAAAAAATAATTGGCAAACCAAAAATTAATTAAGCTCAGTGATTAATTTTACCAGTTCCGAGAAATTTAGCCGACCGAAACGAATGACTGCATTACCAAATAAAAATGGCAAATTCGAAATACTGCGGAAACCATTTCGATTTTATTGGTTTGCGAAGGTGTTGATCTGTAACAATTACTTCGAGTCTGCACGAAATCGAATGAATCAGGATGTTACAACCGAAACTGAACGAATCAATCAGAGAGAAATTCTCACATATTCGCCAAATACCCTTGAACTCTTCAATAACCGCGTAGCAAAAAAAGTGTCTAAAAACAGACCAGTAAGTTTGGTTTCAGACTTTTTTGCCGCCTTAATTGTTTGAGCAAAACATTTTGTTCGGCTGGCCAATTTGTAAACACTTTTGTTCGCAGTGGGCCAAAGACTAAACAAATCGGTCGGGGGAAAATTTATGATGATGGGGATCTGGTTAGGGCTTCGGTATCTGGTATCTGGTCTCTGGTCTCTCAGGAGTGTCTGCAATCTGTTTACCCAAGACTAATTAATTGTTTAAACAATTCCAGCTTACCAAGATGGCAACAGACGATATTCGACAATTGTTTACCCCGAAAGATCATTGACAGTTGCCATTAAATGGCAAGCGATTTAGAAAACCATTTGGAAACGTATCACGATCGGCGTATATTGATTGGATTTCGAGTGATTTCTGGCGCGTGTTAGCAAATTTGAGTGTTACCCCAGGAGGGGTAATCAACGAAATTGATAGAACCTAATGGCAACCGTAATTGATTAGATAATGACCCAGTAACGACCTAGACCAAGTGATCTACTGAAACCCAATCGATGGAATACAAAAAGCAGACCACTTGTTTAACCATCGATCAAATGGAACCTTAAATTCCCATCGAACGACACTTTTATTCTTATATAAGCCACGCTAAAACTGAAAATGAAATTTAAACCTCCCTTTAAGCCAATCTAAAATCAATATTTTAAGAAGTTCTGTATCAAAAACACATTTGCAAGGCAACAAACGGGCAAAAAAGAATTCCAAACTCTGGCAAACTAAATAAAAGAGCAATAGACATGGCACAAACATCGGCCCTAGCAACTGATAGATATAACCCTCACCCTCGAGCTGTGCAAATATTGTAAAGATTGTGGACACATAAAACAGGCGGCATTATCATCGCAATGATGATGTGATGATATGATATGGAATGGCAAAAGTTTTCTCTTTCTACTTCTCAGTTTCGCCTG